TGTTCCTACCTACCTACAGTAGAAACCGTCAATATATGAACGTGACTCATCGGGTGCCGAACATATCTCAGACATGCTAGCAGTAATGTTTTACTTGTCTTGTACATTCGATGCAGCGGTAAATGTACTCACACGTAGGTTTTTAAGCATCCGGTCTAAAATGCGCCATCTGTGATGTAAAACTGCCTAGGTGTTGGACAAAGATGGACATATGACGCTTGTGTCCTAGCTTGTTACTTAATTTTATTGGAAGTCAGTAGAGTTCGTGTTTTAGGAATTTATTTTATTTTATTACATAGTAAGGCAACCAACTTTACCGTCGGCCATTTGTTTTTATATGTCATATGATCTTTGTTTTTGCATATCTTGTTTCTACTGTGTGTTTACGGATTAATAATCGTTTTAAACGTTGTAGTGGCAGTGGTTTATATTATGTAACACAGGTAGATGTCGTATAAAAATCCTTACCTAGAAATTCTAGGCTAGAATACAAAAATATTTTTATTATACATATAAATTTTGTACTAGTATTAGTTTAATACATTCTGAAGAAGCTACTGTGTAGCGAAACAATTGTCAATATTTAATAAATTTCGTGAAACTAACGCAAGTTGTTTTTATATCCACACAATTTAAATATCTTTCACTTTGTACCTGACCTGCGTAAACATTTTTGTTTTTTGTCACCAATTCTGAAATATTTGCGTTTACAGTTAAAAGAATAGTATATTCTGTAACAAGTTTGACGGTTTCACGAGAGGGGAATATGCAATTCCAAACGTGTTTCAGACTATACTAAGAATTTAATTGGAAGAAAGTGAGGTTGGGTCGGTCTAAAAATTTGTTATTAAAATCAGAGATGTCGCCACGAGTGTACGTTCTGTAATCAGATGATAGAATATTTGATTAAAGTTAAAAGAAAAGTTTATTTATTAATTAGTTTCTAAGAAAATTACATTTTATTTAATTATCGTAGATGTTAATTATGTTAGATGTTAATTATTTAACTTTAAAAGCAAATATATCATAAGTATAGCAACCAACATTACACTCAAATTTTTTTACAAACGAGACTGCACTGGACCGTGACCTTCGATAGATTGCTTCGTACGAATGTGTCGGATGAGTCACGTTCATATATTGACGGTTTCTACTGTACTCTGTATTTTTTTATATAAAAACCTTTGTTCTCTTTCAGGAACTACTATAGTAGCCTGTGCAACGCCATCTTCTTCCTTTAAGATCGTTGCCCTTTGTGCACCTGCATTTACCTTGAACAACACTTTCTAATCTCTTGAAAAAACAAAAGGCTCTTCTGACGTACGGCCTACGCGATACCTATATAAGGCGATGTACGGTAAATTTTGATTTTCTATTATTTAGTTGTACTTTTATCATTATTCCGCTCTATCAATGTGTGGTCCATAAAAACTGTAGATAAGTCGGATAAATGGGGGTCAACTTCTTAAGAAAAAGATCATATGAAACCGTGAGATAATCACTACAAAACTAAAAAGAATATACGGGCAACTTAGTGGTTAAATTAATTAAAATGAAACTTAATATTTTCTTATTTGTTAAACGATGTTAATTATTATTGTCGGTTTGTGGTTAAATTATTTACAATGATTAAATTGATTAGAAATTACCTATCTATGATAAAATTTTTGCAATTTCTGAGAAACTACCAAATATTATCTTCTTTTAACGTAATTTAACCTTGGGACAGTTCTGGATAATACGCAAAACATTTTTCCACGACTGTAAATTTTCTTTCTCAAATCTCGGTTAACGATGCGATATTGTTTTGATTAGGTATATTAAAAACAAAAAAACTACAATAGAGTTATATAACGACTAATGAATTCCAAACAATGCATAATTTATTAATATTTCTTTTTAACAACGTTTAGAAATTAAAGGAGCCGCCTTGCAGGTAGTGATTAATAAATATTTATAACCAATCGGATTGTTAGTGGTTTCTAATTGGTTTTGTAATAATGCAGTTAAAACTATACCTAATAAATATGCATGAACGAATTCTTTAATGCATTGTTTCTTAAGTCATTTTGTTATAGGTAAAAATGTTAAAATATTTCAAAAACAATTTTTAAGACACGTACTAATTCGCTCAAGACTGGAAACGGGAATGGCAATTTTTAAAGAAAAACATTTACTGTATATAACCTAGTAGCTAGCAGTAGGAAGTGTTTAATATTAACTACTATTATAGTTACTCGGTAACTGTTACTGCCTGTTGTGTATTACGTGTGTTTACGCGCGGTTATGTCACAATTGAATAATAAACTTAAATCAAATTTAAACTGTTGTATATGTGATGTGTAATAAAAATTGTTTAGTAGAACGAAAAAAAACAGCTTTACTAAATGGTAGTCTGTATGGAATTTGCTACACCCTGTATATTAATTTTAAAACAAAACATGGAAACTAGAAGCATAGGGCTCTATAATAATAAAAAAATCATCAAAATTGGCCCAGTATTTTAGAAGATATCTTATATATAATATCTTAACCATATTTTATCAAATAAAATTCTTCTTGACTTTATAAAAAAAATTGTTGTAGAATGCATTTTTTAACCTGCTTTGTACACCTACAGCAAACACAGTAGGTAATGTTTTGAATGTCTACCTCTCACCTTTTCAGTTTTATTGCAACGAAAAGATTTACGACCTCAAACTATTTTCAAAGTGTGAATTGCACAAGAACACGGAAAATTTTATTTTCGAAATTGAATAATGCCCACACGTTACTTTATTTAATCAAGGTACTAAAACTTTGAATCCATTAAGAAAACAGTTGTTTTAATTTTATAGGTTTCGAGATTTCAATTGAGATTTCATTTTAACGCTCAAGCAGGAAACATTTCAAGAAATAATTGCACAACAGTTCTTTTTACTTTTTAAATCCCATTATTTTTGAAATTTTAATTATAACCTTTTTATATTTTCTAAACTACGGGGTATCTAGAAAAACAAATTTTTGACAGTTGAACTGTCAAATTTTTGACAGTTCGAATGTCAAATTTTTGACAGATCAACGGTTAAATTTTTAACAGATCATCTGTCAAATTCAAGGCCACGCATGATTTTAAGGCCATTGTGCATTTATACAGGGTTTCCAGTAATATCGACTCGACTTTGTTGGTATCGTGGATAATTTAGTCACGTCCGGCCTACACGTGACTGGATTGTGTTTTTCGATAATATTACACACGTTTGTGGATTACGCACGACGAATTTAAATTTTAGATTTTCATTTTTTCCCTCGCAGTTGCAATGTTTAGTTTTTTTGTTATCGGCTTATTTTGCCGAAAGATCTGTATGTTGTTTTGTTCAAGGTCAAAACAGTCGATGATTGGTGAGAAAATTACATGGAATTGTTTTATTTGTTTTTCTGCATTTTTATACTGAGTAGGTATTTAAGGTCAATTATTTCATGGATAACACTGTAAATTTGGGACACCACAAAAAATCACAAACATATTTTATAGAGAAGGAATTCCGCCTAAAATTCTTGTACGTAATTCTGGGTCAGTCAAGTTGTTTATTCACTTAAAAAAAACAAGTTAACAATTATTAAGCATGATACCGTTATTACTTGGTTTCTTCTACTTATTTATTATTTATATTTTATTACTTTGATATTTAAAATAAAGTCTTGAGGCAGAAAATATTTTAAGCAATTAAAAAACATTAACAAGGAAGTGTTTATAGATTCATAGATCGTAATGTCACTTCCGAAACCTACTACAGGTCTACCAATAGAATAACTATAAACATAAGTATTGTATAATATAAAATATAATTCCATATATGGTTTACAATTACAACAGTACCCACATTTGTGTACCTATCAATACGTTAACTTGAATAATGTCTTAAAACCGAATGTACTTTTTCACAAAACAAGTTTTAATGTAGGTATATATAGTACACAATAGCTAAATAACCATAAAAACGGAATAAAAGCAGACATGTTTAGCGTGGGAAAGAAAAACGTTCACCATGTTAGGTGATATTAAAATGCAGGTTGATTTATTTTTATTTATAAACAGACACCCACAATCTAAATATATCTGTGGAGAACGGATGTGTTACACAATTTTTCGAAGACCTAAAAAATAGAAGCCTCTTAAAGCGGAAATTATGATACTTTTAAATAAGGGCTGTAACTAATTTCTTTCAATAAGGCACAGTTGGACTTCCAGGAATAACAGACCCTTTTGTAGGTACGTGCAGATTGAAAAGAAACACATTTCGTCTCACATGGAAAAATAACTTTTAAGTAATTACAATACACAGTATTTTAATAAAAATACTAACCAGTTAAGGTGACCTACTAACTCCTATGGAAGTCACCCACGTATGTATAGTTTAATAAACCATTGTTGATTTTAATAATGACATTCCACTTTGAAAACTATGAAAGAATTATAGAAAATGGACCACTTTCACAAATGAAAAATGTCACAATGTTTACTTTAAGTACTCTCTTTTTAAATTTTATTTAGATATGCAATATTTTTATGGTAGGTATTTGGTCATAAAACGATTTTACTTTCTATAGAAAATGATCTCTATGAAAAGCAATAAACCAATTAGAGCAAGGCATTCTTCACAGCACACTATTTGCAAACAAAAATCATCAAATTTTAAGTAAATGCGCCGTTGACATATTGTTTATGTTTTTTGTGATGTAGAAACTTGATACCTACTGATTATTTTTGATTTTGGACCACCCGGTACCTAACCACTGCTACTTTGGTACCAAGCACATCTGTGTTATTGTTTAGCTTCCTCAACAGCAACACAAATATGCTTCTATTGCAGAATTTAACGATTTCAATTTAAAAAAACGTTAAAATTAACACAAAATCCCAACATCACATATATTTTGACATTTCTCTTACTGTCAACCGTCCAAAGCTCACTTTAATCAGATTTTGACATTTATTTTGCTGTCAAACTTCCACTCACCGGTATTGTTATATCCAATGGTTTCCTCGGCAACACTTTGCGTGATGAAAAGCACAATCACAACGAACAAATCACGCAGCATTTTGTGAGCATGTCATTTAATTGTAACTTCACACAAACATCATTTTTCACGGTGATTTTCGCTCTGATATTTACGCAGCACCTACACTCTCCGCGGTCAGAAGCCAACTAAAATTTTCGTGGAATCTTTGGAGCTTGAAAGGTAAAGAAGGGATCCATTGAAAATGCCCGTCAAAGTTTTTAGAGCGTAAGAATTATTATTAAATGCGTTCAAATATACTTAAACGCCCTTAATTTGGTGTATTATAGTTGAAAATTGTGTTTTGAAGTCGTGTTCTGCCAAGAGAATCTTTAAAAAAGTTAAATAGAAATTCTGTGCGGGCAAGTTTATGAGAGATTTGTCACGTGGTAACAACAAAGAACCTGTTGCATCGAGCTTTTCATGCTTTGCCATAGGAAAGCACGCCGACAATTGTTTTAATTGAAGGTAAGTTGGAAAAAATAATTTTGACAGATTATTTCAAAGTGTTAAAATTATTTTCCCCAAATTTTGGGAGATTTAAAATAAAACAGCGGTCGTTTTTTATTTTGGTTTATTAAATACTTTAGCCCAAAACATAAATTTTGTTATTTACATAATTTACAACTCTTTTTTTGATAATATAGAGGCTATTATCTAAATTTGACAGTTACACGGTATACAGTTTTAAAAGGATTTGGGGGGGGTATCTCGGGGGGGGGGGAGTATTTTGTAGTTTTTATACAAAAAATAAGCGTATTAGAGACATATTTTACATCTTTAAATCTAGGAAACTATAAACAATCGGCTACATCTAGGTTTTACGCAAGATTACAAATAAACTAACTTTATAAACATTCATTTATATTTTACATCGATGAGGAAAGTCAATTGAATAAAAAAATACACAGTGGGGAAATATAAAAGTAACTCAGCTTCAGTCTTCTCAAAATGTCGTTACCATTTATAGTCGGTTGTTTTTGAACCACCTTGTATAAGCTTATCTGTCAACTGAGTTTTGTTTTGTGTGTACCAACCGTCACGCCAAAAAATCCCGTTGAAGTATGATGAAGAATTTGGGTTAGTTTTTATTTTACAGAATAAATCCGACAACCATGTTAAAAATTGTTATGAATTTTTGGGGAGATTTAAAATAAAACAGCGGTCGTTTTTTATTTTGGTTTATTAAATACTTTAGCCCAAAACATAAATTTTGTTATTTACATAATTTACAACTCTTTTTTTGATAATATAGAGGCTATTATCTAAATTTGACAGTTACACGGTATACAGTTTTAAAAGGATTTGGGGGCGGGTATCTCGGGGGGGGGGAGTATTTTGTAGTTTTTATACAAAAAATAAGCGTATTAGAGACATATTTTACATCTTTAAATCTAGGAAACTATAAACAATCGGCTACATCTAGGTTTTACGCAAAATTACAAATAAACTAACTTTATAAACATTCATTTATATTTTACATCGATGAGGAAAGTCAATTGAATAAAAAAAATACACAGTGGGGAAATATAAAAGTAACTCAGCTTCAGTCTTCTCAAAATGTCTTCACCATTTCTAAGGCGGTTGTTTTTGAACCACCTTGTGAAAGTTTATCTGTCAACTGCGTATTGTTATGTGTGTACCAAGTTGGTACTACCAACCGTCACGCCAAAAAACCCTTTGAAGTATGATGAAAACGCAGCTTTATGATGGAGAATTTAGGTTAGTTTTTTATTTTACAGAATAAATCCGACAACCATGTTAAAAATTATTCTGAATTTTTGGGGAGGTTAAAAATAAAACAGCGGTCGTTTTTTATTTTGGTTTATTAAATACTTTAGCCCAAAACATAAATTTTGTTATTTACATAATTTACAACTCTTTTTTTGATAATATAGAGGCTATTATCTAAATTTGACAGTTACACGGTATACAGTTTTAAAAGGATTTGGGGGGTATCTCGGGGGGGGAGTATTTTGTAGTTTTTATACAAAAAATAAGCGTATTAGAGACATATTTTACATCTTTAAATCTAAGAAACTATAAACAATCGGCTACATCTAGGTTTTACGCAAAATTACAAATAAACTAACTTTATAAACATTCATTTATATTTTACATCGATGAGGAAAGTCAATTGAATAAAAAAATACACAGTGGGGAAATATGAAAGTAACTCAGCTTCAGTCTTCTCAAAATGTCGTTACCATTAAATGGTAAATAAATTTTATAATAAATTTTATAGTCGGTTGTTTTTGAACCACCTTGTATAAGCTTATCTGTCAACTGAGTTTTGTTTTGTGTGTACCAACCGTCACGCCAAAAAAACCCGTTGAAGTATGATGAAGAATTTGGGTTAGTTTTTTATTTTACAGAATAAATCTGACAACCATGTTAAAAATTGTTCTGAATTTTTAGGGAAATTTAAAATAAAACAGCGGTCGTTTTTTATTTTGGTTTATTAAATACTTTAGCCCAAAACATAAATTTTGTTATTTACATAATTTACAACTCTTTTTTTGATAATATAGAGGCTATTATCTTAATTTGACAGTTACACGGTATACAGTTTTAAAAGGATTTGGGGGGGGGTATTTCGGGGGGGGAGTATTTTGTAGTTTTTATACAAAAATAAGCGTATTAGAGACATATTTTACATCTCTAAATCTAGGAAACTATAAACAATCGGCTACATCTAGGTTTTACGCAAAATTACAAATAAACTAACTTTATAAACATTCATTTATATTTTACATCGATGAGGAAAGTCAATTGAATAAAAAAATACACAGTGGGGAAATATAAGAGTAACTCAGCTTCAGTCTTCTCAAAATGTCTTCACCATTTATAAGGCGGTTGTTTTTGAACCACCTTGTGAAAGTTTATCTGTCAACTGCGTATTGTTATGTGTGTACCAAGTTGACAGATAAACTTGGTACTACCGTCACGCCAAAAAACCCTTTGAAGTATGATGAAAACGCAGCTTTATGATGGAGAATTTAGGTTAGTTTTTTATTTTACATAATAAATCCGACAACCATGTTAAAAATTATTCTGAATTTTTGGGGAGGTTTAAAATAAAACAGCGGTCGTTTTTTATTTTGGTTTATTAAATACTTTAGCCCAAAACATAAATTTTGTTATTTACATAATTTACAACTCTTTTTTTGATAATATAGAGGCTATTATCTAAATTTGACAGTTACACGGTATACAGTTTTAAAAGGATTTGGGGGGGGGGGGGGTATTTCGGGGGGGGAGTATTTTGTAGTTTTTATACAAAAAATAAGCGTATTAGAGACATATTTTACATCTTTAAATCTAGGAAACTATAAACAATCGGCTACATCTAGGTTTTACGCAAAATTACAAATAAACTAACTTTATAAACATTCATTTATATTTTACATCGATGAGGAAAGTCAATTGAATAAAAAAAATACACAGTGGGGAAATATAAAAGTAACTCAGCTTCAGTCTTCTCAAAATGTCGTTACCATTTATAGGCGGTTGTTTTTGAACCGCCTTGTGTAAGTTTATCTGTCAACTGCGTATTGTTTGGGTGTACCAACCGTGTGTGGGTTGGCAATGGTAAAAAATGCATAATTGGTAAATTAAATTAATTATTAAGTATAAGTTAAACTAAGAAAATAATGATCACAATACTTATTTGAGGACTTCCGCGATTCCATCGCAACGCAGTTAGTAATACTCGATTATTGCTGTATGGTGCGCAATGGTGGAACCCTCAAACGGAAACCGAACCTCCCTCCTGCAACGCTAGATGGCGTTGCGCAGCACGACGCGCAGCCGCCGTCACTGCGCCGCGTGCACCGGGCAGAAAACCTTGAAAGTCTCGGCGTCGAAGCGCCAGTGCCTGGCGCGCGAGCAGCACAGGTGCGCCGTCGCCAGGCAACCGCGCTTGCCGCAGCACACGTTCGCGCCTTTTAATTGGCACACCTTGCACGCCACGTTGCACGACGTCCAGATGGCCTCCTCCAGCCCCACGATCTTCGGCCCCACCAGGTAAACCCCCGCGGACCACACGATGCAGTCCTCGTGCGCCCACACCTCGTAGCTCTTGCTCTCCGTGTGGGTGATTCCCAGGTGAACGTCTTCGACGTCGAGCTTCCGCTTCCCCTTCTTCGCCGCCGTTGTAATTTTAGTTTCGTCGAGGACTTTCGTTATTTTCCGCGACTTGAACTGCCGATCGAACGGGTCGTCGAGACGCCTCTCGAATTCCGGACATTCGCTGGTTATAATATAAGGTCCAAAAAGATCCCCAGCGGGTATTACGTCGCCGTGCCACGTCGGGCCCGACAACTCGGTAGCGTGCGGCCCCCTTTTGCAGAACGCGCAGATCCACGTCGCATCCTTAGTCTGCGCGTCGTATTTGTTACTCAAAGTGCTGCAGTGCAGACCTTTGGAGCGCACTTTATGTCTATACTCGGTATCGTCGTGGAACTTCTTCGACTTCCCGGCCTTTTTGTCGCTATCATCATCGTTGGCGGCGTTCACGACGCTCACCGATATGGGGGAATCCCGCGGGCCTTTGATCTGTATAAACGGCCCTCTGGATTTGCTCGAACTCGCGTTGCTGCCCGAATCGTACGCGTACACGTCCTTGATCGACTCGACTTTGCTGTTGTTCTTCTGCCCCAACTTTTTCGCCCCCTTCCCGATACCCTTGCTTGCTTGCGACGCGGGCTTTCGCCCCCCCTTCTTGCCGGGCTTCTTCTTCTTCGGGGTGGTCTCGGTGGAACTCACCTCGCTCCCGCGGCGAGAAACCGGCCGCGACCGGCGCTTACCCGTCTTCGTTGCTGAAACAAAGAAAACGTTCGGGATGGTGTCGGGGAAATACGAAAACTCACCTTTCGCGTTTGTTTCTTGTGCTTGCTGCCCGTTCTCCGGGGCTCCCTCGTTCTCCTTCTCGGCGGCGTTCTGCTCCTTGGAGGCGGCGTCCTCGTGCAGCTTGAGCAGCGGGTCGTCCTCGGTCTTTTCCGGCGAGTCGTCGTCGTCGGCGGTTTTCGGCGGGGGCGGCGACGGGGTCGGTTCGGCGTCCTCGATGCCGGCGAACATCTCCTCCAGCTTGTTCTCCACCTCGACGAACTGCGTGGGGGTCGCCTTCTTCTGCGCAGCAGTCGGCACCGGGGCTAAACGCCGAATAATTCGAGTTTTAAAATGTTTCTACATTTAAACTAGTTTTTTTTTGCATACAATTGCCAAAAATTCATTAGTTATTATTTTATATATTTTGTCTAATAGAGTGTTTTAAAAAATCTAATAATGATTAATAGGAAGATCCTAAGCATTGGGATTCGGATACGAGTATCTATACAAAAATATGTCACACTCATTTGATAATAATTATTTTTCAATGGGTTTCTAAACTATTAAAACATTTTTTTTTAATAAATTCTTCAAACTTTGATCTTAATATCTTTTAAAGGGATTTTCAAAGAATAGTTCTTAAGAGCTGAATTTTTAATTTTTAGGTGAAATATATAACATTAAAAATTTAAATAAAAATAATTAAAATTAAGACTTAAAAGGTGAAATTTGTGTACTAAATTAGGTACATAAAAACATTTAAAAAATTTCCTACTCGATTTTTTTTTTATTTTACACTTTTTAAATTTTTTAATAAATTTATCTAACTTGTGAAAAACCTTTTTTTTTAACACTTTAACTGCCGGCAACGCGGCTACCGCGTTCTTGTGTATTTTACAATATGCCGAGCACGCGGGACCCGCGTTCTGTACGGTGGCATAAAGCATGGTTTTTGTCGCTGGGTGCCGCCAACGCGTCTACCGAGTTTGTTTATTTGTTTTTTGTTTAGTATTTTTTCATATAGAACCTTTCAATAAGAAACGAAAGAAACAAGTTTTAGTCCATTTTTATTTAAAATTTCTAAAAAAAACCATCGGCACTGCAACATGGGCGGACTATTACGTCGGCAGTGAACGTGTTAATGGGTTTTCCAAGGGGTTTTTAACAGTTGAATTTTTTATTTTAGTTGAAATATGTAACATATTAAACATTTGAATGAAAATAATCAAAATTAAGACTTGAAAGGTGAAATTTGTGTACTAAATTACGTAAAAACATTTAAAATTGTCCGACTCGATTTTTTTCTTTTTTACACTTGAAAGTTTTTTCAATTTTTTAATAAATTTATCTAACTTGTGAAAAACCTGAAGTGGCTTTTTTAAAATGGGTTTTTCCAAGGGGTTTTTAAAAAACAGTTCATAACAGCTTAATTTTTAATTTTAGGTGAAATATGTAACATATTAAAAATTTGAATGAAAAAAATTAAAATTAAGACTTAAAGGGTGAAATTTGTGTACTAAATTACGTAAGAACATTTAAAAATTTCCGACTCGATTTTTTTTTTATTTTACACTTAAGTACAAGTTTTTTCAATTTTTTAATAAATTTATCTAACTTGTAAAAAACCTGAAGTAGCTTTTTTTAATGAGTTTTCCAAGGGTTTTTCAAAAAACAGTTCTTAACAGCTGAATTTTTATTTTTTAGGTGAAATATGTAACATATTAAAAATTTGGATGAAAAAAATTAAAATTAAGACTTAAAGGGTGAAATTTGTGTACTAAATTACGTAAAAACATTTAAAAATGTCCGATTCGGTTTTTTTCCTATTTTACACTTGAAAGTTTTTCAATTTTTTAATAAATTTATCTAATTTGTGAAAAACCTGAAGTGGCTTTTTTAAAATGGGTTTTTCCAATGGGTTTTCAAAAAACAGTTCTTAACAGCTGAATTTATAATTTTTAGCCGAAATATATATGTAGCATATTAAAAATTTGAATGAAAATAATTAAAATTAAGACTTAAAGAGTAAAATTTGTTTAGTAAATTACGTAAAAACATTTAAAAATGTCCAATTTTTTTTTTGTTTCTATTTTACACTTGAAAGTTTTTTCAATTTTTTAATAAATTTATCTAACTTGTGAAAAACCTGAAGTAGCTTTTTTTAAAATGAGTTTCAAAAAACAGCTGAATTTTTAATTTTTAGTTGAAATATATAAAATACCTATTTAAAGTTTGAATAAAATTAATTAATTCTATTTCACACTTACCGTGTGGGGGAGGACGATCAGAGATGGCGCCGGCGTCCTTGACCTCCATCAGGTTGTCCTTGACGCGAATGACACCCAACTGTTTCGGAGGCGGAGGGGGAGGTTTGCTCTCGACCGCTACGCTTTTGTCTTTTTCCTTGACGCACTCCTGCACCATGGCGGCGATGTTGTCGATAGTTTCCGATTCCGACGAGGTTTTTCGGCGCGTCTTCGCCGGTATCAGCGACTCGACGTCGTCCGAGGAGCGCCGCCTCTCCACGATCTTGTTCTCCTCGGCGAGAATCTTGCTGACAAACGACAGGTGGTCGGATTTTTCGTCGTCCTTCGACACGCGCACCGTCTTGTTCGGCTTCCGTTTCCGCCGCGACTTCTGCCCGTCCAGGCTGTCCTCGTTCGAGTTGTCCTCCTCCTTGGCCAGGTTCGCGCCGCTGGAGTTGCTGTTCTCGTCGTGGCTCCCCGAAGGCTGAACGATGACGCTTTGCGAGGAGGTTTTTTCTGGCGGATTGGAAACCCTCTCGTGGGTTTTCTCGTTGAGCGCCAGAGGCGCCACTTGCTCCAGAACGCTCGCCGTTTTCTCCATGTTCGGGTTCAGCCGCTCCAGTATCGAATCCACCCGGATGTTGGATCTTTTCGGCAGCTTAGCGTCCAAAGCTACGCCCGGGCTCGTGCTTTTCAAACCTGGACTGAGCGATTTTTGACACTTGGTCAGTTCCACCGCCTGCAGGGAAAAATGTATCAATTGTTTATAGTGATTTAAACAGAAAAAATCATTTTGTTTTTTTACCAAAAAACATGTTTTTTTTTTAGAAAAAAAAACAAAGGGGTTTGTTTTTTTTCAGAAACATTGTTTTTCCTTAATGTTTAAAGATTACTTTAATGATGTTTTAACAGAACATTACAAAGTTACATTTTTTTAAAGTCAAAACAATTGAGAATTTTTTAACTATTTTGTTAATACATGTTTTATATGTGTTTTTATTTTAAATGTCTTCCCAATACACATTTTTGTTTTTATATATGTTACGGCTAATGTGCCAACTTGGATAGTTTATAAACTAGCCAAACTGTCAGCTATTTTAATTGAAAACATATTTTTAACTAAATTAGCGGCTAGTTTACAAAATAACCAAAGATCTTGGCTAATTTACTTGAAATTATTAGTGAAACTAAAATAGCTGGATAGTTTGTATACTATCCAATTCAGTTTGGCTAATATGAAAACCAAAATTTCTAGTAACACAAAATAGCCAAGCTTTAGCTAGTTTGTAAACTAACCAACCAATTCTCTGGCTAATTTATTAAAAAAGTGAGGTTACGGCATTGTTTTTCGTTTTTCCGGCTTAACCCGATTTGTTTTGTGCATTTTATCGTTTTTAAAATGAATCATAGGCAAAATTTTAACGCTTCCTTGTTAGAAAACTCAACAACACAACCCTACCGACCCCGCCCCATTACCCCCCCTGCCCCATTGGTCAAATGGTCAAAAATGAGAGAAAAAAAACCCAAACCAACCCAAACTCAACAACACAACCCAACCGACCCCGCCCCATTGGAAAAATTGCCGCCGTTAAACTGTGCAGTGTTGCAGTGATTTTTTGTATAATTAGTACAAGATAGAACAGACCTTGTTGTGTGGATTGTGGGATTTACAAAATTCTGCCCAAATAAGTTATGCTTAAGAAATTATTTTTTTTTTTAAATTATAGAAATTTTTACAATAATTGATTGGAAATAATATTGTTTAATACAGAAGTGACCTGTTAGTTGGTAAATTTTGTCTTTCTACACCTACACAACAGTTGAAAATATTTTAAACAAATGTAAACCTAAAATTTTTAGTAAACCAACAAAATTTGAAATTAAAAAATCACTTAATAAATGTTAAGCCTGAATTATAGATTGCCTTCCTTCCTTCCTTCCTTCCTCCCGAAGAAAATGATCAATACGAAATTTTTGACGTAATTGTCACCATTAACATTTCCCGTGTAAGAATTTTTAATACTTTGTAATAATATTTTGCAATTATAGTAATAAAAAAAATCAAAGGATAAAATATTTTCTTAACAAAATCATATTTTGAAGTTATTTTAATATTTTAAAGTATCAATAATTGTTAAGTTTAATTAAAATTAATAACGGGCAATGTAAATGGTGACAATTACGTCAAAAATGTTTATTTAAATCGTAGTGCCATTTATAGATTCCCGTACCGTAAGGACGGCATTTCTTCCTCCCGTAGAAATTTTTAAGTTTTATCTTTCACCGTAAAGGTCTTTGACATGACCAATCACAGAGCTTGTTATGGACATGCGCTGTAGGGTGACAGCGCGTATACGCCTATAGGCACAAAATATTTAAAATACATGATTGTTCATTCAGTATTATTTAAGATAGGTGTTCAGTTTATTAAATAATTTGTTTAATAGTTAGGTTTTTTTTTCATTATTATAATACAATAAGCTGCCTGGGCAATTAAAATTGTGATCACTGCACTAATATATAAATGTTTATCTTTCATATTTACACACAAAGGGTAAAACGCAGAATATAAACAAAAACAAATGTCAACCATTTTAGGTGCATGGTTACGGAATTTTACACGGAAATCTATAAATTGACTTTTTACAAGACGCACAAATCGTACGGGCACGACTACGGCAGGAAGGAAGGAAGGTAATCTATAATTCAGGCTTTAAAACTCACCGTGTGCATCTCCACCAGGCTGTTGATCTTGTTGGTGTCGCGCACGCTCAGGCTGATGGGCGACGCGGCCGGCGGCGCCGCCTCGCCGTTGAGCGCGCCCGCGCCGTTGCGCGCCGCCAGGCTCAGGTCGACGCCGGGGGCGGCCGAGGCGGCGGCGGCGAGGGCGGCGGGCGTCCTGCCGACCGCCCCCACCGGGAAGCACTCGGGGCGCTGCAGCAGGTGCTGGAACAGCGAGGCGTGCGACGTTGCCATCGGCGACGGCTTGATCGGCTCGGTGGTGGGCGTGTGCCACGTTGCCGGCTGGTGCAGCAGCGACGGCTCGTTCGACATGTGCGCGTGCTGCGGCTGCCGCGGGAAAAAGTTCGGCACCTGCGAAAAAAAGTCCCCAAAATCTAATACGCCTTTTTACGTTTTTTTTATATCGCGAAGAACCTTTAAAATAGTGACCAGATTCTGTCAAAAAAAATCGGGACATTCTGTGTAAATTAACCTTAATTACAAAAATGACGCAATCAACAATAATTAAGTAACGCCAAATTTACAATTTGCATTATATCCTTTGAATAAAAAACCTCAGGAATCTCGTTAATGTAACAAATTTACGACGGAAGTCGCCATTTTAGGAGTCATTTTTTATGACAGATGACAGTTTATTTACCTGTTTGAGCGTTTTTGGCATAGAGCCTACACAAGGAACCCGAACTTCATGTAAACAAGAATCTTCCTAAGATAAGAGGGCGCTGGTGTACTACCGTACCAAAACAGTAGAGGGGTATAACCAGAGATGGCGCCACTACCTACCACTTACACATATTTCCACACATGTGTGGAAGTATGTGACCACTTATTATTGTGCAAATAATTGAGGTTATGCAACTGTCAGTTTAGTATTTCTAACCTGGAAATCTAATTTTGCTTCTCCAGATTCGTAAAATTACTGCACATATTATAAAGAATCACTTATATTTCACAACCAAAACCTATTCATTAGCATCTACCTACCAGGTACAACCATAAATATCAAAACGATTCGTACGTCAAAACATTATTGCAAATCTATACAAAACTTACTTGCATACTTCACATGTATTTTCGATACTACTTTCACGTCATATATACGCATCGACAATCAGCGTCGCTGGTGGTGAAAAAAAAGACTTAATTTGTGCAATTTAGTGGACAGGTTTTGTCAATTTTCCCTATTACGTTCGGGCTCCTTGTGTAGGCTCCATGGTTTTTGGTTTGTTTAATAGCGTTTTTTTGTTGTTTAATAGCGCTTATGGTTTGTTCTATGCGTTTTTGTTGTTTAATAATTAAACCTTGCAAAGAATTAAGGTAAATTCATACAAAATGTACCTCGATTTTTGACAGAATCTGGTCACTTTACTTTAAAACCACCATTATCTTACATGTTTCCATTCCATTCTTACAAATACACATTGACAAGTTATAGCTTTATGGCGCTTTAGTCACGGGCTGAAGTTAGCAACAGGTTTTTAGTCACGGCATATAATTTTTAAAACAAACTAAACTATTTATAAACATAATTATAATGTAATTGTGATTATATTTAAATTATTGTAGGTTATATTGAACAGTTGTCAAAATTCGTAGTTAAAAATGCAATTAATTTTGCTTTGGTGGTGCGTAGATGAGTAAAACCATATAAAAAAGTAGTTAAATATAGCGGATAATAATCTTCGCCTTGAAAAGAATTTATATAAAAGAAATTAAAATTTTATGTGAACACACGTGAATGTTGTCCAATCATTGGACTCCAATGGTGAATGGGTATTTTGTTAAAGCCACTGGATGTGAATACTTCTAGTAACTTAATATTAATTATAATGTATAATTATAATTATCATTAACTTGCAAAATAAAAGAAGAAAAACTTTCGTGATTATTGCTTATCTTTTTCAAACCAAATTGATGCTATTTTCAAAGACAGGAAAATTAACTACTAGATTTTTCACAACAGCAAATAATTTTTATTTTTTGTTTTTCTATTTTCCCCTTATTTTTTAAAATTTAAATTTTTTTTAATCTGTTTAGCTGAAAATAATGTAATTAAATATTTGTTAAACCAAAAACGTTACTTTTTTACTCAAAAAATGTCCATAAGGTGATGTACTTTTTCTGCCTTTGAGGCATTTGGCATAACTTCATCAAAATGAAGTTTTGCCCATAAAAGTTCTTTTACTTTAGAATCTGATATTATTTTTGGCATAGTTATCTTTTTATATCGATATTATATAATAATTATCAATGATAAATATTACATCAATTTGACAGTGTCAGAGTCAGATTTATTATCTATGTTCAGTTTAATTAAGGTCTTCAGCAGAAGTACCATTTTTACTATTTTTTATCATTTGTTTGTTTTGTAAAAAAAGTTAAAACCTTTAATTATAAAAAAGGAATGTCAATCTAAAATTAAAATGTTGGGTAATATCTCAATAATTTATGACTTTAATTACAATCAATTTGTATTTTTTAAATTTAAATCGCGAAGGTTGCTTTAGATCCTAGTAAGCATTGGAATTTATTGTAAAAAAAGAGTGCCGCGAATTCCCTTCAGGCATCTATTATTGAATCATTGAATACTTATTAATAGGTAAATTTAGTTTTTCTTATGACGTTTCAAAAATAAAAAGGTATAATTTGTAAATAATAACATATCTATAGCTACTTTTTTATAATGACTCTTTCAAACAAACCATCATAAAATACATCTGTCAACAATGTCAATTGTTCAAAAAAGGCAGCTGAGGTTAACACAGTGTTGCCAAATTTTTCATAACTATAGAACAGTAGGTACTTGTTGAAAAAAAATGAATATTGCCATTTAGGAATTGTGAAACCTATGAATAGTATTAAAGATGAATAAATGTTGATATTTACAGACTTTCTTTAACCTCTAAAAAGCAATAATCTGACATTTCAAATGAAATGTCAAAATCTTACATCAAAACATTTGATGTAAGATTGTCAAAAGCACTTTTTTCTTAAAAACTGTTATTTTACCTGTAAGTGGTTCCAAGCACTGTTACTGGATGGTACTTGTCTCCCATGGGGGTGATGTGGGGGTCCTCCAGACATTTTGGTGTTTTTTCTTCAAAAATGTATTACAATTTGCTTAAAAGTAAGTTGATGATTTCAGTCATAACGTGGTTCAAGTATTCAATCCCATTATTTTAGTATATACAATCTGAAAAGTAAAGAAAAAGTATGTTTTACATGATAAACCAACAAATAAATAAACTAAATAGATCATAGATTACCGTGTAAACATCGCTTTTCAATTGTTTTACTGTTTTCTAGGTTCATCAAACTGTTATTGAGATTTAAAAATTAGAATGTGCAAAATAGTAAAATGTGCATACTCAATGAGAGCTGCGTCATTAACTGCGATTAATTTTTATACAACCAACACTCCACAAAAATTACCTGTCCAATATTGAGGTAGTAAATTATGCATAATAATAAACTAATAAATATCGAAGATTTAAAGGGCTGCCCGACAAAAAAACTGACCACAATCAATTCGCTGATCCGTGACGCCCTGAAACTTCGTTTCGGCTGTTTTTCGTTTGCGATCGAATTTCAGCGGCACGCGGCCACGAATTTACGAAAAATACTGCTGCCGATGGCCATTATAAACTAAATCGATGTTTGAAAAATAACACTGCCTCTCGGTCGACGAACACACTGTAAAAACGGGTGACGTAGTCCTCGGCGTAGGCAATTAACATCGCAGCCTAATGCAACTCGAAAACTTCGCCGATCGCTTTTCGCACATTCAAAATTTCGTCGAATATTTTAGGCACGGCCATAAAGCAGTCAGTGTAGCAATGGCGGACCCGGTTTTGTATAATTTTTGCTGCAACTAACGCCATCTATCAGCAAAACAACAAACCCTTCAAAATAACTCATTTTTCCGATATAAAAAAGAAAAAACAGCCTTAAATCATCCAAACAATGCGCATTTATTCCCAAAATTGTTTAAATAACATTTAAATAACATTATTGTTTAAATTATAATGTAATAATGTACCTACATTAATGTTTTATTAATTGTTTTTACACAATTTGTTTATGCATTGATTTTATAATCAAAATAAAAATGTTTTTATTCCGTTTTTAAACAATTAACATCTCTCAAATTGCAAGGTGGTTTTTAATTGATTAATAACAATCAAAGTGTCAAATTACAGCTGTCACATAAAACCCAAACATTTACTGAAAAAAAATACTCACCATTTGCATTAAAACTTATTTGCCACCTTCTAAACATCGTCGAATATAAAAATAATCAACATTTAACACCTGCCACGCTTATTTTCTTTGAATTTCGCGCTTTACATCGCACCAATCGCCGCTCACCAATAAACGAAATGTTGCCAACTTTTGACAGTTTGACATTTTTATAAATAAACATGGCCGCGACCAGTGTTCGTGGACTTTCTAGAATAGTGGAAAAGCTGGAAAAATCTGTGAAAGATGGGGATTACTACGAGGCGCATCAAATGTACAGAACGTTATATTTCAGGTACAATAATTTAGTGGCGGGGTTTTCCGTGTTGATAACAACATAACCTTACTTTTGTAGGTTCCTTGGTCAGAAAAAGTATCCCGAATTGCTAGATTTGCTCTATAACGGTTCTATTTTGTTCCTAGAAAGAGATCAGGTTGGTTTTTTTAGTAATCATTGAAAATGGGCCAGTTTGATATAATATAACTTGTTTATTTTGATTAACATGATTTATATAAAAATTATTTTTTGTTGTTAATAACAACTTGTTACACCTATATATTTTGTGGCTGTGTAATAATTAAGGGCTATGTGTGTTTAACTTAAAATAGCTTATTATATAAACACATAACCCAATTTTTTAACTGCATATTAAGAATGTCATCTTAACTAGATTTAACTGTCTTAATAACAGTGTTGCCAGATGCCAATGATTGAGATGTAGCTTGATTTCCTCTAAAACTAAAATTTTAGTATTTACATCAAGTATTTTTTACAGCATTCTGACAAGCTTAAAAAATTTCATCTCGAGAAAGGACTTAGTAGATGATCACTTTTTTAGACATGGAACAAATTATAAATGCTGAATATCTGGTAATATTTCTAGGGAATTTTCTGTCAAATGTCAATATAGTCATTCTTTTTTCATGTTATAATCATTTTTTGACCAAAAAAACTTGGGAATGATGAATCCCCCTAAAAAAAATTTATCCCTTTAAGAAATTCGTCCCCCTAAAAGTCTAAAATCTAGTGAAAACCCTTGATCTGGCAACACTGCTTAAAAATATCAACTTTAGCTAGATAGGAGTCATATCTTAGAAACAGTCATATTATATAACTGTTTTAAGAATATAATCTTAAGCTTTATATATCTGTCTTAAAAATGTCAACTTTAGCTAGAAATGACTGTTTTAAGAATGTCAACTTTAGCTAGATATGACTGTTTTTAAAATGTCATCTTAAGCATAATATAACTGCCTTAAGAATGTCAAATTTAGCTTGAAATTACTGTTTTAAGATGTCCTCTTAAGCTCCATAACTGTCTTAAATTTAGTTGGAAATGACTATTTTAAGAATGTCAAATTTAGCTAGATATGAATGTTTTAAGAATATCAACTTAAGCTAGATTTGCCTGTTTTAAGAATGTCATCTTAAGCACAATATAACTGTCTTAAGAATGTAAAATTTAGCTTGAAATTACTGTTTTAAAAGTGTAATCTCAAGCACAATATAACTTTCTCAAGAATGTCAAATTTAGCTAGACATGACTGTTTTAAGAATGTCAAAAGCTACATAATACTGTCTTAATAATGTCCTCTTAAGCTTCATAACTGTCTTAAATTTAGCTAGATATTAATGTTTTAAGAATGTCAACTTAAGCTAGATTTGCCTGTTTTAAGAATAGCATCTTAAGCACAATATAACTGTCTTAAGAATGTCAAATTTAGCTAGAAATGACTTCTAAGAATGTCATCTTAAGCTAGATAATACTGTCTTAATAATGTCATCTTAAACTTCATAACTGTCTTAAATTTAGTTAGAAATGACTGTTTTAAGAATGTCAACTTAAGCTAGATATGAATGTTTTAATAATGTCATTTTAAGCTACATATAACTGTCTTAAGAATGTCAAATTTAGCTAGAAGTAACTGTATTGATATAAGTATTTTAAGAATGTAATCTTAATCTACATATAACTGTCTTAAAAATGTTATATGACATTCTATTTTAAGCTAAATATAACTGTCTTAAGAATGTCTACTTTGGCTAGATATGACTGTTTTAAGAATGCCATTTTAAGCAAGATATATGTCAGACAAGATGTGGACAGTTTTGCTGACACAAAAAGTTCCTACATGTATTGTTGTTTTAGCAAATATCAGGGGCTGATTTGGGGGTGCTATTAGTGGAAGTTCTAGTCAAATCCGAAACGAAAGAGTTTAGTGTGTGGATACCAAAACTATGTAAAATTTTTAACACAATAACTCCCTCTTCTCTGCAAAGAGACCAATTCCTAGCTAATATAGTACGTTGGTCCGCCAACGAGAAATCACAAGGCCATCCATTGCTGCACCAGGTGGGTATTGGAATATTTGTGGGCCCCATGATTAATAATTTTTCATTTTTACAAAGCACATAGCTCAAATTTTCTGGAACGAGAAAAACTACCACGAGGCCAGGCATCATTTCATATATTCCAAAGACGGCATGGGCTGCGCAAAGTTGCTAATCGAATTCCAAAGCGCGAACGGCTACAAAAACGAGGCCGACCTGTTCATAGCGCAGGCGGTCTTGCAGTATTTGTGTCTCAGCAACAAAAACACGGCCAATCAGACCTTCTCCAGCTACACGCAGCAGCACCCCAGAATCCGAAAGTCCGGGCCCCCCTACCTGCTGCCTCTTCTCAATTTTATTTGGTTTTTACTACAAGCCGTCGAAAGGTAAGTATCTATACTGCCGTACTTAGGGAAAAGGCAGTAATGTTCACTTACTGCTTTTTTGAAATTTCAGTACCAATATGTTTTTCTATTGATTTAACGTTTATTCAGTATAAAATATTACATTAATAACTTTATTTCCATAAGAAAGTAGTTTTTTAAATGTGACAAATATTTTGAATTAATTATATTTCCTGAGTATAAAAGCAGTAAATCTATTTCTCAAAGTAAGAAAGCAGTAAAATTCAAACTATACTGCTTTTATCTTCTTAGAGAGATTAGTACTGCTTTTTTACGCTTTATTAAGTGTAATGTGATTATATTATGATCTGTAGTTACCAAGAAAAAAAAACAGTAATCGTCATTTTACTGCTTTTTTCTGTTGAATTATCGACATTTGAATGTCAAATATTGTTGTGAGCGGTGTGCAGTTTTGTTCCGGGCTTTTAAATTAAAAGTCATATTTTTTTAGTTACTAGATAGATTTTGTTGAGGTTCTAATTAGTTTTCATTTTGTTCAAAAAGTTTTCCATGTGATTAAACCTCCGTTTTTTTTCTCGAAAAATGTTTAAATTCACGAAGATTTTATAATTTTTAAAGAAATAATTTAAAAAATAGTCTTTGTTTAATTTTTAATACTGTTTTTTTTTCATTACCTGATAATTCTAAAATTTAAAAAGATTAAATAATTGTTAAATATTTGTATTCATCGTTACATGAATAACAATATAATTGTTATTATATAAATATTAATCGTTTGTAATAGTAAAAAAAATTAATTATATGTGCAAAAATTAGAAAATTACAATCAGTATTTTATATTTTGTGATTCAACGGTGATAAGATAATAATTGTTTTACCTAGTTGTGTTTATTTTTCAATGAATAAAATTTATTAAAAACGAAAACATTTTTTTATTCCGAATTACTGCGCTTTTTTAACAAAATAATTAATATGACAATTAAAAAAAACAACGGAAAAAAGCAGTAATCTTGTTTTACATAGTAAAAAGGCATTAAGTCATATGTTACTGCCTTTTGGTTTACAGCAATAAAAGACAGTACGTCATTTATTTTAGGCCCGCCAATAAATTACTTTTTAAATACACACGCAAATGACTTCTTAGAAAACCATGTAAAATATTATTAGTCATTTATATATAATTGTAGAAGAATAATATTATTAATTTAGTTATAAATTATCTGAAATTTAAATTTTATTTTTCTCCAATTTAGCTTTTTGCACTTTACTGCCTTTTCCCTAAGTACGGCAGTATAGATCGGCGGCTTTTTTATCGAATTTGAATCACGGTAGGCTCGGTAACTAAGGAAAATAGCGTCCCTGGCAACGGTTGCCATGGCAATGTTATGGTTGCCTTGACAACGTTATAATTGCCATGGTGACGCCTTTTCGGGTCGTGAGACACTTCCAAAATTGAGCGATGGGTGAAAAACTAAACGTGAACTTTTTCAGCCGAAAATTGCAAACGTTCGCGGTGCTCTGCGAGAAATACGAGCCGTCGATAAAACGCGATCCGTGCTATGTGGGCTACCTGGACAAAATAGGGCAGATATTTTTCGGTCTGAATCCGCCCCAGCAGCAGCAGCAAAAATCCGGCATTTTCGGTAACTTTTTCGAAAGTTTCCTGACAGGTTTGGGCGAAGACAGCGACGATGAAAACTCCGCCGCGGGCGCGTCCACCTCTGCGAGCAGCGGACGCAAAAAGATGATAGAAAACGCGGATCTAGACTAAGCGAAATATTTATACGGAATAATAAAAAAATTGTCTTGGATTTGTCTACATGCAAGTGGAGTAATGTTTTGGAATCCAACAGAGAAAAAAAGTCCTATTTGACATTTTTTAATGCCTTAAATCATCATTCAATGTTTGCTGTACTAAACTGAAAAACATTATTCCCACTTCTACTAAAAATAATTTACACTTACCTTCAATTTTATATGGCAAGAATTTATTATCCTACTTTGTATAATTTAAATTATTTATTATGTTGTTTTTTATAGTTTTTAATATCATATTATATAAAAAAAAATCAGAAGGAATTAACGTGAATTAATAAGTGTAATTATTTTTTAATCGACTAATTCACCTTGATTAATTCTGTAAGGCTAAAATACTAATTTTCTATATTTTCGTGTACAATACCTGCGCCATTTGTGGGGTGTTTCTTGACATTTCTATAGAAAATGTTATTTAACCAATCAAAGCACTGCATTTGCCTTCAAAATCTAGTGTGCGAGATGAATGCTGTGTTCTAATTGGTTAATTAATTCTGTCGCAATTTAAAGAAACAGCCTCTGTTGTTTATTTTACATTTTAAATAAGTACTACTTTTTGTTGATTATTTTTAAGGGGGTCGATTTTCTTTTAAAAAGTAATAATTCCCTTTTATTGTAAGTATTTAATGATTATATTATAACGATTTTGCTTGCAAAATAAAGTGAATTTTCTAGTATGATTGTTTTTTATTGTGCAGGTATCTGTAGTGTAGGTAAGAGTTTGGGATTTTGGTTGGTAGATGTCGCGATTTTGACAGTTGCTGAATTTCTGTCGAAAATTTTGAGCGCAAGACTTGCAGAAAATGCGTCCATTTTGTTTATTTTCTAATGTGGAAAGTGTAGTGTCGGCATCGCGATAAATAGAAAGAATAAGGGCCGATGGACTTGGAAAAGCGCTTAAAATTCCTTGCGAGTCGTTTAACATAATATTATATATGTCTGTTGTGCGTGCCCCTCGGACAGAGGGTTTAAAATTTAGCAGACATTGGGCGCATTGCAAGTAAGCACTTTGTCAAATTGACTGGTTTGTCCGGCACTAAAAATAATCCGCAACACAACAACAACATCGCCAATCGCGGTGACGCAGCGGCTGCGGACAAAGAACAACACGCGAACGCGAAAAAAACTAAGAGTGCTCAGGCGGCCAACGCGAATCACGGACCCGTGCCCCAGGACCCGCAGCCCCCAGCTATGAACCACGTGACCGGGCAGCTATTCCGCACCGCCAGGGAGGAAGAGGCCCCGCAGACCAACGTCAGCGAAGTCGAGGAAATGGAGACCCAAGAAGGTATTTCCGACCGCTTTTTTGCGCCTGCAGCCATTGCGAATTTAACCTGACATCAATCTTTTCACCCAACCAAACGCTCTTCAAACCATCAATTACCCTTTGTTACACTACTAAAAATAACAAATTTACACATTACAAATTCTGTCTGTCATCATTGCATCCAAGTCAATACACAATTAACTAATTATGTTTAATTCCAACTTTAAAATATCGAATCCAATTAGGTACCTATATGATTATGTTTATTTAACCTTAAAATAGTAGCAAATATCATAAGACAAGATTTTTTGATGCAAAATTTATAACACATAACCCTATTTTTTACAGTTATAAAATATACCACAATTGTTGAACATTTTTACGGCAAAAATAGCCATATAGGTAACTGTTTTTTACTATGACTGCCTTGATAATGTCAACCTAAGCTAGCTATAACAAAAATAGCTCTAGGTATATAACTTTCTTTAAGTCTTAACTTTAATAAGAATGTCAACCTGGCTAGCTATAACTGTCAAAAATGTCAATTTTTAGCTAGAATATTACTGTCTTAATTTAATTAATTTCAGCTAGATATAGGTAACTGTTTTAAGAATGTCAATTTAAGCTAGCTATAACTTTTAAGAATGTCATTAAGCTAGATTGTCAAGTTAAGCTAGATATGACTGTTTTAAGAATGTCAAGTTAAGCTAGATATAACTGTTTTAAGAATGTCACTAAGCTAGATTTGACTATTAAGAATGTCAACTTTATGCTAGATATTACTGTTTTAAGATTTTCTCCACCCAACTAAACGCTCTTTAAACCATCAATTACCATTTGTTACACTACTAAAAATATCAAATTTACACAATTCAAATTCTGTCTGTCATTATTGTATCCAAGTCAATACACAATTAACTAATTATGTTTAATGCCAAGTTTAAAATATCCAATCCAATTATATGCTTATGTTTATTTAACCTAAAGTAGGTAAGATAAGATTTTTTTATGCAAAATATATAGCACATAACCCTATTTTTTACAGTTATAAAATATACCACAATTTTTACAACAAAAATAGCCATATAACTGTTTTTAACTAAGCTAGCTATAACTGTCAAGAATGTTTTAGCTAGAATATTACTGTCTTAATTTAATTAATTTCAGCTAGATATAACTTTTAAGAATGTCAATTTGAGCTAGATATAACTGTTAAGCTAGATTGTCAACTTAAGCTAGATATGACTATTTTAAAAATGTCAAATTAAGCTAGATACCTATAACTGTTTTAAGAATGTCACTAAGCTAGATTGTACTTTTAAGAATGTCAACTTAAGCTAGATATTACTGTTTTAAGAATGTCTTCACCCAACTAAACGCTCTTTAAACCATTAATTACCCTTTGTAACACTACTAAAAATAACAAATGTACACATAACAAATTCTGTCTGTCATCATTGCATAACTAATTAAGTTTAATTCCAAGTTTAAAATATCCAATCCAATTATATGCTTATGTTGATTTAACCTAAAGTAGTAGCAAATAGCATAAGATAAGATTTTTTTATGCAAAAACTGTCTTCAGAATGCCAACTTAAACTAGCTGTAACAAAAATAGCTCTATATAACTGCCTTTAAGTCTTTTATAATAATTCCAACTGTCTATGACTGTCTTAAGAATGTCAACATAAACTAGATGTTACTGTCGTAAGAATGTCAATTTAAGTTAGCTATAACTGTCTTAAGAATGGAAATCTTAATGACAAAAATAAAATATACAAGGTGTTTATTAATTGGATGCTGATACTATTCTTGGATAATGTTAGAGAAAAAAGTTCTTATAAGAGTTTTTTTTTTAAATTTTATTGGGCAGAAAAATACATATTTTCAAATCAAATATTTGTTCTACTTTCACTGTTTTACTTTTATATTTGAGAATTATCTATTAATTAATTACCATTTGCTTAATGGTATGCGGTTATGACTTAAGAAGAATCCAGTAGACTAGAAAAAACTCGACAAGTTTTGAGGGATATATTTTATCCGATTTTGACCACTCTACTATATAGGGATAGCGGAAATAAGTTGATATGAACTTTTTCCTTAAAACTATCCAACACCCTGTATAGACTTGTAAAACCATGGTTTTTCCCAATATTCTAAAAAAATGTCAAGAAAATGTTAACCTAAATGGAACAAAAAGTTTGTGATAATGTTGTCCATACAGTAAAGCTATCAACATAAAGGTAATCGTTTGCATTTTATCATTGACACAACGTTCGCAATTTGTGGTTTGAAGTAAATGCTATTGTTAGTTAATCCGATCAAACAATGAATTATATTGGACATCTCTTGTATTATAAGTTTTTAGGTTGATTTAGATAACATAATATTTATTTTTTCAATCGAAAAGACAACATCACAGACACTGGTGGGGGTGAGATGGACCACAGTCAAAATGGCGAGGTAATGATTGGTCCGCAACCCGATCCGAACATGATAGTGCAAGATATAGACGTCGAGGAGGACGAGGCGAGGTCCGAGGCCATTTTCAAGTACACAGTTACTCAATTCAGCAAGCTTAAGGTAAGAAAACGAGGATAGAACAAAGTCTTTTACTCTTATTCGCACTTGGACGCGTAGGTAACTTTTATGCTAGTAGTTGGCATTCCTGCTTTAATTTTGACAGACGAATTTTGACAAGGGATTGTCAAAATATTCAAACCTAAATCAGGAATGCCAACTGCAAGTATAAAAAACGAATCAGGTCTAAAGAAAATGATTATGGAACAAAGTCTTTGGACTTGAACCCATATGCTAAAGAAGCATTTAAAACATTTTAGTAATGATTTCAAACAGCATTTAGCATTATTAAAAGCGTTGATTAAGAAAGTCTCCACTCAACAGTAAAATACCAAGAACCGGTATTATATTATGGATTATAATGTTATGTTGCCACGAATTCGTAGGTATATTTTGTCGTCTAAAATGCAGTTGTCGGCGTTTTTTAGAGGACTAAAATATAATATTCGATTTTAAGGTTATGTTTGTACAACAATTATTTTTCGTTGGATTTCTTAAAAATATGCAAACTTAAATATAAATTATATTGGGTAAAGTTATCATTAGTTAATTCTGCAACAACAAATGAATTGGATCCTTTGGCAAAACATTTACAGTAGACTGGGCAAAAAAAAATATGGTGAAAGTTTGAGTCCATAATATTAATATTAAGAGGTCTATCATCACAATTTTAGATTTTTTTTCCTGAGCGAGTTTTTGTCTCAGAACTCCAAAACCATTGAGTTTAATAAAATTGACTTAAGAGTATTTTTTGAAGAAAATTGAATGCTCTACAAAAAAGGTTAAAGTGAAATTTTTCCGCAGATGAACCGTTTTCTTACAATCATGCCTTAAAAATTGGTATAGTTTTACAATTTGATAGGTATTTTAACTTTGAAATTTTGGAATTTATGGAAAAATCAGTACCCGGAAAAAAAACCGATAGATATTCTTATGGGAAATCAAATGCTCTACAAAAAAGTCTCCTCACATTTTTCGCTAAATTCACTCCATCAAAAGTTATTCAAGGTTACGAACGAAATTCTTGTTTTTTCCCCTCTAGATTTTTTTTTGAGTCAGTTAAAAACTTGAATTCTTTTATCGATGATAATCTTTATGTTATTGATAAAAGTACTGAAAACTAAAAAAAATAACACATTCGAATTTTTTCGCTTTAAGAAGCTATTTTCTTTGAAATATATTATTTTCACCTATTTAATCGTTTAAATAATATAAATTTTTTTATTGGAAATTGTTAATTAGTCATATAATACACATTTAAAAAGAAAAAAATCAAATTATCATCCATACAAAAAAATCTACAGAGGAAAAAAAGAATTTCGTTTTTACTTCAACTTTAACCTTGAATAACTTTTGATTCAGTGAATTTAGCCAAAAATGTGACGTTTTTTGTAGAGCATTTGATTTCCCATAAGAATATTAATCGGTTTTTTCCGGGTACTGATTTTTACATGAATTACAAAATTAAGTTAAAAGATCAAAATGTAAAACAATACCAATTTTTAAGGCATGATTTTAAGGAAACGGTTCATCTGACGGAATAGTATATTAAAGTACAAGTTGCAGAAGGCCACATATTCTCGCACGAATTCGAAATTTGGCCTCGAGCGACGAAGGAGCGAGTGGACGAACGAATGAGTGCCAGAATAGCCTTCTGCAACGTGTGATTTATACTATTTTCTCGATTTTAACTTTTATTTAGGTTTTTTTAATTGTTTTGTGGTCGTTGTTAGTTAGGGGATTTTTCTCGCAAAATGGCAGTTGGCAACACAAAATGACAATATTTGTTATCCTGCACAAGTACAACCTGAACTGCACTTTTTTACATTAAACTTAAAATTTTGCATTAAAATGCATTGTTGGAGCAAACTTAATATTACAAAACAATAATAAAGGCTTCATTTTCAATAAAAGTAATGAATTTGAGGTTATTAATCAGTTTGACATTTTGGGGGTACCAATACTTAAAAACTAAATGTTACCAAAAATCGTTTAAGAATGAGCTTCATTCTTCAACGATTTTGCGTGCGAGAATATGATATTCTTACATAAAAATCGAGAAAATTTTATTTTAACCTCTTTTGTAGAGCATTTAATTTCCTTAAAAAAATATCTCCGAGTCAATTTTGTTAAACTCAATCGTTTGGGAGTTCTGAGACAAAAACTCGCTCAGAAAAAAATAATTTTTTTTTGTCACTCCAAACCATATTTTTGAGATACTTTTCAAAAAAAAAATAGTCGATTTTTTTATTTGGTAGCTTATGGGGGGTCATTCCACGTTACTCGGGGATTTTTGTCCCACCCGTCACAATTAAAAATTGTGAGTAAAAACCATAAGATATAAAATTAATATTTTAAAATAAATTTTATAACGTGTAGTTTTTACTCACAATTTTTAATTGTGACGGGCTGGACAAAAATCCCCGAGTAACGTGGAATGACCCTTATGCCAGTTTGATTTAGAATTTTTAGTATTCAAAAAATGGCACTTCTGATGAAGACCTTAATTAAATACTGTCAAATCGACAGTAATATTTATTATTCATAATTTACTTGTTAATTATTATACATATAATATCGATATAAAAAGATAACTATGCCAAAAATGATATCAGTTCACATAAATTTTATTTTCTTTTGTATAAATTCTTTTCAATGCGAAGATTATTATCCGCTAGGAATACTTTGTCCCTCCTGGGCCGCAGTCACCTATATTTAACTACTTTTTTTATGATTTTACTCATCTACGCACCACCAAAGCCAAATTAATTGCATTTTTAACTACGAATTTTGACAACTCAACTTGACAACATGCTTTAAATGTATTGTTGACAACTCACATGCTTCTTTAGCGTATAGGTATACTTTTTAATATCAGTAGCTGGCATTCCTGTTTTGACAGTCCTTTGACAATGGACTGTGAAAATATTGAACCTACTATCTATGTGGACCAAACAAGAATCGACTGACAACTAACTTGTTGTTAGGACTCAGTGCTCTCTACTCCGTGCCACGTCCGAAACCTGCCATGGAAGATAATGGTGATGCCGCGCAACGGGCACACGCAGGACCGTTCCGCGCAGCGTTCGTTGGGTTTCTTCCTGCAGTGCAACGGCGAGAGCGAGTCGAGCTCTTGGTCGTGCTACGCGGTCGCCGAACTCCGCCTCTTGTCGGTGCGACCCGACATCGAGCCGTTCTCGCGCAAGATACAGCACCTGTTCTACTCGAAGGAGAACGACTGGGGATTCTCGCACTTCATGGCTTGGAACGACGTTCTCGACCCCGAAAAGGGCTACATCAAGGACGACAGCATCACGTTGGAGGTGCACGTCACCGCGGACGCGCCGCACGGCGTCTCGTGGGACAGCAAGAAGCACACGGGCTACGTCGGCCTGAAGAACCAGGGCGCGACGTGCTACATGAACTCGCTGCTGCAGACTCTCTACTTCACCAACCAGCTGCGCAAGGCGGTCTACAAGATGCCCACCGAGTCGGACGACTCGACGAAATCCGTCGCTCTGGCTTTGCAGCGCGTCTTCCACGAATTACAGTTCTGCGACAAGCCCGTCGGCACCAAAAAACTCACCAAGAGCTTCGGCTGGGAGACGCTGGACTCCTTCATGCAGCACGACGTCCAGGAGTTCCTCAGAGTGCTGCTGGACAAGTTGGAGAGCAAAATGAAGGGCACCTGCGTCGAGGGTACCGTTCCCAAGTTGTTCGAAGGGAAGATGAACTCCTACATTCGTTGCAAGAACGTGGATTACTCCAGCACGCGCACCGAGACCTTCTACGACATCCAGCTCAACATAAAGGGGAAGAAAAACAGTAAGTAAACTATTGTTAAGAGTCGTTTTTTCCGCCACCAGCAGCAAAAAAGCCTCTTTCAGTTTCGCCGGGCCGTTGCTATACTCCCAGTTGCCGCTTAAGTACGCATTGGTTTTTCCGTCTTTGTCTTTTAAGTTTTCACAACGACTGCTGAGTTCGATTATTTATGTCTCGGTTAATTTAAACACTTTTGTTTATTGGAAAAGGTTTTTAAGTTAATGGATTTTTGACTTACTTGGTGATTGATTTATTTGCCTTGCTCAGCTGTAATCCCGTAAATGCCAGCAATAAGATTTGGGACGGTTTGGATTTATTATTTTTTTGTATTGTTTTTCACTATTGTCTTATTATCAGTGTTGCTGTTTCTCTTTGTGCGACTCGCTGGAAAAGTTAAACATACTGGTTATTTTTATTTTTAACATTTAAAAACTGGAATTTTAATTAATAAAACATATTTACAATTTTAAATCACATTTTAGAATGTGAACAAGACATTTTAAAATGTGAACAAGACATTTTCAAATGTGAACAAGACATTTTAGAAAGTAAAAATCACATTTTAAAATGTGAACAACACATTTTAGAATGTAAGGTATTTTTTAGAATGTCAAATCACATTTTAGAGTGACCAAAACACATTTAAGAATGTCAAATCACATTTTAAAATGTGAACAGGACATTTTAGAATTTACAAAACACATTTTAGAACGTGAACAACACATTTTAGAATGTAAGGCATACTTAGAATGTCAAATCACATTTTGGAATGTAAGGCCATCTTAAAAATGATAAAATACATTTTAGAATGTAAGGCATTCTATATAATGTCAAAATACAGTTTAGAAAGTGTACATCACATTTTAGAATGTAAGGAATTATAATCTCAAAAACGAAAGTCATTTTTTAGCATTTCAAAACACATTTGTGAATGTAAAAAACACATTTTAGAATGTAATGCATACTTTAGAATGTCAAATCAAATTTTAAAATGTATGGCAATCTCAAAAATGTGAAAATAATAATAATAATAATAATAATAATAAAATGCCTTTAAGAATGTGTACAACACATTTTAGAATGTACTTTGAGTCTCAAAAACACATTTTAAAATGTAAGGCATACTTTAGAATGTCAAATCACATTTTAGAATGTAAGGCATTTTTTTGGATTTTTAAAACACATTTTAGAATGGATCCTTACACGTTATATATTAAATATTTTAGAATATAAACAAGTCATTTTAGAATGTGAGGTATTCTTTAGATTGTCCAAAACACATTTCAGAATGTAATGCATAATTCTGAATGTCAAATTACATTTTAGAATGTGTACAACCCGTTTTAGAATGTAGGCATACTTTAAAATATTAAATAACATTTTAGAATGTGAACAAGGGATTTTAGAATATAAGTTCTATATTGAATATTTTAGAATATGAACAAGTCATTTTAGAATGTAATGCATACTTCTGAATGTCAAAATACATTTTAGAATATAAGGCAATCTTTAGAATGTCAAATTACATTTTATAATGTGTACAACACGTTTTAGAATGTAAGGCTTACTTTAAAATATCAAATAACATTTTAGAATGTGAGGTATTCTTTAGAATGTCAAAATCACATTTTAGAATGTATTGCATACTTCTGAATGTCAAAATACATTTTACAATGTGTAAAACACGTTTTAGAATTTAAGGCATACTTTAAAATATCAAATACATTTTAGAATGTGAACAAGGCATTTTAGAATATAAGGTATTATTTAGAATGTCAAAAACACATTCAAGAAGTAATGCATACTTAAGAATGTTGTCACATTGTTTTATTTTTTTTACTAGGGTTGTTTTTAAGCAGAAGGAACCGTTCTTAGGGTTGTGTAGGAATCTGAAGTTGCAAATTTGTAGTCAGTTAAGAGTACTTTTCACTTTCGGTTAGTCTCGTTTGTTCTTCACATAAAATGCTTCCTATTGTCAGGTGGTTTGTCCGCCAGGTATGCTGTCACTCATCACTTCACACTCTATTACTTCCGTGACTGTAAGGTAGACTTTAATTAACTGTAGATGCAATGCATTATAGTTTATTTGCGTTTACTTTGGGATGTAAAATTTTGGTTTCAAGCGAGGTCTCGGTTAGTATGTCTTACGTACTTGTCGAGAGATATTCGGTAAAGTGACTGACGAAGCGGTGCGTTTCAGTCGACGAGTCGTTCAAGGACTACATCGCCAAGGAGACGCTCGACGGCGACAACAAGTACGACGCGGGCGAGCACGGTTTGCAGGACGCCGAGAAGGGCGTCATATTCTCCGCGTTTCCGCCCGTACTGCACCTGCACCTGATGCGCTTCCAGTACGACCCGATCACCGACAGCTCGGTCAAGTTCAACGATCGCTTCGAGTTCTACGAGAAGATCTCGCTCGACACGTACCTGCACGAAACGGACCGCACGAACCCGGCCGACTACACGCTGCACGCCGTGCTCGTGCACAGCGGCGACAACCACGGCGGCCACTACGTCGTCTTCATCAACCCCAGAGGTGAGTCTTGGGTTTGATGTTTGGTCGCGGAAAGGACACGTTTTTTTGCGTTTGCAGGCGACGGTAAGTGGTGCAAGTTCGACGACGACGTCGTCTCGAAGTGCACCAAGCAAGAGGCGATCGAGCACAACTACGGCGGACACGACGAAGACATGAACATGACCGTCAAACACTGCACCAACGCCTACATGTTGGTGTACATACGCGATTCGGAGTTGCACAACGTGTTGCAAGAGGTACGAACCAACGAACAAACTAACCTTAAACTGAACTTACACATATTACAAAACTAGGTGACCGAAAACGACATACCCAGCGAGCTGGCCGACCGGCTCGCCGAAGAGAAGCGCATGGAGCAGGTGCGCCGCAAGGAGCGCAACGAGGCCCACCTCTACATGACCATCAACGTTCTGCTGGAGGATTCCTTCGACGGGCACCAAGGCAACGATCTGTACGACCCGGAGCGCGCCCTCTTCCGCGTCTTCAAGATCAAGAAGCTCGCCACCATCGCCGAGATGATGGAGATGCTCGCTGACGCCTTCAAGTACCCGCCCGAGCAGATCAGGCCGTGGCCCTTCAGTCAGAGGTGAGTCTTTACTTTTCCCGACAGGACGGCAAAATGAGGTGTTTACGGCGGCAAAATTAAAAAAACCCGAATACGATAACATACGTTTATTACTTACTTAAAGTCTATTCAAATCCAAGCTGGACTAAATGTAAACACAATCCTCCGAATCGACCAATAAGAACGAGTTATCATGCGTCTGGGCGTTTTTGTTTAGTCCAGCTTGGATTTGAATACACTTTAGAAAATACCTTAATGTCAAAAACACATTTTAGAATGTCAAATCACATTTTAGAATGTAAGGCATTTTTTAGAATTTCAAAAATACGTTTAAGAATGCCCAAAACACATTTTAGAATGTAAGGCATTTTTTAGAATTTCAAAAATACATTTAAGGATGTCCAAAACACATTTTAGAACGCAAACAACACATTTTAAAATGTCTCATCAAATTTTAAAATGTAAGGCATTTTTTAGAATTTCAAAAATACATTTAAGAATGTCAAAAACCATTTTAGAATGTCCATATTACATTTTAGAATGTCAAATCACATTTTAGAATGTCAAAAACACATTTTAGAACGTGAACAACACATTTTGGAATATTAGGCATACTTTAAAATGTCAAATCACATTTTAAAATGTAAGACATTTTGTGGAATTTCAAAAATACATTTAAGAATGTCAAATCACATTTTAGTTTTTTTTTTAGAATTTCAAGAATTCATTTAACAATGTCCAAAACACATTTTAGAATGTCAAATCACATTTTGGAATGTTAGGCATACTTTAGAATGTCAAATCACATTTTAGAATGGAAGGCATTTTTTAGAATTTTAAAAATACATTTAAGAATGTCCAAAACACATTTTAGATTGTTAAATCACGTTTTAAAAGGTAATGCAATCTTTAAAATGTCAAAATACATTTTGGAATGTCAAAAACACATTTTAGAACGTGAACAACACATTTTAGAATGTTAGGCATACTTTAGAATGTCAAATCACATTTTAGAATGTAAGGCATTTTTTAGAATGTAAAAAAAACATTTAAGAATGTCAAAAACACATTTTAGAATGTCGAAAACACATTTTAGAATGTCAAATCACATTTTAAAATGTAAACAAAACATTTTATTATGTAATGCATACTTTAAAATGTCAAATCACATTTTAGAATGTAAGGCAATCTTTAAAATGTCAAAATACATTTTAGAATGTAAGACATTCTATAGAATGTCAAAATACATTTTAGAACACTTTTAAAAATGTAAGGCATACTTTGAGTCTCAAAAACACATTTTAAAATCTAAGGCGTACTTTAAAATGTCAAATCACATTTTAGAATGTGAACAAGGCATTTTAGAATGTAAGAAATTCTTTATAATCTCTAAAACACATTTTGAAATGTAAGGCGTACTTTAGAATTTTAAATCAAATTTTAGGATGTGAGGCATTTTTTAGAATTTCAAATCACATTTTAAAATGTTAACAAGGCATTTTAGAATTTAATGCATACTTTAGAATGTCAACTTGAATTTTAGAATGTAAGGCAATCTTTAGAATGTCAAAATACATTTTAGAATTTCAAAAACACATTTAAGAATGTCAAAAACAGATTTAGAACGTCTAAAACACATTTCGGTATCGGTAATTTGAGAAATTTTGTAAATTTTTTAAAAACAGTTTTCGATATTTTCACAAATAAAGGTACTTTTCTCTTGTATCATATTCATATTTATGTTGTATAAATGGTACTGACCAGCGTATTTTCGTGCTGGGAGTATTATGTTGTCCCCTCAAGAAAGGAAGTCATTTATGTTTCACTACTCTTTCATCAGCGACCTATGCTTTACTTTATATGAAAGAATGAGTTACTTTCTTACTTTGGACTCCAAACAATGAAAACAGTAAAAGTGTCGGCGGTTCGCTTGAAAGGAAAACAAACTCGTTGCAGGTCGAACCAGACGCTGCGGCCGAGCACTTTGGACCTGGAGGCCGACCTGCACAAGACGGTGATCGACGCGGCGGAAACGTCGAATCCGTGGCACGTTTTCCTCGAGCTGCTGCCGCCGGACAGCGGCGCGCAGGCTCTGCCCACCTTCGACAAGGAGACCGACGTGCTGCTCTTCTTCAAGATGTACGACCCGAAGCAGAAGAAGATCCACTACTGCGGGCACAGCTATCTGCCGGTCACCAGCAAGCTGAGCGATCTGATACCGCTGCTGAACGAGCGCGCAGGTTTCCCGCGCAGGCAGGAGCTGCTGCTCTACGAGGAGATCAGGCCGAACATGATCGAGAAGATCACCAACTTCAACGACCCGCTGGAAAAGGTAAATATACCGGTTATTTTCATTTTTAACACTCAAAAAATGGAATTTTAATTAATAACAACACGTTTTTAGAATGTTAAAACACATTTCAGAATGTGAACAAGACATTTTAGAATGTTCAAACACATTTTAGAATGTAAGGCAATGTTTAAAATGTCAAAATACATTTTAGAATGTGTTTAACACGTTTTAGAATGTAAAGCATACTTTAGAATGTCAAATCATATCTTAAAATGTAAACAAGACATTTTAGAATGTAAGGCAATCTTTAGAATGTCTAAAACACGTTTTGGAATGTGAACAAAATATTTTTGAAAGTCAAATAACATTTTTTTTTAAGTCAAAATACATTTTAGAATTTTTTTAGACATTCTATAGAATGTCAAACTACCTTTTAGAACGTGTACAACACGTTTTGAATGTAAGGCATACTTTAGAATGTCAAATAACATTTTAAAAGTTGAACAAGGCATTTTAATCTTTACATTCTTAAAAACACATTTTAGAATGTAAGGCTTTTTTTAGAATTTTAAAAACACATTTAAGAAAGTCCAAAATACATTATAGAATGTTAAATCAAATTTTTAATAGACAATTTAGAATGTAAATAACTTAATTTAGAATAGAAGGCATACTTTAGAATGTCAAATCATATCTTAAAATTTAAACAAGACATTTTAGAATGTAATGCATGATTGAGAATGTCAAATCAGATTTTAGAATGTATGGCAATCTTTAGAATGTCAAAATACATTTTAGAATGTAAGGCATTCTATATAATGTCGAAAAACATTTTGGAATGTGTACAACACGTTTTAGAATGTAAGGCGTCCTTAAGATTCTCAAAACACACATTTTAAAATGTAAGGCACACTTTAAACTGTCAAATCACATTTAAGAATATGAACAAGGCATTTTTGAATATACTTATGAATCTCAAACACATTTTAGAATGTCAGGCATACTTTAGAATATCAAATCACATTTTAGAATGTCAAATCTCATTTTAAAATGTGAACAATACATTTTAAAGAATACTTTAGAACGTCAAAAACACATTTTAGAATGTAAATCATATATATTTAGAATGGAATGCATTTTTAGAACTTTAAAACACATTCAAGAATGTCAAAAACACATTTTAGAATTTCAAATCACATTTTTTCATGTAAACAAGGCATTTTAGAATGTGAGGCATACTTTAGAATATCAAGAACACATTTTAGAATGTAAGGCATACTTTATAATGTAAAATCACATTTTTGAATTTCAAAATACATTTTAAAATGTCAAATTTATACTATTTCAGTGTACACTGAAAAAAATTTACGAAATTTTACACATCCAAACACACATTTATTTCTGTTTTTTTACTTAAGAAATGTGTTGTTCCATATAAAACATGTACACACATACTTACATAAGTAAAATAGCATCAATTTATGTATTTTTTTAAATTAATATGTAGTTTTTCATATTATTATGTAATAAATCCTTAAATTTATGTGCTTTTACAATTTTTAATGTACTTGTACTATTATTTTCCTAAATTTTACATTTACATGACCTTTGCATTTTTACACATTATATGTAGTTTTACAGTATGTTTGTACATATACATTTAAATACGTGGCATCAAAATAACCAACGATCAGATGTGTAAATTTACTAAATATTTTTTTGAGTGTAGGGCAGTATGCATGGATAGCGCCGAAAATTTTTCTGGGGTAAACAAAATTATTTGCAAAATGACTCATATTTAATGCTGCTCAATAAATTAATAATGATTTGGGAACCTTCTCAATCCTTTTGAGAAAAGTTTCAAATGATGATTAACCTTTTAAGCAGTATTAAGCTTAATTTTCATGTATCATGTTTGTCCGTCAGTCCGTTCATCCGGGAGCGCTCTTATTGGTCCAATTATAATTCGAAAATTATGACATTTTATCGGTCCGTCAAGTTTCAACTTCATACGTCTGACAGAGAAAGGTTAAATAATTTTAACTCATCCGTCACTACACATCTGTTTTTGACGCCTAACGTTATTTTAAGAAAATTTATTATCAAATATTTTTATATTTTTTCAATAAGATTGTAAAAGGGAAATATAACGTTCGTTATGTGAATAATGTTTTACTGTTATGTTTTTATTTAATAGGAATAACGGAAAAAAAGAAAGAACAAACAAAAAAAAAATTAAAACAAGAACTAAAAGGACCTGCTTTTTTAAAACTATACATTTTAATGTATATTAGGGCTAGTATATTCTTTTTATAAGGTATATTTACCTACCTTTAAATTTATTAGACAGCTAACTGTTAAAGTTACAATTGTTGACATAATTGTAACTATGACAATTAAGCATTAGGTAAATTTTGTAAGTGAATATACTGACACTTAATTTCTATTTGTCGCAAAATCAATCCGTTAAACGTCATTAAAAAACGTATGCATGAAAATTAGAACATTTCTTATCGGACGATTTTATTGAAAAACTGACATACGGATGACGGACAAACGTATACATGAAAATTAAGCTTTAAGCATGAGGTATTTTACAAATAAGTTTACCAAGCCCAGAAAAAGTTTTTGGCGCTTAGTTCCTTTTCGATAAGAGTTATCCACATTCTTTGAAATGGTCAAATTGCATTTTTTAAAGTGAAAAAGGCATTTTAGAATGTGAGGCATACTTTAGAATCTCAAAAACACATTTTAGAATTTAAGGCATACTTTATAATGTCAAACTACATTTTAAAGTGTTAACAACACGTTTTAGAATGTCAAAAACATAATTTAGGATGTAAGAAACACATTTAAGATGTCAAAAACATAATTTGAGGTGGACATTCTAGAAGGCGAAATCTTTTCTCTGTAGGTTTTGGAAGAGCTGATGGACGGCGACATAATAGTTTTCGAGAAGGACGAGCGCATGGACATGTCGGAGATCTCGGACCTGCCCACCTGCATAGACTACTTCAAGGACCTGTTCTACCGCGTCGAGGTGACCTTCGTGGACAAGTGCATCCCGAACGACACCGGCTTCACCATGGAGCTGTCGCAGCGCATGACCTACGACCAGTTCGCGCGCGCCGTGGCGCAGCGCGTCGGCACCGACCCCTGCCTGCTGCAGTTCTTCAAGTGCCAAAGGTAAGAGTCCCGGAAAACGAGGCGCGGCTATCTCTGTCGACACTTTGGAATGTTAAAATTACATTCTAGAGTGTCAAAAATATTTTAAAATGTCAAAAACACAATTCAAGATGTCAACACATTTAAAATGTTTAAAACGCATTCTAAAGTGCCAAAAACATTTTAGAATGTTAAAATCATATTCTAGAGTGTTAAAAATACACTTTTTCTTTCTTTCTCTCTTGTCTATTTTTGTCTATTATTTTTTTGCCTGACAACCTCTGCCCTTGCGATCCCAATAACACGAAACAAACGCATTTTAAAATATCAAAAACATTTTAGAATGTTAAAAACCCATTTTAGAATGTTAAAATCACATTCTAGTCTGTCAAAAACACATTTTAAAATGTGAAGACACATTTTAGAATGTCAAAAACAGTTTAGAATGTTAAAATCACATTCTAGGGTGTCAAAAACACATTTTAAAATGTGAAAACACATTTTAGAATGTCAAAAACGGTTTAAAATGTGAAGGCATACTTTAGAAAGTAAAAAACACATTTTAGAATGGAAGGCAATCTTTAAAATGTCAAAATACATTTTAGAATGTTAGACATTCTATGTAATGTCAAAATACACTTGAAACACTTTAAAAATGTTAAAAAACATATTTTAGAATGTCAAAAAGATATTTTATAATGTTGAAAACACATTTTAGAATGTCAAAAAACCATTTTAAAATGTCAAAAACACAATTCACTATGTCAACAAATATAAAATGTTTAAAACGCATTCTAAAGTGCCAAAAACATTTTAGAATGTTAAAATCATATTCTAGAGTGTTAAAAATACATTTTATAATTTTAAAAACACATTTTAAAATGTCAATAACACATTTTAGAGTAACAAAAACATTTTGAAATGTCAAAAACAATGTTTTTAACACTTTTTAAAATGTCTAAAAACACATTTTAGATTATCATTTTAATATGTCCAAGGCGGATTTAAAAATTTTAAAAACACATTTTTGAATGTCAAGAACATACTAAAAATATCAAAAACATATTTTGGAATGTTAAAAACACATTTTAAAATGTCCAAAATATATTTAAGAATGTCAAAAATACATTTTAGAATATCAAAAACCCATTTTAGAATCTCTTTAGAATATTTTAAAAATATTTAATAATGGCAAAAAGATATTTTATAATGTTAAAAAAAATTTTTAGAATATTAAAATATATTTTAAAATGGAAAAACACAATTTTTCAAATATTTTAAACACATTTTAAAAATGCTAAAAACACATTTTAGAATGTCAAAAATACATTACAAAATGAAAAAAAAACATATTAGAATGTTAAAATCACTTTCTAGAGTGTTAAAAACACATTTTAAAATGTTAAAAAAAAATTTAGAGTCGCAAAAAGATTTTGGAATGTCAAAAAACATTTTAGAATGTCATAATCACATTTTAAAATGTTAAAAACTAATTTTAGAATGTCAAAACATTTTAGAATGTTAAAAACCCATTTTGAAATGTCAAAATCACATTTTAATTTATCAAAACCCCATTTTAGAATGTAAAAATTACATTTTAAAATGTCAAAAACATTTCAAGTCCTATTTTGCGAGTTATTGTTCAAAACTTCAAACTTTGACCTAAGATATCCTTTGAATCGATAGGTTTACGAAAAAAACGTAAAATACTTTTTTTGTAGAGCATTTATTTTTGAACAAAATGAAGTAAAAAAAAACAGGTCGATTATTAAGGTCACCCGCGAGCAATCTCCACTTTTCGTTGCAGCTACAAGGACACTCCGGGGCACCCGCTGCGCTGCACGTTCGAGGGCACCCTCAAGGACCTGCTCGTGTACTCTAAGCCGAAGGTGCCGAAGAAGATCTTCTACCAGCAGCTGAGCATCAGGGTGAGCGAGCTGGAGAACAAGAAGCAGTTCAAGTGCATGTACGTCGGGCCGAAGATGAAGGAGGAGAAGGAGCTGATTTTGTATCCGAACAAGGGGGGCACGGTGGCCGACCTGCTCGAGGAGGCCAAGAAGCAGATCGAGTTCACGGAGGACAGTACTGGAAAGTTAAGGTCAGTTTTCACTAATTGTTCTAAACCTCTCTAGCAAGTTGGGAACATTCTGGAATGTCAAAAACACATTTTAAAACGTTGAAAAGACATTTTAGAATGTAAGGCATTGTTTAGAGTGTCAAAATACATTTTAGAATGTGAACAACACATTTTAGAATGTTAGGCACACTTTATAATGTCAAAATACATTTTAGAATGTGAACAACACATTTTAGAATGTAAAGCACACTTTAGAATTTCAAAATACATTTTAGAATGTGAACAACACATTTTAGAATGTGAACAACACAATTTAGAATGTCAAATCACATTTTGGAATGTGAACAAGACATTTTAGAATGTGAACAACACATTTTAAAATGTAATCACACTTTAGAATGTCAAATCTCATTTTAGAGTATGAACAAACATTTTAGATTAAAAGCATTCTTTAGATTGTTAAAAAAATATCTTAGAATGTCAAAAAACATTTTACAATGTTCAAAACACATTTTAGAATGTTAAAATATTTTAGAATATGAACGACACATTTTGGAATGTATTTTAAATTGTCAAAATCACATTTTAGAACATCATTTTAAAATGTCCAAAACGGATTCAAAAGCACATTTTAAAATGTGAAAAACACATTTTAGAATGTTAAAAGCATATTCTTAAATGTCAAAAACACATTTCAGAAAGTAAGGCATTCTTTAGAATGTCAAATCACATTTTGAAATGTAAACAACACATTTTAGAATGTAGGGTACACTTTAGAATGTCAAATCTCATTTTAGAATGTGAACAAGACATTTTAGATTCAAGGAATTCTTTGGAACGTTAAAATCATATCTTAGAATGTCAAAAAACATTTTACAATATCGCAAACACATTTTATAATGTCCAAAACACATTTTAGAATGTTAAAATGTTTTAGAATGTGAACAACACATTGTATAATGTTAAGTTACTATAGAATCTTAAAAACACATCTTAGAATGTCATAACATAAAAATGTCAAAAGCAAATTTTAAAATGTGAAAAACACATTTTAGAATGTTAAAAGCATATTCTTAAATGTCAAAAATATATTTCAGAAAGTAAGGCATTCTTTAGAATGTCAAATCACATTTTGAAATGTAAACAACACATTTTAGAATGTAGGGTACACTTTAGAATGTCAAATCTCATTTTAGAATGTGAACAAGACATTTTAGATTCAAGGAATTCTTTGGAACGTTAAAATCATATCTTAGAATGTCAAAAAACATTTTACAATATCGCAAACACATTTTAGAATGTTAAAATGTTTTAGAATGTGAACAACACATTGTATAATGTTAAGTTACTATAGAATCTTAAAAACACATCTTAGAATGTCATAACATAAAAATGTCAAAAGCAAATTTTAAAATGTGAAAAACACATTTTAGAATGTTAAAAGCATATTCTTAAATGTCAAAAATATATTTCAGAAAGTAAGGCATTCTTTAGAATGTCAAATCACATTTTGAAATGTAAACAACACATTTTAGAATGTAGGGTACACTTTAGAATGTCAAATCTCATTTTAGAATGTGAACAAGACATTTTAGATTCAAGGAATTCTTTGGAACGTTAAAAACATATCTTAGAATGTCAAAAAACATTTTACAATATCGCAAACACATTTTATAATGTCCAAAACACATTTTAGAATGTTAAAATGTTTTAGAATGTGAACAACACATTGTATAATGTTAAGTTACTATAGAATCTTAAAAACACATCTTAGAATGTCATAACATAAAAATGTCAAAAGCAAATTTTAAAATGTGAAAAACACATTTTAGAATGTTAAAAGCATATTCTTAAATGTCAAAAATATATTTCAGAAAGTAAGGCATTCTTTAGAATGTCAAATCACATTTTGAAATGTAAACAACACATTTTAGAATGTAGGGTACACTTTAGAATGTCAAATCTCATTTTAGAATGTGAACAAGACATTTTAGATTCAAGGAATTCTTTGGAACGTTAAAATCATATCTTAGAATGTCAAAAAACATTTTACAATATCGCAAATACATTTTATAATGTCCAAAACACATTTTAGAATGTTAAAATGTTTTAGAATGTGAACAACACATTGTATAATGTTAAGTTACTATAGAATCTTAAAAACACATCTTAGAATCTAAGGCATACTTTAGAATGTCTTAATCACATTTTGGAATGTGAACAAGAATGTTAAAAACACCACGGAATCCAAAAAACATTTTACAATATCATAAACACTTTTTAGAATGTCATTAAATTTTAAAATGTCAAAACACATTTTAGAATGTCAAAAACATTTTGTAATGTTAAAAACACATTTAAAAGTGTCAAAACATATTTAGAATGTCATAATCAAAGTTTGAAATGTCAAAAACATTCTAAAATGTCAAAAACACATTTTAGAACGTCAAAACATTTTAGAATATTAAAAACAGATTTTAGAATGTCATAATCAAATTATAAAATGTCAAAAGCAAATTTTAGAATGTCAAAAACATTTTTGAATGTTAAAAACACATTTAAAAGTGCCAAAAACACATTTTAGAGTGTCAAAAACATTTTAGATTATTTTAAACAAATTTAAAAATGCCAAAAACATATTTTAGAATGTCAAGAAGATATTTTATAATGTTTAAAACACATCTTAGAATGTCAAAAATACATTTTAAAATGGCAAAAACACAATTTACCATGTCAAAAACATTTTAAAAAAACAGATTTAAAAATGTTTAAAACGCATTCAATTGTCCAAAACATTTTAGAATGTCAAAAAAATTTAGAATATTAAAAACTCATTTTAGAATGTCAAAACTTATTAGAATGTTAAAAACCCATTTTAGAATGTCAACATTACATTTTAAAATGTCAAAAAAAAACATTTTAGAATGTCAAAATTACATATTAGAATGTTAAAAAAACTTTTTCAAATGTCAAAAACACTATTAAGAATGTCAAAAACACATTTATAAATGTTCAAAACCAATTCAAATCTCAAAAACATTTTAGAGTGACAGAAATTTTTTTATAATGTAAAAAAATATTTTGGAATGTGTTAAACACATTTTAAAATGTCCAAAAAGGTGTTCAGACATTCTAAAGAAACTTCTATTTGAAGTCTTAATTAATTCATTTTGACAATTGTCAACAATAAAAAAAATTAAAGAGGGCAACGCAAAAAGTTTAAAATAGGAAACCAGGGGTTTTAGAATACCATAAACAATGTTAAGAATGTTGTCGAGCATCTCGTTTGTTTGTCCGTTTAGGATAACCGAGGTGAATTGCAACAAGGTGACGATGGGGCCGAAGGACGACACGCCGCTGGAAAACTTGACGGGCACGTCGGCCAAGGTGTACAGGATCGAGGAGGTGCCGCGCGAGGAGCTGCACCTGCAGGAGGACGAGATGCTAGTGCCGTGCGCGCACTTCCAGAAGGAGGTCTTCTCCACCTTCGGCATCCCCTTCCTGATCAAGATCAAGCAGGGCGAACCCTTCGCCAGAGTCAAAGGTAACATTACGTTACGTTTTACACTATCATGCACATTTTATAATGTCCAAAGCACATTTTAGAATGTTAAAATATTTTGGAATGTGAACGACACATTGTAAAATGTAAGGCATACTTTGGAATATCAAAAACATATTTTAAGATGTTTAAAACACATCCTAAAATGTCACATAAAAATTTCAAAAACATAGAACGTTAAAAACACCTTTTAAAATGTCAAAACCACATTTGAAAACGTCAAAACATTTTGGAATGTCAAAATCACATTTAAAATGTCCAAAACATATTTAAGTGTTAAAAATATCAAAAGCATATTAAAAATGTTAAAAGCATATTTTAAAATGTCAAAAACACAGTAAAAAATTCAAAAACATTTTAGAATTTTAAAACATTTTAAAATATCAAAACATTTTAGAATGTTTAAAACACATTTTAGAATGTCAAAATCACATTTTAAAATGTCCAAAATATTAAAAAATGTCAAAACATATTTTAGTGTTAAAAATGTCGAAAGCATATTTTAAAATGTGAAAAACACATTTTAGAATGTTAAAAGCATATTTTAAAATGTCAAAAATACAGTTAAAAACTTCAAAAACATCATAAAATGTTAAAAACACATTTTAAACTGTTAAAACATTTTAGAATGTTAAGAACACATTTTAAAATGTTCTAAACATTAAAAAATGTCAAAAACATATTTTAGTATAAAAAATGACAAAAGCATATTTTAAAATCTCAAAAACACAGTTAAAAAAATTAAAAACACATTATAGAATGTTAAAAAACCATTTAAGTATGTAAAAATCACATTTTAAAGGTCAAAAACATATTTTAGTGTTACAAATGTCAAAAGCATATTTTAAAATGTCAAAATAAATTATAGAATGTTATAGAATGTTAAAAACACATTTTAAAATGTCAAAACATTTTAGAATGTTAAAAACACATTTTAGTATGTCAAAATCACATTTTAAAGGTCCAAACATTTTAGAATGTCAAAAACATATTTTAGTGTTAAAAATGTCAAAAGCATATTTTAAAATGTGAAAAACGCATTTTAGAATGTCAAAAAATACATTATAGAATATTATAGAATGTTAAAAACACATTTTAAAATGTCAAAAAATTTTAGAATGTTAAGAACACATTTTAGTATGTCAAAATCACAATTTAGTATTAAAATGTCAAAAGCATATTTTAAAATTTGAAAAACACAGTTAAAAATTTCAAAAAGACAATTTAGGATGTAAAAATTACATTTTAATTTTAAAAACATTTTAGAATGTTAAAAATACATTTTAAAATGTCCAAAACATATTAAAGAATGTCTAAAACATATTTTAGTGTTAAAAATGTCAAAAGCATATTTTAAAATGTGAAAAACACATTTTAGAAAGTTAAAAGCATATTTTAAAATGTCAAAAACACAGTTAAAAACTTCAAAAACATTATAAAATGTTAAAAACGCATTTTAAAATATCTAAAACATATTAGAATGTCAAAAACGTAGTTTAGTGTTAAAAATGTCAAAAGCATATTTTACAAAGTGAAAAACACATTTTAGAATGTCAAAAGCATATTTTAAAATGTCAAAAACATTAAAGGATATTAAACACACATTTTAAAATGTCAAAACCACATTTTAGTGTTAAAAATGTCCAAAGCATATTTAAAAATGTAAAAAACACACTTTAGAATTTTAAAAGCGTATTTTAAAATGTCAAAAACACAGTTAAAAATTTCAAAAACATATATTAAAAACACGTTTTAAAATGCCAAAATTACCTTTTAAAATATCCAAAACACATTAAAAAATGTCAAAAACATATTTTAAAAGAAGCTTATTTTAAAATGTTAAAAGCATATTTTAAAATGGTTAAAGCATATTTTAAAATGTCAAAAAAAACACTTAAAAATTTTAAAAACAATATAGAATGTTGAAAACACATTTTAAAATGTCAAAACCACATTTTAGAACGTCAAAAACACATTTTAAAATGTCAAAATGGCATTTTAAAATGTTCAAAACATACTAAAGAATGTCAAAAACATCATTTAGTGTTAGAAATGTCAAACCATATTTTTTAAAATGTCAAACACATTTTAGTATGTCAAAAGCATATTTTAAAATGTCAAAAACGCAAAAAAAAATTTTAAAAACATAATATTAAAAAGACGTTTTAAAATGTCAAAATTACATTTTAAAATATCCAAAACATATTAAAAATGTCAAAAACATTTTAAAATATTAGAAGCATATTTTAAAATGTCAAAAAACCATTTAAAAATTTCAAAAACAATATAGAATGTTGAAAACACATTTTAAAATGTCAAAACCACATTTGAAAATGTCCAAAACATACTAAAGAATGTTAAAAAGATATTTTAGTGTTAGAAATGTCAAAAGCATATTTTTAAATGTCAAAAGCAGTTAACAATTTCAAAAACATATTATAATGTTAAAACACATTTTAGAACGTCAAAAACGCATTTAAAAAAGTCAAAGAGCCCCAAAAAAACCCTCCATAATTTTTTGCAGAACGAATCCAAAAGAAGTTGTCCGTGCCCGAGAAGGAGTGGGAGAAGTTTAAATTCTCCATCGTCGCGATGGGCCGGGCTCAAGTGATCCAAGAGGACGAGTACGTCGTCAGCCTGAACGATTTCAGACCGCTCCAGAGTCAAAGTAAGCAATTGTAATCGTAAATTGTTCGATTTACGACGAACGAATTTGTTGCAGGCGGCAGCCCCAAGCCCTGGCTGGGCCTGGACCACGTGAACAAGGCCCCCAAGCGCTCGCGATTCAACTACCTGGAGAAGGCGATCAAAATCTACAACTGAGACTGGGATTGAAAAGGTTCGACACACTCATTCAAAATGTAACGTTAATTTTTTCACTACAAAAACACAAAAACTATCGCAGACAGACAAACAAAAATAACAAACAAAAAACCCTGCGCGTCGGACGAATCTTTGTGGTTATGTTTTATACTAATCGTAATGGTGTGAGATGCTTTTTGTTGTGTGCTTTCTCGGGCACAGTGTTACTATTTGCAAAAACACCACATTGTACATAATATTGTATTTGACAGAATAAAATATTGTCTATCTGTTTAGGATATATACACACAAAAAAAATAACCACCTGTTAATTATTTCTTTAAATTGTAGTTTGTTTTTTTTCAACTGCTAGTTACACATTTGAATAATAATAATAATAATAATTGTTTAAATTAGATGTATACTTTTTATTTTATTTATGGTTCGGATGTTGATTTCCCCCCCTTTTATCTTTTTTCATCATTGCCTCGGTGCCCAAAAATCATCTAAAATAACCTTCCTCGTTGATATTCGATTGGATTTGCGACTTTACTTTCCAGAAAATTTTACATTTCTCAAAATTCTCGCGACAAAACGAAAATTGCCGAAACGGCGCCCAACAACATTTCATCGCGATACAGTCGACAGATGGCGCCACAAGTTCGCCAAAATCGGACAAAAATCGATGACGTTTTTGCATAGCAAAAACCGAACCTGATTTCCGGCGGAAAGGTAAGTCGCAACTTCCGGAAACGCTCCCAGAACTGCGGACAGGGTATAGAAAAATCTCCGAGAGATACATTTTTTGTATATGACTTTTTAAATCAAGTTATTCGTTGCAGCCTTATTTAGTTTACTGATACTTATAAGAATGTGTGAATTAATTGTAAATATTATTAAATACCAGAAGCAATGTATTAAATGTGTTCTGTAACTTGTTTTTTTATTATTATACCACGCACTTTATTACTACGTATATTTATTGTTATAAAACCAAATACTTTATTATTATAAGTACCTACATAAAACAAAATTATTTTAGATGTTTTTTCTTTTTAAATGGAGGTCGTTTTTATTTTCTCTTCTCTTGCAAACTACTAACAATATTTTTCTATATATATTAATTAATTAAATGGATTATAAGAAGTTTTATGTATGCTCATTTTCAAGAGGAATTTTCGCTTGTACAAAATTTTGTATTAGATTTATATTATGATGTAATTTATTGCCAATTCTGTATATTTCGTATAAATCTTAATGAAAAAAAATCTGCTTAGAGTAATGCAATAAATAAGTAAAAAAACAGGGTTTTTCACTTTTTACCCCTCTCTTAATATAACCAATTTTTATGACTTCCACTGTACCTCACTAGATGTTTCATCATTAAAATATTGTAGCAATAATTGGTGCAAATATGATGGAATTTTGATGGTGCGTCATAAAAATAAATTATTTATGATAATTTCCTACAAAAATCACTTTTTAACGTTATAAATTCGTTTTTTTATCGAATTGAATTTGTCTCTTTTAACCGACCACCTTTTTTATGGCTTCAACTGTACACCACCAATTAGTAATCACAAAAATATTGCAGTAATTAGTGAGAAAATGATGATGCAAGTTATCAACTTTAAACAATTGATAACCCCCTACGAACAAATATATTAGCAAATAGTCATCGTCATTTCATTTGAAAATTTTTATTACCATAGCATTACACTATCGCCAAAAGGTCAAACGATAACGGAAAAATTAAAACTTGCATGCGTTTTTTAACTTAAATCGTCAAAAGAAGTCTTCAGATTTGAACCAGCATGTTTTCCCGCGCTTTTTTAAACAGACCCCACCTGTTGCACGCCAAGGTAAGTTGAACGTTTTTTTTTTACTTAAAAGTGCGTTAATTATGCGTTTAAACCGTTGCAAAACGTTCATTAAAACCGGTTTAAGCAACAAATGTATTGCTCAAGTGTTTTTAACCCTTGTTACGTTTATAATTTGACCTGTTTCGAACGTTTCTGATTAGAGAGGTTATCTTGAATTGAATTCGTTTTACGTGTTAATATATATTTGATTAGTTAAACTATTTTGGTTTTAGTGCAAACAATATTACTGTGATATAAACGTTTCTTTATAAGTTGAGGTGCATTTCAGAAAAATTCAGTGTCAAGGAGGTTAGTATTTTTTAACCTACAAATGTCACATTTGACGGTTAGAAAAATTGAATTTTTTTGAAAAAATGTCGGTGTTTGGTAGTAGTTTGGCTGTAATTTGCAAAAAATATGTTAAATTCAAGGTAACATTACGTAATTTTGCTTTACTTTCTACATATATAAGGAGTAAACTAAAATATTAATATTGGTATTTAAAAAACCGACAATTTTTTTATTTTTTATAGAAATGTTGTTTTCTAATAGTTTAGCTGTAGTTTGCCAAAAATATGTTAAATTCCAGGTAAAATTACATCACTGCTTTACTTTTTGTATTTATATGCAAAGTACATATTGTGAATATTTTAAATTTTATTAAAAGTGTAATATTTGTCCACTTTTCAGAATCTAGGTAATATTTTGCGACAATCCACGGGCCCTTTAGCAAAAATGGACATTTCCCAAACTCTAAACCGCAACATATGGGAATCCGACCCGGAACTATTCGAAATAATGAAAAAAGAGAAACTTAGACAAAAATCTGGGCTTGAAATGATCGCTAGTGAAAATTTCACGACTCTGCCCGTCTTGCAGTGCCTTAGTTCCTGCCTGCACAACAAATATTCCGAAGGCCTCCCCGGGCAGAGATATTACGGTGGTAACGAGTTTATTGACCAAGTTGAAGTTCTGGCGCAAAAAAGATCGCTGGAAACGTACAAAGTGAGCCCTGAGGAGTGGGGCGTCAACGTGCAACCTTACTCGGGCTCTCCAGCGAATTTTGCCACCCTCACTGCAGTGGTAGAACCACACGGCAGGATCATGGGTCTTGATTTACCCGACGGTGGTCATTTGACCCACGGTTTCTTCACGGCCACCAAAAAAATCTCCGCCACCTCTATTTTCTTCGAATCTATGCCCTACAAGGTGGATCCTGAGACAGGGTTGATCGATTACGATCAGTTGTTAAAGACAGCTAGACTTTTCAAGCCTAAGCTTATCATTGCTGGAGTTTCTTGCTACTCCAGGGCTTTGGATTACAAGAGATTCAGGGCTATTTGTGATGAAGTGGGGGCTTATTTGATGTCCGATATGGCGCATATTTCAGGATTGGTGGCTGCAGGTAAATAACTTTTTTATGTCAAATGGTATTTTCTGTTTTTCCAGTATAACATCCTATTTTTTATTTGGAATGTCAAAAAACAGTTTAAAAAGTCAAAAACACAACTTAAAATGTCAAAAACACATTTTATAGTGTTAAAAACATATTTGAGAATGTCAAAACACATTTTAGAATGTCAAAAACAATCTGGGATCTTTAAAACTATTTTAGAATGTCACAAACACATTTTAAAATGTCAAAAACACATTTTAGAATGTTAAAAACATGTTTAAATTATTTTAGAATATCAAAAATGTGTAAAACACGTTTTAAGAATATTGTTTATTGATACAGAAAAAGCCCATTTTCTGTAAGTCAAAAACACATTTTAAAATGTCAAAACATATTTGAAAATGTCAAAACACATTTATTATAGTGTTAAAAACATGTTTGAGAATGTCAAAAGCACATTTAAGAATGTCAACAAACTTTCAAGAATGTCAAAAACGTTAAAGAATCAAAATTTTAAATTGAAAAAACCTTATAAAATGTCAAAAACTCATTCAATTTGTTTAAAATGTCAATTTGGAATTTTAAAAACGTCAAAAAACTTATTAAATTTTATCACAAAATTAAAAAATTGGAATCTTATAAAACATTTTAGAATGTCAATAGCCCATTCAATAATATTAAAAATGTCAAAAACGTTGTGGTAAATTTTATCATCTCAAAATTCAAAAATTAAAAACAAAAATTTCTAATGCTTAAAAACATTTAAGAATGTTGAAACATGTTAATATTATTATATTAACTTAATAAAGTTGTTTTTTTTAGGTGTGACTCCAAATCCTTTTGATTACAGTGATATTGTTACCACCACTACCCACAAAAGTTTAAGGGGGCCCCGTGCTGGGGTTATTTTCTTCAGGAAAGGAGTTAGATCTGTTAATGCTAAAGGAGAAAAAATCATGTACGATTTGGAATCTAAAATTAATCAAGCAGTATTCCCAGGTTTACAAGGTATGTATAAAACATTACAAACATTTTAAATGAGTATACCTATCTATATGTAAAAAAGTTTTCAGAAATATATATTTTATCACATATAACTATAAAACCTTAAAAACGACTTTTAAGGCAATAAAACGGTAAAATTTAAATTAAAAACTGCATGTAAAATATTAAATTTTGTAATAAAGTTAATATTTTTATCTACCTAATTAAATTTTAATATTGCAACATACGAATTTTTTAGCAATCTTTTTAATCAAAACACATTTAAGAATGTCAAAAACGTTATGGAATTAAAATTTTGAATTTCAAAATCTCATAAAATGTCAAAAACTCATTCAATATGTTTAAAATGTCAAAAACGTCCTATTAAATTTTATTTCCAAATTCAAAAACCTGAATACAATTTTTAGATTAAAAAACAATTTGGAATCTTTATAACATTTAGACATTTTAGAATGTCAAAACGTTACAGAAAATAAAAAACGTTACATAATTTTTAGATTAAATTTTTGAGTTTAAAAAACACAATTTGGGATTTTTAAGAACATTTAAGAATGTTAAAAATGTCAAAATTAAACAACCTCGGAAAATCAAATTTTTAGAAAAAAAATTCTTTTTGTAGACCTAAAATGTCAAAATCTGATTTTAGTATGTCAAAAACCTTATAAAATGTCTGAATCCTTTTTTTATTAAAAAAAAATTGGAATATTTAATAACATTTTAGAATGTCAAAAAGTTACAGAATGTTAAAATTTTGTTGTTAACTTTAAAAATGTCAAAAACACATTTTAAAATCTTAAAACATATTTTAGAATGTCAAAAACACATTTTAAGATGTCAGTGACATAGAAAAAGACCATTTTCTGTATTCCTAGTATAATATCCTATTTTTTGTTTGGAATGTCAAAAAACCATTTATTAAGTCAAAAACACATTTTAAAATGTCAAAAACATATTTGAGAATGTAAAAAACACATTCTAGATTATTAAAAACAATTTGAGATCTTTAAAAACATTTTAGAATGTCAAAAACACATTTTAGAAAGTTTAAAACACATTTTGGGATGTCAAAAAAAATATTGTTTAGTGATACAGAAAAAGCCCATATCTTATTTTTTTGTTGAAATGTTAAAAAACAGTTTATTAAGTCAAAAAACATTTTAAAATGTCAAAAACACATTCTAGATTGTTAAAAACAATCTAGGATCTTTAAAAATATTTTAGTTTGTCAAAAACACATTTTAGAATGTTATAAACATATTGTTTAGTGATACAGAAAAAGACCATTATTACTATTCTTAGTATAATATTTTTGGAATATAAAAACATTTTAGAATGTCAAAAACACATTTTAGAAAGTTTAAAACACATTATAGGATGTCAAAAAAAAATTGTTTAGTGATACAGAAAAAGCCTATATCTTATTTTTTTGTTCGAATGTCAAAAAACAGTTTATTAAGTCAAAAAACATTTTAAAATGTCAAAAACACATTCTAGATTGTTAAAAACAATCTAGGATCTTTAAAAACATTTTAGTTTGTCAAAAACACATTTTAGAATGTTATAAACATATTGTTTAGTGATACAGAAAAAGACCATTTTTACTATTCTTAGTATAATATTTTTGGAATATAAAAAAATACTTTATAAAGTCAAAAACACATTTTAAAATGTCAAAAACACATTTAATAATGTTAAAAAACATATTTGAGAATGTCAAAAACACATTTTAAAATGCTTAAAACTCATTTTAGAATCTCAAAAACGTTATAGATTATCTGAATCCAATTTTTTTACTAATTTTCTGTTATCTTTAAAAACATTTTAGAATGTCAAAAACACATTTTAAAATGTTTAAAACGCGTTTTAGAATGCCAAAAAACTTTTAGAATATCAAAAACGTTATAAAATGTCTAAATCAAATTTTTGGATTAAAAAAAAACAATTTGAAATGATTAATAACATTTTCGAATGTCAAAAACGTTACACAATGTCAAAAATGTTAAAAAATATTAAAAACTTTAAAGAATTTTAACAAGTTACAGATTGTCTGAATCAATTATTTAGAATTAAAAAACTTAAAATGTCAAAAACGTTAAAGGTTACAGATTGTCTGAATCAAATTTTTGAATTTAAAAAACACAATTTGAGATTATTTGTTATATTGCAACAAACCAATTTTCAAGCAATCTTTTCAATCAAGGTGGGCCACACAACAACACAATCGCTGCCATAGCAACGGCCATGAAACAAGCGAACACGCCCGAATTCGTGACGTACGCCAAACAGGTGGTTGCGAACGCCAGACGCCTAAGCGACGGCCTCCAATCGAAGGGGTACAAGGTCGTGACGGGGGGAACGGACGTGCACATGCTTCTCGTCGATTTGAGGAGCGCGGGAATCACCGGAGCGAAAGGGGAGTACATCCTCGAGGAGATCTCGATAGCCTGCAACAAAAACACCGTGCCCGGGGACAAGAGCGCCCTGAACCCTTCGGGGATTCGCCTGGGAACGCCGGCTCTGACCACCAGGGGGCTCGAGGAGGCGGACATCGACGCGGTTGTCGGTTTCATCGACAGAGGGCTCAGGTTGGCCAAGAAAATCAACGACAAGTCCGGGCCCAAGTTGGTGGACTTTAAAAAATTGCTGCACGAGGAGTTTCAAGGTGAAGTCGACAGTTTGAAGAAGGAGGTGGAGAGTTTCAGCAACGCGTTCCCCCTCCCTGGCTTGGAGGAGTATTAAACCATCTTTTTGTTATTTATTGTTAATTTTTTATTTTTATGAAAATTCTTTTTTCAATATATTTTTACATAATTATTTGCGTCTTTTATTTATTTTATAACTGGCCTTGGCGCGATATTAGTCGCTATCAAGTCACAATATTAACATTTCAAGAAAATAATAATGAAAAAAAACCATTTTAAATTTTAAATAATGGGTTTTCAAATAAAATATCCTATTTTAAGGTAAATATATAGAAAACAACATATTTTCTCTAAATTTATTCATAACAAAATTGTAAAGTTCATTTTTTTTTCATCTGGACTGCGGCAAAGTTGCAAATTTAGGGTTTTGGTTAGTAAATACAGTTGTCAAGTTGGTCGCATTGATTAAAACAAACTAAGCTAGTTATGGTTATGTATAAATTATTGTAGGTTACATTGTGCAGTTGTCAAGTTGAGTTGTCGAAATTCGTAGTTAAAAATGCAATTGGCTTTGGTGGTGCTTGGATGAGTAAAATCGTATAAAAAAGTAGTTAAATATAGGTTGCTTTACGGCCCAGAAGAGAAAGTATTCCTAGCGGATAATAATCTTCGCTTTGAAAAGAAATTAAAATTTTTTATGAACGTAAATGTTGTCCAATGGTGAATAATGTGAAAATAATGTGTGATGTAATATTTATAAAACCAAATTCGTTACTTTTTTACTTCAAAAATGTCCATAAGGCGATGTACTTTTTCTTCCATTGTGGCATTTGTCATAATTTCATCAAAATGAAGTTTTGCCCTCAAAAGGGCTTTTACATTCGAATTCGTTGCTATTATTTTTGGCATAATTTTTATTTTATTTATAATTGACAAGTAAATTATCGTAAGTAATATCATAAGGGCATTTAATTTTTCCGAAAAGAATCGAAAAAACACGTTGCTAAGTAATATTTTAACAAAAAGCATGAGTGCTGGTGGCAACAAAAATCCGAGTCGAAGAGGAGGATTTTTGCACCTGCACGAATGCATTTTGTTAAAAAATATTACTTAGCATTGTGTTTTTTCGATTTTTTTCACAGGAAAAATTAGATGCCCGAATGGTATTTGACAAGACTATTTCATGAGTAACAGTTAACAATTAAAATATAAATTGCAATTTTTGGTGACAACAGCTGTCAAGTTTTGCCGCGGGTAAACTCGAATAAACTGCTGACAGGTGCTGTCACACAGTTTTTTCACCTAGAAACCATTTGTAATTCAAAATTGCGCGTTTGTGATTGGTGGAAATTAAGACGAGGGAAATAGTCAATAATAAATATTATTGCCAATTTGACAGTGTCAAAGTATTTAATTAAATTCTTTAGCAGAAGTACCATTTTTAAATACCAAAAATACTAAGTCAAACTGGCATAAGCCACCAACCTAACAAAAAAACACGAGACCAGATAAAAAAAAATAACTGTATTTACAAATAATTGCAATTTAGGTCAAGTTGCCAAATAGAAACCCTAAATTGGCTCCATGGTGGCCAACATAGAATAAAAAACACTAAATTTGTGAAAAATATTGTATTATGGGCCATTTCATTATCAGCAGAAAAGTACCTCTAAAAAACGACTGCTATTTAATTGTTTACTATCCTTAACATCAATTTTTTTCACACGCTGTCTGCAAAAACTACAAATTTTATGCTGCACATTATTCTACACATAGACTAAACCCCGTACATGATACAAAGAAAACATGACCCCGTACAAACTTTTAGACCACATCTCGTATGTGGTACATTTGAACTACTCGGCCTTAACCTCCAAATCCTGACAGATCAAAGTTAATGTAAACCTTCTAACCTTCTTTATCTCTGATGTAAACCATCGTTGTTTTTTATGTAATTGAAGTAAAAATCGGGATTTACAATGTCGAAGATAGCCACAAAAGTGTTAGGTTTACTGACAACCAAAGCTTCGTCACAGAACGCCTTCAAAAGATTGCTCAGTACTCAGCCTTCAAAGTTGGTTTATAGTGAATATGGGGACCCCATTAAGGTTATACAAAGAGCGAACGAGGACATTTCGGACCCCAAAGACGGCGAGGTGTTGATTAAAATGCTGGCAGCGCCTGTAAACCCAGCCGATATCAACACAATACAGGGGAAGTACCCCTCGAAACCCCCCCTTCCGGCGGTGCCCGGCAACGAAGGGGTCGGCAAAGTGGAGAAAGTGGGAGGCGGGGTTACGGATATATGCGTTGGAGATCACGTGGTGCCCCTTACAAACAATCTGGGAACATGGCGAACACACTTGCTACTGAAGAAGGAAAACGTGCTGAAAGTGCCGCAAAAGTTGGGCCTTGTCGAGGCAGCAACTCTCACAGTAAACCCCTGCACTGCCTTCAGAATGCTGCGCGACTTTACTTCGCTCAAACCCGGCGATACTGTTATGCAAAACGGTGCTAATTCGGCTTGCGGGCAAAACGTCATACAAATCTGCAGATCATGGGGGATTAGGACTGTCAATATAGTACGAGAAAGGCCCAATTTGGACGAACTAAAAGCCTTTCTTACAGGCTTGGGGGCCACTTATATTCTAACAGAAGAAGAGTTGCGTACAACCAACCTATTTAAGTCTGGCGAAGTAGACAGGCCCAAGTTGGCTCTTAACTGTGTGGGTGGTAAGAATGCTTTGGAGTGTACTCGTCATTTGGCCCCAGGGGCCCCCATGGTAACCTACGGGGGAATGTCCAGGGAACCACTGACGGTACCAACATCAGCACTAATTTTCAAAGATATCCAATTCAGAGGTTTTTGGATGACTAGGTGGTCAAAAGATAATGCCAACAGCGTTGATAGGCTTGAAATGTTTGAAGAATTGATTTCACTGATGACCAACAATGAATTGCAAGGGCCTTCCCACAAAATGGTTAATTTTGATAACTACAAAGAAGCCCTTATGAATACCATGACAGTGCAGGGTATGATTGGGAAAAAATATATTTTGGATTTTCACTCATAGGTTAAGTCAATACGTTGTGATATAGTTAAATAAAAACCCTGTTATATGAAAAGTTGTTTTATTTATTCATCAAAATCGTAGAAATCCATCCAAAAAGATTTAAATAATAAGTTTGGTGAGTGGCGCCATCTCTGTGTTGAACGATGAACTGAAAGTCGCTAATGTAGATTTCTTGGGTTTCATGTTTTTTGGTCGAACGCGAATATGTTTATTGAGGTTATGTAAGTTCAAAAGCATTTTTGTTATTGGTTTCAAATTACCCGAAATAAAATTGTTTACCTTAAAAGTATTGCTATAATAGGGCATTATACCAGGATTATCTCTGTACTTAGTAATTTTGATAGGTGGCGCCATCTCTGTAATAATCGATGAACTATTTGAAATTAGTAATGTAGAAATCTTTAAATCGTCAAAGTAAACGTCAAACTCAGGGTGGAAGACCACCCTGGTCAAACTATTAAAACTCTGATTATTATTATTAATAATAAGAAAACGTTTTCTGTGATAAAAATGTTTTAGTGACTAATTTTTATTACTTTTTATAAAAGGTCAATTAACTGTAATTTTTGTAATTACTACAAACTACAGTTTGTACTGTTATCCAAAGGTACAAAGTTTCAAAGGTATTATTTGCAAAAAACAAAATGCAGGAAGCATACGTGAATATTAACGGCATTAGAACAAAAATAACGACCTTTGGTCCATGGATTGAGGAGTCTATAAAACCCAATGAAAACATAGTGGTTGTGATACCTGGTAACCCGGGTATTAATAGTTTTTATGATGTTTTCTCCAGAAAAATCCATGAAAAACTCGGGTACCCCGTTTGGGTAGTGGGACATGCTGGCCATAACATCCCAGAACAATCTATTGACCCATTACCTACAGAAAGTGATGTATATGGGCTTAAAGGACAAGTACAACACAAAGTAATATAAAAAAATAATAAATTATACTTTATTTACTAATATAACATTTTAGCTTGACTTTTTAAAGAAGTACATCCCTGAAAGTGCCACAATACATCTCATAGGACATTCCATAGGATCGTACATGATCCTAGAGCTTTTAGAAGACAATTTCGTACAAAAGAAAATGTCTACAACTTCTCTACTATTCCCCACCGTCGAGTATATGAGAGAAACTTCAAACGGGATATTTATGACCAGTATTGTAAAACACACAGTCTGGCTAATACTATTTTTATCATGGATTTTCACCATGCTTCCAGGATTCATACAAAATATACTCCTAACTGTTTACTGCACAATAGCTAAAATACCACCACACAACAAAAAAAGTATAATCGAACTTATTAACCCCGAACTACTCAGCCGAGTGTTCAGTTTGGCCATGGAGGAAATGGATGAGGTTCGCGAGAGAAACAACGAAGCAATACGAAATAATGTCGGGAAAATTCGCTTTTTATACGGCGCTACGGACGGCTGGGCCCCCGAAAAATATTACAATAAAATCGTTGGGGATGTTGTTGGTGTGAAAGCTGAGTTATCGCGCGGTTTTAACCACGCGTTCGTGCTGAGGCAGAGCATTCCCGTCGCAGAGACCGTTTGTAATTATATACAGTCGAATAATTAACTTTTGTACGGTTATTAATTCAATAAATAATGATATTTTTAAATCTGGCGCTTTTTTTATTTCTTTAGGTTGGTATTTGCAGATGTTGACAAGTGTTGCCAACGAAAATTCTTTTCCCCTAGATATTGACAAGAAGGTAGGTTTGATTTTTGTATATTCAAAAATCTTAAAACATCGGGTAAATAAATGACTTATTTTTAATTTTGTTGCTATATTTTGACTTGGTAAGCCTTTCTTAATGTAGTTTTTGTGATATTTGCTAGTTTTTGTGTGTATTTTATATTTATTTAATATTTGTTGTTTTTCAGATTTTGACAACCTTCTTGGGCTAATTTGCAAAAATGGTAAGTTGAACAACCCTTATGTACCCTAATAAACCTTATACTAAACGTGCAAAACCTCTAATTTTCACCTTTTTAAAATTTCCAAAACCTAACCTCAATTTCTTTTAGCCACGCGAAATCACCGAAATAAAAGAGTTCCTGCTGACGGCGAGAAGGAAGGACGCCAAATGTATGTGGAAATAACGTTTAGTAATATATTTTACTAATTAGTTGGTTTTTAGCCGTCAAAATAAAGAAGAACCCTGAAAACACAAAGTTCAAAGTACGTTGCTCCAGGTTTCTGTACACCCTTGTGATTACAGATAAAGAAAAGGCCGAAAAACTGAAGCAGTCTTTGCCACCAGGTATTTACATGTTTTGTTAGCTCCATTTGAAAATTTTAAAAATAAATAACAGTACTCTGCGAAATCAAATTCAGCAGTTCCAATGTAGTATAACTCATTTTTGTTTCTTAGTTGGCAGCTCAAAATTTGAAATGACAATTTTAAAAAGTGCTAAAAAATTGTTTTTTGAGATTTCCATAAAAAATATTGTCATATTCAATTTCAAATCAAATTATTTTAAAAATTTGTTTAAAATGTTTGGCTTATATTTTTTTATTGTTGCAGGTCTTCAAGTAAAAGAAGTTAAATGAACATGTTAATATGTTATACTTTTTTTGTAACTAAAATATAATTTAATGTAAAAATTAAATGTTTTTATTTAATAAACCCCTAAATTTAGGATAAAAATGACCAAGGTAAGTGTAAATCATATAAAAAGCAATAAACCAATCATAGCACAGCATTTTCCACAGCACACTTGCCGCGATGGAAAACGTTGCAATCTGATTTGTTATTGCTTTCTAAAGGTCATTTTCTATAAAGTAGATTAAATTTGTGCTTACCTTTATATCTATATCTTTAAAATAGTCAAATCTAGCTTAGTTTTGTCCAGCTCAACTTGACATTCTTAAAACAGTCAAATCTAGCTTAATGACATTTTTAAAACAATTACATCCAGCTCAGCTTGGCTTTCTTAAAACAGTCAAATCTAGCTCAGTGGAATTCTTATAATATTTTAAGACAATCTTATCTAGCTCGAATTGACATTCTGAAAACAGTCAAATCTAGCTCAGTGACGATTTAAGGCAGTTATATCTAGCTCGAATTAACACTTTAAAAGCAAGTCGTATCTAGCTAGTTAACATTCTTAAAACAGTCAATTTTAGCTCTAGCCAAATCTAGCTCACTGACATTCTTAAGACAGTTTTATCTAGCTCAACTTGACATTCTTAAAACAGTCATATCTAGCTCAAGTTAACATTCTGAAAACAGTCAAATCTAGTTCAGTGACATCTACGACAGTTATATCTAGCTCGACTTAACATTTTCAAAACAGTCATATCTAGTTGACATTCTTAAAATGGTTGTCTAGTTTAAGTTGACATTTCTAAGAAATTATATATAAGACCTTACTTTCTATAGAAAGTTTTGTCTATGAAATGCAATAAACCAATCAAAGCACAGCACACTAGATGCGATTTATAAATTTGTACTTACCTTTTTAGAAATTTTAGGGGTAGAAAGAAGTCAAAAATGAATGTTTTATGGTTTAATTAAATCGTTTAGTATAATTAAATGAGCCCTATACCCAATATTATGTACATAAAAACGCAGGAAATTTTTTTACAAAAAACCATACATATCAAAAGTTATGATTACTTAAAAATAGATGTCTTTACAAAATATATATTCTACAATATTATGTATCAAAATTGTTACTTTACTATCATAATTATTATTGTTATAGCATACTCTGATAATTATGTGTATATAAAAAAGAAATATATTATGTACCCGATATGATTAATATAAATTATGGTATTTTTATATTTCAAATGATCCAATAAAAAATCTTACTAGCAATTAATTACCTAATTATCAGTTAAATATGCAGTATAAAAGAAAAATAATACAAAAAGTGTAAACGCATAAATAAAAATGCAAAATTATAGAATCAAATTAATTCTATTGATACAAAAAATACCGGATGATACCCTGTAATAATAATAATATAAAGAATTTTGAAGAGAGTAAGTACTTTTGTAAACAATTACAGTATATACACAAAAAGTAAAAATTTGATGATGCAATTATTGACGAAATAAATACCTACAATATAGAATATGGCGGTTAGGCTTACAATTTCGACCGGCTATTTTCGATTGGCGCGCGAATAGAATTAATTTTTGTTGGGTTGGTGGTAATGTTTAGTTGGGCGCGTCCTCTCCGTCCATCGCCTCGTCCTGCGTGGTGGAATCGTCGCCGCTTCCGTTTCCGCTAGAGGGCTCCACCTTTATCGAGCTCCTTTTCGCGGTGCTTATCCTCGAAGAGGACAGCCCCATCGCACCGGTACCGCGCCTAAGAAAAAATTAACGAAAATAGAACAAAATGACAAACAACTTTATGTGCAAAACGCTATTCTCGTCTAGTCCAGTGCACATTTTTTAACACGTTTTTCAACAACAGCAAAAATCAAACTGGGAAAAATATATTTACCAGAATAGTTAGTAACACACATGGTTAGTCAAAATCCACAATAAAATTCTAAAAACACATTATACCATATTATAAAACAGGATTTAAAAATTTAATTTTTTTATTTGGCATTTGATTTTATAATAAAAATACATCCTGATGATGTTTCTAAAAATTTGCTAATTTACATTCTATAGAAAACAGTTATCTAAGTTGCGATGGAGAATGCCGCGCTCTGATTGGTTTATAACTGTCAAGTTAATCTAGATATGACAGTCGTATTTAGCTTGGTGACATTCTTAAGGCAGTTATATCTAGCTCGACTTAAAATCCTTAAAACAGTTTTAAGAATGTCAAGTTAAGCCAAATATAACTGTTTTAAATATGTCACAAAGCTAGATTTTTAAAAATGTCAACTTAAGCTAGATATTACTGTTTTAAGAATGTCAAGTTGGGCTAGTTAAAACTGTCTTAAAAATGTCACTAAGCTAGATTTAACTGTTTTAAGAATGTCAAGTTTGGCTAGTTATAACTGTCTTAAGAATGTCACTAAGCCAGGTTTGACTGTTTTAAGAATGTCAAATTGAGCTAGATATAACTGTCTTAAGAATGTTACTTTAACCTAGATATGACTGTTATACGAATGTCAGGTTAAGCTAGATTTAATTGTCTAAAGAATGTCACTTTAAGCTAGATATATTTGTTTAAAGAATGTCAAGTTGAACTAGTTATTACTGTCTTAAGAATGTCATTAAGCTAGATTTGACTGTTTTAAGAATGTCATTAAGCTAGATTTGACTGTTTTAAGAATGTCAAGTTGAGCTAGATATGACTGTTTTAAGAATGTCAAGTTGGGATAGATATAACTGTTTTAAGAATGCCAATTTAAGCTTCAGAATGTAACTTTAAGCTAGTTATGACTGTCTTAAGAATGTCAACTTAAGCTAGATATGACTGTCTTAAGAATGTCAGTAAGCTAGATATGACTTTTAAGAATGTCAAGCTGAGCTAGATAAAACTGTCTTAAGAATGTCACAAAGCTAGATTTGACTGTTTTAAGAATGTCACTAAGCTAGATTTGACTTTTAAGAATCTTAACTTAAGCTAGATATTACTGTTTTAAGAATGTCAAGTTGAGCTAGATATAACTGTCTTAAGAATGTTAATTTAACCTAGATATGACTGTTTTAAGAATATCAGGTTAAGTAAGATTTAATTTTCTAAAGAATGTCACTTTAAGCTAGATATAAATGTTTAAAGAATGTCAAGTTGAACTAGTTATTACCGTCTTAAGAATGTCACTAAGCTAGATTTGACTGTTTTAACAATGTCATTAAGCTAGATTTGACTGTTTTAAGAATGTCAAGTTGAGCTAGATATGACTGTTTTAAGAATGTCAAGTTGGGCTAGATATAACTGTTTTAAGAATGCCACATAAAGCTAGTTATGACTTTTAAGAATGTCAAGTTGAGCCATGTATAACTGTCTTAAGAATGTCAAGCTAGATTTGACTGTTTTAAGAATGTCAAGCTGTATTAAGAATGTCACTTTAAGCTAGATATGACTTTTAAGAATGTCAAGTTAATTGGATTTGACTGTTTTAAGAATGCAACTTAAGCTATATACTTATTTTCTATAAAATGTAAAGTTGCAAATTTCAAGTTTCTTTTTATTAAAGTTTTAAATGTCCAATAAAGAGCAATATTAGGTAAAACTTTCTTTTTTTCTACACAATCCCATGCTGTGTGGGTATGGGGGGATCCAACTTGGTCAGATCAACTTACATTATTTCAAAAGATAAACCTCTCATTTTCTTTATAGTTTCAGGTAAACTGCTTTGCAATTGCTCGTTAGATGTGAAAGCAGGGGAGCAATTAATTTGAGACAGGCTTCAAAAAAAGAATAAAAAAAAGTTTTTAAAACGTCCAATGATCATCTACAATTATTTATTAATAATACATTCGCTACTGTTTTAATTTCATCATGTCCGCTAATATTATCAGCCAATTTTGTTTTACAATTTGTTAAAAAGCCCAAATAATAAATAAAAAACACTAAAATTCGAAGCGACTAGAACGTACCAACATTTACTTCGCAATCTTAGTTGAAGATCCAACTTTTATTTTTGATCATTTAATGCTGTAAATTTAATTTTCAAAGTGTATATATATAGATTATTTGGCGAGGAAATAAAGTAGACACTCACCTCAGCTTGCTTTTAAGGTTGCTAATTTCCCTGGTCATGGATTCGTGGCTTTCCAACATATCCTCGCACTCGCGCATTGCCTTCCTCTTCTGAGCCTTCTCCCTGCTAATTTCCTCCTCGGCCTCGTCCAGCTGTCGCTTCAGCGCCTTGACCCTCGCGTTCCCCTTCTCCACCTGCTCCTTATACTGATCGGCGTGCCTCCTCTCGTCCTCGAGCTGCATCACCAGCTCCTTGACCTTCTTATCCATCTTCCTGTTGGTCTTCTGCTGCGTCAGACGCTCCTTGGCCTCGACCTCGAGCTGCTCCTCGAAGTTGGCGATCTTCGACTCCAGAGCGGCGATCGTGGCCTTGGTCTTGAGCCTCTGAGCCGTCTCCAGCTCCGTCAGCTTGGCCTTGAGCTCTTTGTTCTGACGGTCGAGCAACAGTCGTCCGGATTCGTGTTTCTGAGAGGTGGACCTTTCGTTCGCCAACTCGGTCGTGAGTTGCTCGATGCTGAGCTGAGCTTTGCGCGCTCGGTCCGCCAGGATTTCGTTGTTGCTCTGTTCCTCCTCGACTTCCTCTTCCAAAGACGCTATTCTCGCTTCCAGACGGCGTTTCTCGTCGATCAACAAACCGGCTTTGTTGGATCCGTTGTTGATCTCCTCCAAAAGTTCGTCCCTCTCCGTCTCCGCAGCTCTCCTCGATCTCTCAGAGCTGGCCAAATCTTCGGTGAGCTGCAACACTTCAGCCTCGAGAGTCTTGGCCTTCTTCTCGGCCTCTTTGCAACCGACAGCGAGCTCGTCTCTGGCCGCGCGCGACTCCTCCGCATCCCTAACCGCCTCCTTGCATTGCTGCTGCGATTTTTTGAGCTGCTTCAAGGCGTCCTCCTTCACTTTGATCTGCATCTCGATTTGCCCCTCCATTTCCTTCAAGTCGCCCTCCAACTTCTTCCTCGCGGTGACGGCCGCCGTCCTCTGCTTGCGCTCCTCGTCCAACTCCGCCTCCAAGTCTCTGAGCTGCTTGACGATTCCCCTGCGTTTCTCTTCCGCTTGCTCTTCCTTAGCTTGAATGTCGCGCTCGAACTGAGCTCTCAACGCCTGCATGTTCACTTCCAACCGCAGCTTGGCGTCTTCCGTGAGTTGCAGTTCGTCCTCGAGCTCTTCGTTTTGAGCTTTCAGCTCGGCGAGTTGGCTCTCCAGCGATCTCTTGGCTTTCTCCAGCTCGTGCACGTTCTTATCCGCCGTGCCTTGGTTGTTCACCAACTCGTCCAGTTCCGCTTGAAGTTGGCGGCGCACTCTCTCCAACTCCTCGATCTTCACGTTCGAATCGTCCAACTCGCGCATCAGCGAGAGAACGCGCGTCTCCTTATCGCGAGCCTCCCTTTCCACGCCTTCTTTTTCCTGCGCCAACTGCTCGCTGACCGCCTTCTCCTCGGCCAAAACCTTATCGAAGTTCTTCTGCTTCTTCTCCAACTCGGACACTTTCTGCCTCTGAGTCTCCAAGTCGATGTTGGCGTCTTCCAGCTCCGCGGCGATCTTCTTCTTGCTCTTCTCCAGCTTGTCGTTCGTCGCCAGCAGCTCTTCCACCTGCCTCTGCAACGCCTCCAAGTCTTTGGCGAGCTTCTTCTTGCTCTCCTCCAAAATAGCGGCTTGCTCGGCCTCGTCGTCGGCCTTCTTCTTCGCCTCGACCAGTTGCACGCTCAAAACAGCCAGTTGCTTCTCGAGGTTCTTCTTGGCCTCCTCTTCTTCCTCTATTTGGTCTTGCAACTGCTCCCTGTCGCTTTCCAGTTGGCGCAGCTTCGAGCTCAGCGCCAACTTCTGCCTGGTTTCTTCTTCCAAAGCGGCTTGAGCCTCGGCGAACTGCGATTCCGTGGTAGCCTGGTTCTTGATGGCGGCCGATGCCTTTAGTTCGGCCGATTCCAATTGCTGCGCGACACTTTCAGCCTCCTGCTGAAGCTTGGACGTTTTCTCTTGCAGCTCGTTTTTGACTCTCTCGACTTCGGCCAACTTGCCCTGAAGCTCGCTGAGTTGGCTTTCGGCCTGCTTGCGCCTCCTTTCGCCCTCTTGTCGACTGGCTCCCACGTTCCTCAACTCGCTCGTCAAATCCGCATTTTCCGCCTCCAAAGACTGCTTGGACTTCTCCAGCGTGATCTTCGTCTTCTTGATGTTCTCCAACTGCTCGTTGAGGGCGGCCAATTCTTGCGAGTGCTTGTGCCGCATATCCGCCTGGTTGACCTCGTGAGATTGCGTGTCTTCTTCCAAAGTTTTCTTGAGGTTGGCCAACTCCTGTTCCCTCTTGGATCTCAACTCTTGCTGAGCGGCCGTCGTGTCCAGAGAGTCCAAAAGTTCGTTTTTGAGCGCTTCGAGTTCTTCGTTCAAGTCGCGCTTCATTTTTTCCGCCTTGCTTCTGGCCGCTTTCTCGGCTTCGAGGTCTTCCTGAAGCTCGGTGAGCTGACTTTCCAACTCTCTCAGAGCCTTCTGGGCTTGGGCTTTCTGGGCTCCCTCCTCGTCCACTTTGGCCATGGCTTGGTTCAATTCCTCCTCTTTCTTGCCCAGTTGCAGTTGCAATTCCTCGATTTGGGTGCGTTTTTCCGACAGCTGTTCTTTAAGGTCGTTGACTTCGGTTTCCACTTTTCTTTTGGTTCTGTCGGTTTCTTGTCTTTGCTGGTGGTCTTTTATGAGGCGTTCTTCCAGCTCGGCGATGGTGGCTTCGTGTTTGGCCTTCAATTTCGCCAGGTGCTTGGCTTTTTCTTCCTCTTCGGCTAAGGTTTGGCTTAAATCGTTGCTACGCTCCTCGATAATTTTTTTCTCCTTTACGAGTTTCTGGTTCGTATCGTCGCTCAGAGCTAAATCTTCTTCGAGTTGCTTGATCTTGGCGTCGCACTGCACTTTCTCCAGCTGAAGCTTCTGCCTTGCAGCCTCCTCTTCTTCCAATTGCTCTTCCAAATCCTGAATGGTCAACTGCAACTTCTTCTTGTCACTGGAGAGCACAGTAGCCCTTTCTTCCTCCTCCTCGATTCTAGTTTCCAAATCGTGTAAAATCTCCTCCAATTCGGCCTTTCTGGCCGTCAATCGTGCCCTCATTTCCTCGGCCTCGGCGCACAACTCAACCTCCGCTTGCAGCTGCTCCTGCAAAACCATCTTCTCCTCCTGAGCCGACTGGAACTTCTTCTCGTACTCTTGAGCGGACTTGATGTGGTGCTCCAACTTGTCCTTCACTTGCTTCAGCTCGTCCTCCTTCTGCATCAGCTTCTCCTCCTGCTTGGTGACCTCGAGCAGCGGCTTCACCTTGGTGTACAGCCGCCACCACTGCCAGTTGCGCAGCTTCAAGTACGCCGAGCAGTTCCTCTGTATGATCCTGATGGCGTTCAGCTGCTGCACGCGCTTCTGATAGTTTCTGCGCGACAGGAAACCGCGGCAGAACGCTTGGAAGTTGACGATCAAATCGGTGATCTTGTAGTCCCGCTCTTCCTCGAGATGCGCCAGAACGCCGGCCCTGAAGAAGATCTTCGACTGGCCGATCCTGAACAGGTTCGAGTCCAGTTCGAGGTTCTTGATCATCGTCTCGCACGCCTTCTTGCCGTCCATGAATCCCTTGTTGATCACGTTGGGCGTGAGGAGTTCGTAGCGCTGTCTGAACTCCTGGAAGGGGATCCTGTTGGGGAAGCCCTGTCTGCAGATACGTATGCCTTCCAGGACACCGTTGCATCTTAATTGGTCGAGAACCAGGGGTGCGTCGATTTTCCCCGCGCGTTTTTCGTGGTTGGGGATTATGCAGCGCACGAAGTTGGGGTTGGTGTTCCTCAGGGTCACCATGAGGTTGTTCAGCTGCTCTTTGTACAGGTAGGAGACGGTTCGCATCATGCCTTTGGCTCTTCCGATGCTTTCGGCGTCCTTCCAGATGTGCACCACGAATGGATCGGTGGAACCCTGCAGTAAAGACACGACGTTTTCGTTCTGAGGGTCCATGTTCTTCATCAACCACTGGTTCGCGCAGTAATCCACTTTACCGGCGTAGTGGATGATGGAGAAGTCTGCCACGCCTCTAAAATCGCTCTTCTTGAACTTGGGGTGTTGCACGTGCGAGCTGACCAGCTTCTCCACGAACGTCTTATCCGTGGCTTTGGGGAACAAACAGGACTCGTCTATCAAAGCCATGATGCCCATCGGTTTGTCGATTAAATCGATCGTCGGCTGAAGATCGAGACCGAAATCGATGAACTTCCATTCGATGCCCTCCCGTTGGTACTCCTCCTGCTCCAAGATGAACATGGTGTGGTTGAAGAGCTGCTGCAGCTTCTCGTTGGTGTAGTTGATGCACAGCTGCTCGAACGAGTTCAACTCGAAGATCTCGAAACCGGCTATGTCGAGGATGCCGATGAAGCTGGCCCCTTGCCTTTTGGTTCTGCCCAGAGACCTGTTGATCCTGGTCACCAACCACTTGAACATCCGCTCGTAGCAGGCCTTGGAGATGGCCTCGACGGCGAACTCCACCTGCTCTTTGGTCTGACTTTTCGTCACGAAATCCCTGCCCACTTTGATTCTGGGCTTCAATAGAGCCTTCACCATCTCCGTAACGCTTAACCCCAACAAATGGGAGATCTTTTGGGCCACAGTGTTATCCGGTAGTGTGGCTTGATCCGAGGTGCGGTCCTGCTTGAACTGCATTTTACCGAAGAGCATCACCGCCGAGACCAGGCGAAAGATGGCGCTGAAATCATCGTCGGTCATGCCCATGATGTTCATGCTTTTCACGGTGGCCTGGAACTCCAAAGCATCGTCGACCCCCGGCACTATGTGATTGTCGTCAGTCAAAAACGAATAGGACTTGGATTCTTCCAAGATAAACTCCTCTGAAACACAACGTTAGCTGATGGTTTCCACGTTTCAATCGGGACTTACTTCTTTGGGCTTCCGAAGCGCCGGCCAGTAGCTGGTAGAAAATGTGGAAGGTCCTCTCCTGCTTGGCTTGCCTGATGGCGCGCGACTTTTCGAGCAGATAGGTTTCGATGTTAGCTCCGGCGATGTACCCGGAAGCATCGAAGTTGATGCGAATGAATTTACCCTGCGAAGTACATTTTAGAGCAACTCAACTTTTTGGGAGTCCGTGGCAACTTACAAATCTGGAAGAGTTGTCGTTTTTGATTGTTTTCGCATTTCCAAAGGCTTCCAGGATCGGATTGGCTTGGAGGAGTTGTTGTTCTAATCCGCCCTAAATTTGGAGTTTAAAAATTTTTGTATTGGCCCTAGTATTTATACCATTACACAAAATATGATGATATGGTTTTCTTGGTAATCATGCAAAATTTGTATAATGGCTACGAAAAAATGAAACGAAAAGACATCACATAGTTTAGTAATCGCTTAATGGCAACTGCTTTTTATAATTTATTAAAATAACAATTACCCAATAATAATAATAATAATGGTACAATGAGGATGACTAAATGTAGCCCATTTTTATTGATTTTTTTTTTACATACCGAGAACTCTCTAGTGGGACTCTGGATGCATGGAAAATATAAAAAACAAAAATAAAATAGCTGTTTGCAACAACTTTTTTGCTAAAGGAATATTTTCACTTAAAAATATAATAAAAAAAATTATTGGAATTCAAGTTGTTTTTTTTTGTTATTTCCCCACAAATATTTGGATAGATAAAAACTTATCTATAAAATGTTTGAAGTATTTAATAACTATTAAGAACCGGTGGCTTAGGATATAAATTAACCTTGGATAGTATCGTATTAGTCAACTATGTGTGTACAATATTGACTATGACTCATATTTAAGATTTATAACTACAAGATGTACAGTGAAAAAATCATAAAATAATATGAAGACATAGTTTTAATGCACTGTTTTTTGATTTGAACTTTTTGACTTTCGTGTTGGTAGTCATCGTATTGTTTTTAATACCAGTAGTTGGCATTACTTTATTTTGACAGTTCGTTGACAAAAGTCAAGGTCCAAATAAAAAAAATATATAAAAACTATTTTATTAACTTAAAACTAAAAGAAAAACTACTTACGATAAGATCTTTTTGCTGTTTTGTCCAAAATTGTGAGAAACATGCAAGAAAAGATAGAAAAAACATAAATTAGATAATACAATCACCTCGAATGTTTTTTTACAATAGACAATAATAAATAATTGGGGGTTTGCATTTAAAAAACACACCAAGATGGCGGATTACTTTTTTCTTCACAACCCCCTTGACATGCGTTTCAAATTAAAGGGTTTGACGACAAGAAAACGTCAAGGTGGGTGACGTCATACTAAATCCAATATGGCCGCCGCTCCAAGATGGCGGATTAACTATTTCCTCACAACCCCCTCGACATGGGTATCAAATGAAAGGGTTTGAAGAGTATGTGAGTGACGTCATACTAAATCCAATATGGCGGCTGGCCCAAGATGGCGGATTATCAATTTCTTCACAACCCCCTTGATATGGGTATCAAATGAAAGGGTTTGTCAAGTAGAATACGTGACGCTACTCCAATTTCAATGATACTTTTTTGGCAAACCCCCAATTGTGCATTTATAAATAAAATCGTGCATTTTATACAATAAGACATCTTTTCACCATATTTACAAGTGACGAGGGTAAAAAATTAAAAAAAAAACTATAACTTACCGCTCCAGCTGTCTTGGGCGACTTTGACGCGGCCACATAGGCCAAATACTGTATAACTTTTTTGGTGTTTTCCGTTTTACCGGCACCGGATTCGCCGGTACACAAAATCGATTGGTCTTCGCGCTCTGCAACAAAAAAAACACGTCATTACGCGAAAAAAAAAATTGGCCCCCAAACAACCCCGATTTGAGTGGCATCGACTTACCTTGCAGCATGGATCTGTAGGCGGTGTCTGTTATGGCAAACACGTGCGGCGGTACTTCGTGCCTTTTGATACCTTTGTAACGTTCCATTATTTTTTCCGTGTAGATCGGCAGTTTTTTGTATGGGTTCACCACGACGCAGAAAAGGCCGGAATAGGTCTGAAAAAGTTTGACATTTTTTTTTGCGAAAATTTGCCATAACGAACTCCAACCAAAACAACTCGTAAATTATGTCGACAGTAAATATTTGTGATTAATTTTTAACGTTAAAAAAAACGGTCAACATCTTGCGCAAATTTACATAAATATCCTGTTTTGGGAATTAGTCACGCATAGTGTATTAAAACTGTTTAAAATTCAAAAGAACGTTCTTTCATTCTGGTCTCGTAAAAATGTTTCAAATGTCTACAACAATACTAATACAATATGTTATACCTAGAGGAATTTAATAAAATACATTTTAATGTGCGAATTATAACATTTTTGGATGTATAAATGCGATGTTGCCAGTCATTTTTCAGTGGTGACCTTGAAAACCTTAACCAAATAACACGAGTTGTCCTTTTGTTCGAAAAAAAGATAACAAACAAATTTTACAGTCGTGGTGGAGCAAAGGTTGGCATTTAACAAGATCAGTAAAGCCGACGTATAAACAAATAATAAAATATCGATAATATTTTAATTAATTTTAATTGAAAATCGCATTTTGATAAATTAAGTATGAAGACTTCTGTAAAAATGATATTAACAGTTTTATTTGTTTGAGATAACAGCCGCATGCACAATGCATAGTTCAGATTTTATGGCCCAATACAAAATTGATCCCACTTCTTATTAATATTGTTAAAACCAGAATTCTGTAGAGAAAAAAAGCATTATGATGCAATATTTCTCTAAAACTGGTGAAGCAATAGTTATTGCGAGATCCAATGAAGACGAGATGAATTTAGCAAATCTCAAAGTACTTATGTTTGGTTTATTTCTATACCGTGTCTATTAATAATGCTTCTAACGCGTTTAAGAATAGATTTGCGCATTTATTTTAGGTTTAATAGATGCGCAACCACAGTCAATTCAAACGTGAAGATATCTCATGAAAAAGTTAAATTTTGATTAGAAGTACATCTGAGATAAAAAATAAAATGTTGCTCCATCATAAAAAAATGTTGACCCTATCTTTTTGGGAACTTTTTTTGACATTCTTAAAATGTGTTTTCATGCTTTAAAATATCTTTAGATGTTTTAAAATAGGATTTTATATTTCAAATTTGTGTTTTTTAAATATAAACTAGATATTGTGTTTTTGACATTCTAAAATGTGTTTCACGCTTAAAATATCTTTAGATGTTTTAAAATAAATTTTATATTTTAAATTTGTGTTTTTTAAATCTAAACAAGATATTCTAAAATGTGTTTTTAACATTCAAAATTGTGTTTTTGACATTCTAAAATGTCTTTTCTCGTTTTAAAATATCTTTGGATGTTTTAAAATAGGATTTTATATTTTAAATTCGTGTTTTTTTAAATCTAAACCAGATATTCTAAAATCGTTTTTTAATTTTTAAAATTGTGTTTTTGACATTCTAAAATGTGTTTTTACGCTTTAAAATATCTTTAGATATTTTAAAGTACGATTTCATATTTTAAATTGAAATCTAAACTAGACATTCTAAAATGTGTTTCTTAACATTCTACATTGTGTTTTTTTTATTTTTTAAAATGTGTTTTCAAGCTTTAAAATATCTTTAGATATTTTAAAATAGGATTTCATATTTTAAATTGTGTTTGTAAAATTTAAACAAGATATTCAAAATTGTGTTTTTGACATTCTAATATGTGTTTGTCCGCTTTAAAATATCTTTAGATGTTTTCATATTTTAAATTGTGTTTTTGAAATCTAAACTAGCCATTCTGAAATGATGCTTTTGACATTCTAAATTGTGTTTTTACCATTTTAAAAGTGTTTTTAGGTTCTTTTAAAATAGGATTTTTGAAATCTAAACTGGACATTTAAAATTGTGCTTTTGACATTCTAAATTGTGTTTTTACGCTTTAAAAAAATTTTGGATATTTTAAAGTTGTGTTTTTAAAATTTAAACTAGACATTCTAAATTGAGCTTTTGACATTCTTAATTGTGTTTTTACTTCTTGGAAACTTTTGTCATATTTCGAGCTGTAGAATCTTTTTCATAATTAAAAAAAAATCTTTTACGATTTTTTTTATTTTACAAGGTATTAGCAATAAAAATGTAATGATCGAAAAAATTTTCTCTTTTTTTATAGCGACCTTAGCAAAGTTTTACAATTAGTCACCCATCGCCCATATGGGCGCCTGGATTCTAAATGACTAATATCTGCATTTCTTTTAAAATTCTTCATACGATTTTATCTTGACAAAATATATACCTATGCTTGTTTACCTTCAATGATTTTGTTACAAATATAGAGAAAAATTGTTCTTTTAAAACTAGTAAAAAAGGTGTATTCAAAGGACAAAGTTCACTGGTGTAATTCATCCGAAGACAGGCTTTCGAATCGTATCTTGGGTACCGTTATAACCCAGTGGTACCAAGATGGTCGCGCCTTAATAAAAAACAAGCGTACAGCTGTAACAAGTACCCTTTTATGGGTTACGTTTCGATGCAGTGTACCGGTCAGTTAACAAATCGATTTTGTGCAAGACAAAAGATCGAATTGTTTCGAGAGCACAACATGGCAACGTTGTCCAGGATTAAATTCACGTTAAACACGAATTAAACCAAAAATTTCAATCATCGTACGCAACAAAATCAAAACTTGTTTTTTATCAATTTCGGCTGCTCACTTACAAAGTGATTCAAGAGTTTCTATAGGGTGAATCATAGGGTTTTACAATGCTGGGTAAACACTTAAAATTCTTAAAGCTAAAAGAATGATTCATCACCATATAAACAGAAAGTCTACCTAGATAAAATATCATAAGTCATTTTTGACAGTAGTGGCCTTGAAACAATAAAAATCTGACGATCGGCGACACCAAAATCATCGACATATGGCGTTCAATCAATCTATGGCCATATAAAGATTAAAAGTAAAAGTACATTTGTAATTTTGTTTAATCGAAAAATTTTGCCAGATGGTCGCCTCTACTGATAAAGATTTTGGCGTTACCTACATTATCGACATGTCTTGCAAACGCTATAAATTTTAATACCAGGAAAAACAATGCTTGTTTATTATTCATTGAAATGTTATTACCCAGCTATAAATCACATATTTGTAGATTGCTGTTGGGTTTAATCGGTTTAAATTTTTGTTAAAGTGATTGCCAGACTTTTAAAAACAAGTGTTTCATCGGACAGGCACCTGTTTCACTTCCGGTTAGGGGGTACGAAAAAAATACAAAAACAAAAACCGTTCAACTGAAAACGTACAAATTTGCGCATTGGAAAATTTAATTTGTTATTTGTTTATTACATAAGTCTGTTAACAGATCATAAGTACCTACTTAACTTTCCCACCCAAAAAAGGTTTTGTTTATTTGATTTTTATTATATAAAACTTGGTAGTACAATTATTTTATAGGACGCCATATATAGATTTATCTATCAAGTTTATTTAATATGTCTTAATTTTCAAAACAGAATAATAATTTTTATCTTATAATTTGATAATTCAAATAATAATTATTAATTGTCATAACAAAGATAATATTATTTTAAAAGAGTATTAATTAGTGTTTTTACTATTACAGATAATTTTTTCCGTGTGGTTTTGACAGGTTTTTAGTTTTTCAAAGATTCTTAGAACAGCTGGCTTTTTATGATTATAAATTTTATTTTGATAACTGTCTTAAAAATGTCAATTTTAATTAGCTATAACTGTCTTAAGAATGAAAATTTAGGCTGGCTATAACTGCCTTAAGAATGCCAACAAGTTGTCTTAAGAATGTTATTTTAGAATAGTTATAGCTGTCTTAAGAATGTCAATTTAAGCTAGCTATAGCTGTCTTAAGAATGTTAATTAAAGCTGGTTATAACTGTCTTAAGAATGTTAATTTAAGCTAGATATAACTGTCTTAAGAATGTCAATTTTAACTAGCTATAACTGTCTTTATAATGTCAACAAGATAGCTATCTGAACTAAGAATGTAAATTTGAGCTAGCTATAACGGTCAAAAATGTAAATTTAGTTTAGCTATAACCGTCTTAAGAATATCAACAAGCTAGCTATATCTGTCTTAAAAATGTTAATTTAGGCTAACTATAATGGTAAAAAATGTACATATAAGCCAGCTATGCCTTAAGAATGTCAATTTAGGCTTACAAACTGTCTTAAGAATGTCAACAAGCTAGCTATCTGTCAAAGAAACAAGCTAGCTACATCTGTATTAAAAATATCAACAAGCTAGGTATAACTCTTAAAAATGTTAATTTAGGCTAACTATATCGGTAAGAAAATTAAATTTAAGCTAGCTATAACTGCCTTAAAAATGTAAGTTTAGGCTAACAAACTGTCTTAAGAATGTAAATTTAAGCTAGCTATAACTGTCTTAGGGATGTAAATTTAAGCTAGCTATATCTGCCTTAAGAATGTCAATTTAAGCTAGCTATAACTGTCTTAAGAATGTAAATTTAAGCTAGCTATAACTTCCTTAAAAATATCAATTTAAGCTGACTATAAGTCCTTTAAGACAATAAACTAAAACTAAATTATTTTTTTTTTATTAAAATGGTGACTGTTGTTTAACAAACATAATTTTTCCAATTTCCAAACGACCACGGCAAGTTTCCTAATTAGAAATTTTTATGGCTTTTATCGTGGCAATTTGAATAAACGTCGAGCAATTATTCAGACAAGGACACAGCAACAATACCGTGCTTTTTATCCTCGTCTTTCGACAAAAACGCCTAATTGCAAAATTATATCTGCCAGGCAAGTAATATGCACCGATATGATTCATAAAAACTTACACTCACGCACAAAAATTATAGCTACTAGATTGGCGTGCGTTGCCATTTATGTGTGTCGAAATTAGTTCAACTACGATTACAAAAAAAACAATTTAGACTAAAGGTAACAAGTTTTTATTTGTCATATCGAGCAAAAATTCCACTAGTTCGTTCTATTATTTAATTAATCGTTTCAAAAGACTTCCAAAAAATGACAACGAAAATACATATTGCCAATATCTAATTACAAAAAGCACTAGACCGTGTCAAAGAATGCGATTATGCAGATATGTATAAATCTGTGTTAGCGCTGTAATGTTTACTTCATGGGCATAAAATAATAATTAAACATCTCGCCGGTGTTGGACTTGGACATAAATATAAAGTACATGTGCAATAAAAACGTACTTAGGTGCCAAACTTGGCATGAACGTAAACCTCGGTTTCTTTCGATTTTAACGACGCGCGACCCAGTTAAAATAAAACGCAGCACCTAAATGGTATATGTTTACGCTTCTGCATATCGGACCTTCGGATAAAAAGCGACACATGTGGGCGTACGAGACGCATTTTGACCGATATCCGCGTCGACATCCGCGATTCGACCGAGTTCGATCGCACGGGGATGAAATAAAGTCGATGGGGGTCGAGTCGGGCGGGTCAGGCGGCCGCCCCGAGCGACGCGCGCGGCAGATGACGGTTCTCGCGCCCGAGGCTGCGCTCCGTTCGAATTGTCCTTATATGGTGCAAGTCCTGATTCAATGACGTCTTATGCAATAGACGTACCGTTGGAAGATTTTCGTTTTTTGTGTTGTGCTCGTTTTGTCAAGACGGGATTTCATAATGTGTACGTGTACGCGACTTTTACTTTATGTTTATCTCAGAAACCAACAAATTTGTTGATTTTACATTTTTGTTTATACAGGGTGTTTTCACTGGGACGATACCAACTTTCTTATTTTCTACACAAATTTATACTTAATTAATGATTTTTGGGCAAATATTTTTTCCTAGGAGATAATGCCAAAATTATGCGGAAGTTCCGCAACAGCGCTGATCGCCACTTCCGCAACATCCGCATCCTTAAAAATGCCGAGGGTCAAAATAATACGATATAAGTAAATTTACCTCTATACAAAAGTTGATAATAACCAAAATACAGAGTGTTAAAGTTAAAAGTTCGTTTTCGATTTTAACTTTTGAAAAAACAAACGTTTTTGCAGAAAATTTGGTATTGGGTTTTTTTTCAGGACGGAAAAAATAAATTTCTTAAAAAAAGCCTTAGTGTATTCGAGTTTTAATAACTAGGTTTAACTGTATTAAGAATGTCAATTCCCACTACCTATAACTGTTAAGAATGTCAATTTAGGCTAGTTATAACTGTCTTAAGAGTGTCAACAAGCTAGCCATAACTCTTAAGAATGTCAAATTAAGCTAGCTATAGCTGTCTTAAGAATGTCAATTTAAGCTAGCTATTACCAAAGATAATCTTTGGCTATAACCATCTTAAGATATCAACAAGTTAGCCTTAACTCTTGAATGTCAATTTAAGCTGGCTATAACTGCCTTAAGAATTCCAACAAGCTAGCTATAACTGTCTTCAGAATGTGAATTAAGCTAGCTGCCTTAACGTCTTAAGAACGTTAATTTAAGCTAGCTATAAGGGTCAAAAATGTAAATTTAAGCTAGCTATAACTGTCAAAGAAACAAGCTAGCTATAACTGTATTAAACATGTTAATTTAAGCTAGCTATAACTGTCTTAAGAATGTCAATTTAAGCTAGCTAATGACGTCTTAAGAATGTTAATTTAAACTAGCTATAACGGTCAAAAATGTAAATTTAAGCTAGCTATAACTGCCTTAAGAATGTCAATTTAAGCTAGCTATAACCGTCTTAAGAATGTCAATTTAAGCTAGCTATAGCTGTCTTAAGAATGTCAATTTAAGCTAGCTAATGACGTCTGAAGAATGTTAATTTAAGCTAGGTATAGCGGTCAAAAATGTAAATTTAAGCTAGCTATAACTGCCCTAAGGATGCCAATTTAAACTAGCAATAACTATCTTTATAATGTTAAAAAGCTAGCTATAACTGTCAAAGAAACAAGCTAGCTATAACTGTATTAAAATGTTAATTTAAGCTAGCTATAACTTTCTTAAGAATGTCAATTTAAGCTAGCTATAACGGTTAAAATAAAAATATTACTTTTTCTATATTAAACATTTTCTTGAGGATGCAGATGTTATTAAAGTGAGGGACATAAATTTTAACATCCGCAACCTACGAGCCCTACATGGCAACACCGCATTTTTTAATGTTTTTTTTTCAATGAAAATAAAAAAATATTGCCTGAATTGTCGTGTGAATATTTTTAAATGAAGCAAAGATCAATCAAGCTTTAATCCGCTGACTGTTAAAGACGGGCCCCCATCAAAATATTTATAGTTAACGACCGAATAATTTGGTTAACTAATTTTAATCGAACCGGCATCAAAACAATTTAATTTAGCCCGTAATCAAATTTAAAATCAGTTAAATTCTTCAACTTGTTTCTTTGAAGATGTGGCAACAGGGCGATCATCCCCGCGACAGTCGTAAACAAATGCAACACCGTCTATCCCTTTTTTTCCCGACGCGGTCAACGTACTCTTCCGCGTTGTTGCCGCGTCTTCGAGAAACCCGATCCAATTCTTGGGGGATTATATTTTAAAATGCTCGCGAAACGGTTTAGCAGTTTTTCGCACTCGATAATTGTTACGAATTCATTTTTGCGGCGACGCATCTCAACATTTTCGTTCGTTATTTCGTCGACTTGATCGACTTGGCAACGTCGCGCCCACCGCGACAGACAGATTCTTGAAGGGTGCGATCCTCATTGATTGCTTTTAATTTTTTGATGTTCAAGAAAAAACTATTTTCGCGCCGCCCCGTATAAATTAGCATCTACAAGCCGGCCTTGAACCGCATTTAACCCGTATCATTTAAAAACGAGGCCTGCAACCCCCCACGGGGGGCGGGGGGCCGCCAAACGACGACGACGGCATTGACCCTGGAACGGCACCAACGTTGCCAGGTTTGGATTCCGTTAAAAAAGTTTTTCGTTATTTTTTTGTAATTGTTTAAAAACTTTTTGTGGCCATCCGGCAACACTGCAATAAACCACATTCCTTCAGCAAGACCAAGAAATGTCGCGATAAAAAGTGCATAAAATTTCACTTCGCAATTAGGTATCCAATATAATAATAAGTGATGTAATGCTTGCGATAAAAATAATTATAAATTTAGATTTAGAAACCCAAACCGATAGGATATCCTGTGTTGATGCAGTGATTCATCGCAGAAACCGCGAAAAAATTAAGAAAATATGGATTTTGTTGCTAAAAACTCGAAAAATCAAACTTGCCGTGGCGATTTTGTTTAAAACAAAAGCCAACCGCGCTCGTCTTTTCTCAGTCGCGGGCTCAAGGTCACCGGTACGTACAACGCACTCTTTGTTATGATAGTCGCTCGTTTAACAATAATTATGATTCTATTAGTTTAATCTTCGAATTATTTGTGTAATTTGTGATTTTTCATTAAAAATCTGTAAAATTTATTTATAGCATAAAATATTGATCGCTCTACAAGATATAGTAGGCTAGCTTATATAGCTAGATATAGGCTAGCTTCTATTAGTTTAATATTCGAATTATTTATGTAATTTGTGATTTTTATGAAAAATCTGTAAAATTTATTTATACCATAAAATATTGATCGCTCTACAAGCTATAGTAGGCTAGCTTGCTTTTGTTTATCTGATGAACGTCAAAAATGACACACAAGTTATAAAAATGCTTCAGATTGAATCAACATTATTTTTACTAAAAATACATTGTTTGTATTGTAATTTTAATTTAACCTGGACTTTTTTATTTTTAAACATTTATTTATTAAAAACAGCCATAAAACTTCGTGTTTGCGAATATCCACTCGAAACATGATAATTTATTATTTTATCGGTTATTTTTTTATTATTTAGTCGGTAAATATGAATAAGGCGATAAAAAGTGCCATCAATATAAATTGACAAATATAATTGAATAAACATTTCATTTCCAAAGAAATCGACTTTAAAAGACTCCTTGACAATTTTATTTCTGTTTGACAGTTAAATATTTTATTCGGATGATATGACTGTAGCGATAGTGTTTTTCTTATTGGAATTGTCTAAATTTAGCAAATTAAAGTGAGGTTATTGTTTGTCGACCGTTTTTTGTTAATGGTGGCTATTTTGACATGTCAAGGCTAACGTGTTTTCCGATTACCAAGTCACCTGGGATCCGAGGATCCCGCGACTCGTTTTCGAGTGTTTCGGTCAACTTACGTAGATGAGACCGGAGTAGTATCGGTCTTTGAGGTTGTGGAGGACGCAGGCCTCGTTGAGGCAGGTGAGCTCGGCCATGTCCTCCACCTTGTCGAACTTGGGGGGGTTCATCTTCTGGATGTCGTCCTTGTTGACGAAGACGCGCTTCCCGGTGTCCTGGAGCTCCACCTCGACCTCTTCGTTGCGTTCGGCCTTGATGCTGGCCGCCACGAAGCCCTGGTTCTCGTGCGGCACCCAGACGAGCCTTTTCTGCGTCCATTCGGCCTGCGTGGCCGGGTCGTTGTAAGCGTTCCTGTCGACGTACAAGTACTTTAGCTCGGGATCGTAACGATCCTTCTGGGTGTCCGTGTCGGCCGCCATGGCAAAGGTGTGTACCCCGCTCACTCAAAGTTTAACCGAACCGAAAGTCTCCAACTCTAACCCTAACACATTTAAGGCTCCACTACAACTCTACTGTAACTCTATCGGCACCTTAACGCACTCGAAAAACTGTCTCCGTTTTCTCGCAAGTTGCACCGGTCTAGTGTGTCCAATTCAACGTTTCTGACAGTTCAGCAAGTGAACGCGACAAGCCCGCTGCCAACGGACAAAACTGCCCGAACTTCGCCGAGCCGACACGAACGCCGCGCCCAACGTTGCCAACTCTAACCCGAAAAACCCGAACCCCCTACCAAACACAACAATTCATCAAAGAAACACAAAACCCATCATCCAAACATCATCAAACATACTCCAAACACCACCCAAACTCTTGCAAACATCCTAAAACGACAAAATCAAGCACCCCACGCGCCCACCCGGCAACGCCGCGTGTTTGTATTTTTCCCGCACCCTACCATTTAAAGTGAAATGCGATTTTCCAATGACACTTGTTGATTTAGACCGGTCGAAAACTTGATAAAAATGCCATCAAAAACATATGTTCGACGAAATAATCTAAATGTTGGTATTTTTTACTTTTAAATTTCAAACGTCTGGGCGTGTACAAACGAATTTTGCGATGATGTCATGCTTTATCTTTATGCTTCGTATCTATTCAAATGGTAGCTTATCTGTTAAAAATTGATTTCTCTTTCTCTATGTTTTAAATTAATTTCAGGTGGCGATAAGATTCCACCATTCCATTTAAACTGATTAATCAGGTTTAAAAAAGCACACTCAGTGAATTCTTTTAAAAACAATCACTGCAAAAAAGATTAATAAACAATTAAATGTGTTTAATCTAACCATGTGTCATTCGTTTTTAACCTAAATTCTCAACGAATGCTGAAATGCAAAAACATGGTTTGGGTTTTGCAGAAATGTTTAATTATTCATCTAGTAACCACAAATTATGGGTTTATAAAGAAAAATGATAACATCTCTTATAAATATTATTAAAAAATTCAACAAATGCGGTTGTCATGGAATCCAAATAAACATTGTTGACAAATGTATTTTTTGACAGTTTGTGTCAAAAAATCATAAGTGACTCAAAAACAAGATTTTAAACGAGTTCTGCCCATTTTAGGCAAAATATGCACACTTACTTAAAAATCTGACCTCATATGTTATAACGATTCCGCGTTTAATTACCTACCAGTTGCCCTACTTCTTGAACCAATTAAAAACGTCTAAAATTAGCCACGAAAATTCAAAAACAACGCCAAAATTGGGACGTCAAAATTTTCATTTGTTTTTGATGACAGATGTTTTGAGTTTGCGTTTAAATAAGGAGAATATTCCGTAAAAGGCGCGATCATATAATTTAAAACCGCGTACTCCTTATTTATAAACATGTGTAAATAATAAAAAACAAGCAAAAAACGGCGGTGTGAGTCATTAAACAATATGTCGTTTGTGCTAAATAAAACATGTGGAAACGCGAATATATTGTTGTACTTTCTCGTTTTGATTTAATAATTGAATTAAATTAAAAAAATAATGTTTTTGTTACAATTTAAAGCATATTTGATGCTTTATTTGAAAATGTGGTTATGTTGGGCTGTTTGACAAAACGTCAATTAAATGAGGGGTTGCCAGGTGTCCTTAAGTTGAGTCAAGTTAAGCTGTCAAAATTCGTAGTTAAAAATGCAATTAATTTGGCTTTGGTGGAGCGTAGATGAGTAAAATCATATAAAAAAGTAGTTAAATATAGGTGACTACGGCCCACGAGAGACAAAGTATTCCCAGCGAATAATAATCTTCGCTTTGAAAAGAATTTATACAAAAGAAATTAAAATTTATGTAAACACCAGCAGTAGGTATTTAACTGATTTATTTAACTTAAAAGATAGTTTACTGCATTTCTTTGTTGAATTAAGATACAAAATGTCCATAGCTTTATCATAACACAAGAAAACGCATTTAGAATTTTTTGTAGTTACTGCCTTTCTCCATATAATAAAAAAAACATCGAAAGACGTTGGAAGACTCGCCCACTTTACCAAGACCGGGAAACTACGGGGTTTTACAAAGCAACGTTTCTAAAAATGAAGGACAAGGAAACAATATGTAAATATCCTATTTAGAGACACAAATTATTTAATAAACTGAACATCTATCTTAAATAATACTAAACAATCATGTATTTTAAATAGTTTGTGCCTACGCGCTGTCACCCTACAGCGCATGTCCATAACAAGCACTGTGATTGGTCATGTCAAAGACCTTTACGGTGAAAGATAAAACTTAATTGTCACCATTAACATTGCCCGTTATTAATTTTAATAAAACATAAATAAAATATTAAAATAACTTCAAAATATGATTTTGTAAGAAAATATTTTATCCTATAAATGCAAAATATTATCACAAAGTATTAAAAATTTTTACACGGGAAATGTTAATGGTGACAATTACGTCAAAAATGTTTATTGGGTTTCGTATTGTTCATCTTCTACGGGAGGAAGGAAGGAAGGCAATCTATAATTCAGGCTTAATGTTTTTTTATTTTTTTTATTTATATTTTAATGCCCATTTTATTTGACATTTTAGCTGACATCTGACAACTGCGGTTTTAACCTCACTTTTTAACAATCTGGCATCTGTCGAACGTTTTTAACATCACTTGTCTCAAATAGTGTATTAAATGTAGACGTATACGTTTATAAACCATCTGTACTGAAAAGCAACCCCACGTTTTTTTTGCAATTTCTTTAAAATGTTAGTAACGTAACTTAAGAAAACAAACATGTGTAGGTATTTAGTGCTCTAGTAGAATGTATTGCTTACTCATTTTCCTTATCTTTATTTCTGAAATCCTGGACAATTTCTTGCACGTTCCCAAATTTACTGACGCGATTCTTTTTAATAGTATTTCCCTTGTGACGTTCTAATTTTTCTTTTAATTTTGAAACGCTGACAAACGAAACGTCTTCCATCGTGGAATTTTGACATTTTCGGAAAGCGTAAAACATAACCTGAAATTGTTGTCAAAATGACAAAGTTTTGCTATTTTTACTTACCATCTCTCTAATTTGTGTTTTAGTCGGTGTTTTTACATAACTTTTCCGTTTTTAAACTGCAAAAAACACCGCGGCGATCCATTTGAAGGTGAATAAAACAAACGTCATAATTTGTCATTTTTTTAATAATAGATAACTTTTTACACAATGATCCAATCAATAAATAATAAAAAAACTATATAGTCTCGATGAGCCCCTTTTTTTTCGACGCTCCCCTTAATTCGTCGGCAATAAACGACGTCTCCTCTGACACAGCCAACTCTTTCGCCGTCTCCGCCTGTGATTGGCTGGAAGTCGTCGGGCCACCGGAAGTCGAGGCCACCTCGATTTTGGGGGTCTGCGGGCGCGGCACGATGCTAATTTTGGGCGCCATATCCAAACACGAGTTCGACGCCTTTTTGATCAGCTCTAAGGGGATTTCCTCGCTGCGGGGGCGGGGCATGCGCGGCGACCCCTCGCGGGACTTGGCCCTACTAGAGGAGCTATCCCGCGATCGAGATTTATCGCGCTCTTCTTTCTTCAGGTTTGCCAACCTGCAAAAATACATGGTGTCCCGAAAATCGTTTTGTTTATTTGTATACGCTAAAGAAGTATCGGGTTTTGCCAACAATACATTTAAAGCACAGATTATACATCATTTTTAAATAAATAAAGGAATGCAGTTACGTTAGTGTGTGCATTTTATCTAAGGGATCATGGTGAATTATTGTGTTTTTAATTGCAAATAAAATTCAAGAACTAAATCGTTGCATTTTCATGTTTTGCCAAAGAATCCAATTCGGTAAGTACATTTGTTAGTGCATAATTAACCAATGATAACTTTACCTAATATAATTTATATTTAAGTTTGGACATTCTTATAAATTAGTAAAAAATAATTTTTGCACAAACATAACCTTAAAATCAACCATTTTAATATTTGAGTTCTCTAAAAAACGCCGACAACTGCATTTTAAACAACAAAATATACCTACGAATTCATGGCAACATAATGTTATATATAATGCATAATATAATGGTATTTTACCGTTGAGTGGAGAATTTCTTAATCAACGCTTTTAATAATGCTAAGTGCTGTTTAAATTAAGACGATTTATTTGTTTGACGATTTTTACTGAATTGAAATGTTTATCATTTTCACGTTAATCACTACTAAAATGTGTATTTATTGTATCTAATAGGTACAATTTATATTTACAGTATGCAATTTATTTCTTCATTCAGATCAACACTGTTTATTGGAAAACCGGTAAAAACTCAACCAAGGATTTCCTCTCGAAATACACCCAACAACACAACAAATCGAGCCACGGTTTTTTTTTTCGATATTTTTTGACATTTTGACAGCTGATTATTAAAAGTTATACTTTTGTTACGATGATAACAGCCGATTGGTGGCGCTACTAGCGATACTTATTTAGCGTATATCTTTCAAACTATACATTTTATTGCATTAATGCGTTTTTGTAGGAAATTAAATTTGCTATAGAAGAATTTTTTACTTTTTACCAATATTTTACAGTAAAATTTATAAAATTCCCTATATCTTTTGAACCATACATTTAAGTCCAATACTGCATAGGACATTTTTTATAGAAAATTAAATTATCTACAAAAATTGTATCAACTTTTTATCTGTAATTTTAACCGTTTTGCCGTGAAATGCAAAAATACTGTTTATTATTAAAAATGACTTGTGACGTATTCAGGTCTAAATTGTAGTAAATTTTTTTAAAAGAGCATCCATAATGTACAAATCGCATTTAAATTGTAATAACGTAAAACGTCGCCGAGCTGTAGGAAATTGAAAAACTAATACTTAATTTTCTAGGTTATTTCATTGGAAAAACCTTAAAATCCGTGTGAGATCCTGTATAGGTATTATTATTATTATAAAAGCTATATTTTTTAAAAGTAGTATAAATTGTAATGTTACCATCAGGAAAAATATTAAAAAAACAATAAATATGCTGTAATAATAACAAAAGAAATATTTAAAGAAAATCATTGCTATTAATAGCAATTATGAGCTAAATTAAAATTAATTAAGAGTTTTGCATGTAATTATTGATAAAAACATTTTATATTATGCGGTTTAAAATATTTTCGCGATAAATTGTATAACATTATTTTTATTATCTGATTATTATTCAGTACAAAAATAAGCGACTTTTTCTCCTACCTGTTGGGGCTGACGCCGTCCCTGGCGTGCTTGGCGGGATCGGCCCTGTGAATGATGCCGGGGGAGCTCTCCCTGCGGGGGGCCGCGAACCCGGGCACCTTGTTGGGGCAGAAAAGGGGCCTCGTTTCGCGCAAGCCCCTGCCAGGGTTTCGCGACGCGTAAAGGCCGCTCCCCACGAAGGCGGGACTAGGCGGGCCGGACTGGCCCGGTATGTCGAGCAGCCGCGCGATGTGCTGCATCTTTTTTTGGCGCGCTTTCAAACGACCCTGGGAAAAAGTCATCGGTAAAGCCTGATTTATAGATTGCCTTCCTTCCTCCCGTAGAAGATGAACAATACAAAAACCGATTAAAGATTCCCGTACGGGAATCTATAAATGGCACTACGATTTTCGTATTGTTCATCTTTTACGGGAGGAAGGAAGGAAGGTAATCTATAAATCAGGCTTAAATAAGAACGTACTTTGGAAAGTCTTTGTTTGGCAGCCATACACCTGATATTGTCGTCGAAGACGAACTTGGCATTCAATAATGGCACTCTATTTGCTGTAGCACCTGATATGGGTCTATGTATAGTAATATGTAGACATCTTCAAATAAAAACATTAAATAACAAAATATACACGTTAATATAGTAAATTTAAAAGGAAACGAAGTAAACGTCATCAATCAGCTGATCGGGCACGGTTGTCAATGTGATGCTAAAATCATTGCATCAAGTGAAAGTGGTAGTGCACCTACAGGGCAATAGATGGCGTTTACATGAATAATACCATAGGGTGCCTAGATTTGGGACCTTAGAATACCAAAATGTCAAAATTCAGAGTTTTATAATCTATGTATATGATGCACCGCCAAATGTATGTTTTTAGCCATTTTAAAGTCATTCTCATCTATAAAACCCAGAAATGTTGCCATCTAAAGTCAGTCTCTGGTGTATATATTATTATTTTATGTATCCAACCCATTTTTTGTTAAATATTCTAACATATAATTAATAATAATCCTATTTACCTCTCTAACAGCTGTTAAAGGTAACAAAGGTCCATTATTATCCCGTTCTGCCTGAAAATAGCGTATTAAGGATGATACCAACTCTTGACTCCGACTATTTAAATGCTTCGGCATTTTAAGTATAGGAAAAACAAAAAAACGATATATAACAAACACAAAAACGCCAATGAAAACTTGACTCCGACTATTTAAATGCTTCGGCATTTTAAGTATAGGAAAAACAAAAAAACGATATATAACAAACACAAAAACGCCAATGAAAACTTAAACGATATAAAATAACCTTAGAAGTTTTTTCTTTTAAGAAAATAACACAAACAACAAACAAAATTATACATAAACGAAATATTAGAAAACACACTGACAGCTTCGAAATTCTAAATCGTTAATTTCTTTTTCTATGCGTCATTTTATCAAGCAAAATTTTAATCTAAACATGACAACATTGCAATTGCTGCCAACTTAATTTGGTTAAAATGCATTAAAATATTCAATAGCTGGCCATACACAGACGTTATTTCGCGCGGTTTATCGTGGCGTGTTGGCATGTAGCGGTTTGCATGCACGAAAGAACGGCGTGGCAAAAAAAGCGTCATGTTCCATACACTTGATAAAGTATTCAAATGATTTAGCAAGTGATTGCCCGTGGTATATCAGTTTCAAAGGAAAAATCGTATGTGAGTGGGCAAAAAGTGTCATTTATCGAGTTGTTTGAAACTACATGTGCTCATGTACAAATTTTCAACGTGAAATTTTGCCAAGCAAAGGTAAACCGTGACGCGGAATGTGGCGTGTGGACACGCCACACTCCAGAGAAAAGCACGTCTGAAATCCCTTCCCGTTCTATCATTGCGCGCGGCGATACTCACTCACGTACATGATTTTCCATATGTTTTTGCAGATAACACGATAAACCGCGCGCAATAACGTCTGTGTATGGCCGGCTAATTACAGACTTCGTTTTGTACATTTAGTGTTGGTACCAGTGCGCAAAATTATGACGTCATCGATGACGTGTACGTCGTTTCCTTTTAAATTTACTACATCTGTCAAATATCAACGGATTTAACCTCACTTTTCCACAATTCATAATAAAGCTAACTTCAGCCCGTGAATATAGCTATATATTTTTTTTACCTAGAATCGTCCTTGTCCCCTGTAACCTCTATATCCTGTAGGAACCCCACCAATTTGGCAACGCCCCAACCGAGTCTTTTCGTGTCAGGTTCGACCAAAATCAGCTGTAAAACGTCAATGACCAAAAATCGCCTCATTTTGGTGCCATCTTTCCACGTAACGGTGCAGGCTATCAGATCGGAATTGTCTGAAAACATCGCGAAAAAAACAGGGAAAATCAGACAAAATTGTAGCGGGAAGCGGTCGAGAAAATTTACAATCACTATCAAAGAGGCTTCAGCAAGAAAATGCAAAACAAAACAGAAACAAGCAGAAACGCAACGAAAAACAACAGCATAGCATGTGATTGCAGATTTCGTCGACCATCTACTGAAATGCTGCACAGATTTTCCCCAGAATTTTCCCAAAAAACGAATTTCCCAAACGATCAATAATTTTGGCGAGGAGAAAATTGTGGTAATCTCTGTCCAGCAGTCCAGATATGGGACACACAACGAGATATACTCAGGTCCAGTGCTTGGTCAATTTGAACGCAGCTCTGAGGGTTTGTCAGAGGTAACTGAGTCTCCAATTCCCCATTTAACGTCAGCACCGCGTTACGGACCAAGAAAAATACGCGTATCGCCCTTTTGGCACGTTCAACCTGGAAAAAAGTTCACAAAACGACCTTTTACTAAATCATATAATAAATTTTTAAACCGCTGTAACTTTTTTTACATCAATCAAAATTAGTTGGTATAAAAACAAAAAATGTTCGTTATTTAATGTACTTTTAGAATATCAAACAAAAAAACAATCGAAGGACGCGTTCAAATGTTATAACCTAAAATGTAAAATGACGTAATTTTAACGAAACACTATTTCGCGAATATCTATAAAATGACATTTTTTTTCGTTTTTATGTTGAAAAATTCCAAAACTACTCCAAAAAACTAATAATTTTTGTTCTTATACCATATTTTTATTTTGAAAAATAAAAAAATTATTTAATATAATAAAAACTCAAAAACTTGTATAACTGAAACAAATTTAAAAAACGCTGTAACTTTTTTTATATTAATCAAAATAAATTGTATAAAGGCGAAAAATGTTCGTTATTTAATCTATTTATAATATATTTAAACAAAAAAACAATCGAATTACGCGTTCAAACGTTATAACCTAAAATGATGTCATTCTAACGAAACACTATTTCACGAATATCTAGAAAACGCGATATTTTTTTGTTTTAATTTTGAAAAATTCTAAAGCTACGCCAAAAAACTAATAATTTTTGTTTTTATACCGTCTTTTTATTTTGAAAAATAAAAAAGTTATATCTACCTATTATAAAAACTCAAAAACCTGTACAACCGAAACAAATTTTAAAAGCGCTGTAACTTTTTTGATATTAACGAAAATAAATGGTATGAAGGCGAAAAATGTTTGTTATTTAATCTAGTTATAAAATATTTAAACAAAAAAACAATCGAATTACGCGTTTAAATGTTATAACCTAAAATATAAAATGACGTCATTCTATTAAAACACTTTTTTGCGAATATCTATAAAACGCCATTTTTTTTCGTTTTTGTGTTAAAAAATTCCAAAACTACTCCAAAAAGTTTATAATTTTTGTTCTCATACTATCTGTTTATTTTGCAAAACAAAAAAGTTATATCTATAATAAAAACTAAAAAACCTGTACAACCGAAACAAATTTTAAAAGCGCTGTAACTTTTTTTATATTAATCAAAATAAATGGTATAAAGGCGAAAAATGTTCGTTATTTAATCTAGTTATAAGATATTTAAAGAAAAAAACAATCGAATTACGCGTTCAAACGTTATAACCTAAAATGATGTCATTCTAACGAAACACTATTTCATAAATATCTAGAAAACGCGATATTTTTTTGTTTTAATTTTGAAAAATTCTAAAGCTACGCCAAAAAACTAATAATTTTTGTTTTTATACCGTTTTTTTATTTTGAAAAATAAAAAAGTTATATCATATAATAAAAACTCAAAAATCTGTATAACAGAAACTAATTTTCTCTACGACTACTTTAGAATAGTAACATTCTAGTGTAATTTTTGATTATAGAAAGGATGTTTTTCTGCAATACTGTGCGAGAATATTCCTACTCTTGTTTAAGAATGGTCACAAGTAACGACATCTCCTGGCTGTTTTCTAAACGTAAAAAATTTAAAAATATTTAAATATTACTGTAAATAATTAATTAAAAAATAATAGCAGTTGTATAATTAAGGTTTAAGCACAAAAAATTAGTTATATTTATTGTTTTTCAAATATACAAATCAAAATTATAATAAATTTGATATTAAAATGATAAACCAGTTACCTACTATACCGGCTTTGAAGTTTTGACAGATTCAAAAAGTTTAAAAAAAGACCTTTAAAATGTAGAAAAAGAATAGATGTTGACATGGATTACTTGTAAAATTAGTTTTGTATTTGTTACAATGTTATTTTTTTTATTAGTTAGTGTAAATAACTATTTTTAATTATAATAAAGATTTAGGCATACCATTTGTTTAAATTTATTATAATTTACATTATAAAATTGTGACGGCACAAAATGGTTTGACAATACAAAAAACTTAAATGTCAAAAACTGCTTGGTTTCTTTTCTCTGTTTAAAATTATATAAGCGTTACTATTCTTACGTATGTAGTCGTAGAGAAAATAATGTCTGAAACACGTTTGGAATAGCATATTCCTCCGTAAAACCGTCACACTCGCCTTCGGCTCGTGTGTCAAATTTTTCCTCGAGCGGAATATGCTGTATTCCAAACTTGTTACAGAATGTACTATTAAAATCGCTGTAACTTTTTTAATATAAATCAAAAATGGATGGTATGAAAACAAAAATATTCGTTATTTGATCTAGTTTTAGAATATATAGACAAAAAAACAATCGTTATGATAATAATAAAGATATATTGTATAAAAACTTACTTCTCCACAGGGCAATCTTTTCGTAAAATCGATGCCTGTCATTGGAGTACCAGTGGGCGGCAACAAGATGGCGCTGTCCATACATAACCACTCCACATTTAAAGAACCTTTTGACATATCACAATATCTAAAAAAATTACTCATCCTGTAAAAAAACGCTTTAAAAATGATTGCTTCTTACTCGTGTTCAAACATATCCAAAAAAATCTCCTCGCTCTTGTAGAAATTCCTCAGCAAGGCGGTGCTTTGAGTTTTGGCCGCGTCTATCAGCGCCGCGTGGCCGTCCAGCAAAATATTTTTCCCGTCGCACGTGACCAGCTGCACGAAAAGCTTCAAGGCGAGCTCCAAGGTTACCAACCTGACGCGACAAGACGGCTGGCAGGAGCAGGCCGCTATGTTTAGAAGTTTGTCCACCAGGTGGACGTTGTAGGTGTACTTGACGTCTTTTTGAGACGGGGTTTTCGGGGTGAAGGTTTTTTTCGGGCGCAGAACCTGCTCTATCACGTCTGCCGTGACTCCTAATGTCAAAAACAAACGTAAAACTAGTTTTTTATCCGCGCAGGTGGTACTATGCTCCACACCTCAAAGTCCCACCACGTGACCACGTACGGAACGCAGTCTTTTAAAAATTTGGCATTTAAGGCTTTCCAGGTTATGTATCTGTCAAAGTATAGTCAACGAAAGAAATAATATTATGTTTAGGCATTAAAAATGTATAAATCTTTATAACATTACAATAACAATGGATGGTTTAAGAATTTAAGAATATAAATACTGCATTTAATGAAATTCTAAAGTGTATGGTGCCAAATAAGTAATATTTTTGTGCATTTGGTCCAAATATCTGGTTTTCTCCATAAAATAATTTTAACTAAACAGCATTTATTAAAAAAAATCTAGCTTCTCCATTATGGAATAAGAATATCTGTTTTAAAGGTAGGTTAATATATTATAACAAAAATATCATCTAATTTTGTAATTTTAAGGTTAGAAAAATTTATTTTGACCAAAATAAATAAGTATTTTGGATTATTTAAAAGAATGTATAATATGGTATTTAAAAATGTGGTAGTTTTTCTTATCCAGCTTAAAGTGTACCTACATAAAGTTTTGTCAATACAAATAGTTAAAAAGCTTCGACTGAATTTGATCTACATCGAAAAATCATTATAACTTTAAAAATTTTAATAAATCACATGTCATGGGAGTATTAAATATTTTCACATTGCAACCCAGAGAGCCATATCAGGTTAAAACATGGCCAAGAATTGCCCATTACCTTTGGAAAAGTTTTGCCAATAAATGTACTATGTAGGACTGTATATTCCTATGGTATTTGTGCAATCGCGATGGCCAACAATAAATGACCAAATTGTGCCCAATAATATGCCAAAGCAGTTTGGATAAATTAGGTAGGTTACCGTTGGTTTAATTTTGGGAATGTTTGGGCATGGAAAAACGATGACAAATTTTTGATGTTTATTTGGGCAATTAGGCTTTTGAAAAATTGACCAAATATTGGTAAATATTTGGACATATCCAAAGTATTAACAAATATTATTATTATATTTGAAAATTGGGTAAATAAAAAATTTTGTATTTATATTTTTTAATAATAAAAAAATAAAACAGTATGTTTCAATACTGGAACAGTGGTCAAAAATAATATTAAAAAAAAACAAATGTATAAATAAAAAATATTTAAAATAATCAAAATTGGAAAAAAATATTGTTTTTTTATGTTGAATCCCAAGCAGTGATTTAATTGTTTTTTTGCAATAAGGCTTTTTTTATTTCGGACCCGTTGCTTCGCGTTGTTTAAGGCCACGTCAAAGGACCTCTGGAATTCTAAAGCCCCTGGAGGAGGAAATTTATCATGTTCATGTAAACTCTCTAAAAAATACTTTAAGTAACAAAATTGTCTAGGAAATAATATTAAAATATAAAACATACGGTGAATGGCTTGTACGATTTTTGTTTTGGACACTCCAACACCAGCACGTCCAGTGCGCGTTATTTTGGAAGAAACTTCATCTGAGAAGGCTTCTTTGACAATTAAATTCACGCTGCCTACGACGTCATCGTCAGCGACAAATTTAAAGTAGCTAACCTATAACATAACAATATAAAAACACAAGTCTTAAAACGTATTTTGGAAGTGAAAACCATTTTTTGATACATGTTTACAAAAAAGTGTTATTTTTCTATGAAGAATGCACTGTTTAAGTTTGGCCCCCTAATTTCAGGACACCCTGTATACCTATCTATAGATTTCTTTAAGTGCAGATGTATTCTTGGTTGAGTTTTTCTTGTTTGACGGGTCAACACAAATTGTGTTACACAATTTTTTAAATGCTGGCTAAATCCACCTTTATACTTACTTGTTATAATATTATGATACAAATAGAATTACGATCAGGCTATCAAGAATTATGCTTTATTAAACATTAAGAAAAATAGTTTGTGATTGGTAACTTTATGTTATGAAGAACTTTAAAAATAAAAAAGAAATAAATTTTTAAATTCAATAAAAAAATTGCAATTACCTTGCTCACTTCTAGCACGATAGATCTTAAAACCCAATAAATCCTCTTTTTCCTTCGTGACATATAGGTAGAAAATTTATTTTTAAATTGTCCTGCTTGTAGTAAAAGCCTAGTACCCATAAACACTATTTACCTAGAAAAAGGCAGTTATTTTTCTTCACTGCAACTTCAAGATGAAAATCTGTAACAATTAACAAAAAATAAGTACATAATATAGAACTACCAATGTAAATTTATATTACCTACTTCAAAATTAATAAGGGTATAAAATCTTCGAGAAGTAAGAAATTGTATAATAATTGAATGTTTTATTAAAAACTTTGAAAACATACCTAACCTTAATTACTTACTCAAAATTTAAAGCCGTTTAAAACTTAACACGTTTAGTTAGTGCACAGATGATTATATTTTTTTGTAATAACTATCACACAAGCACTTTTTGACGCCTTTTTGTAGAGAAGGTCTTGAAATATTAACGACATATAACTCGCCATTGCGATTCTTTTTCCATGCTGATCAATTATTTGCCAAGTTTCGATCAATCTGAATTACAAACGCTTTGCCAATTTTCGACCAAACTTCATTACAAACGACGTTGGCCAATAATAACTCTATCTAGGACTGTATATTTGTGTAGTTGTTGTGCTATCGCATTGGAAAATAATTTGGCATAAAACATGTCAATTTTTGGTCAAACTTTATGAAAATACAATTAATATGTCCAAATAAACCCCAATAAATGTAAAATATCGTAGTCCAAACTTAGTTGGGAAAAAGTTGACTAATTTCTTTCCCAAAGCATGGCTCTCTGGGAAGTTTCTCTAAAAATTGTTTGTTTTTTTATAATCTAACTTAAAGTAGGTATCCCGAGAGGTATGCACAAGTTTTGTCATTAGAAGTATAAAAGCTTCAATTTAATTTGAACCATATTCAACAATTATTTAGTATACCTATATATATTTATGACCATATTAACACACTCTTCCAAATAATCCACTTATTTATTTTGGTCAAAATAGGTTTTTCTAACCTTAAAATACAAAATTAGATGATTTTTTTTGTTCTAATACATTAACCTACCTTTGATGCAGATATTCTTATTTCATAATAGAGAAGTTAAATTTTTTTTAATAAATGCTGTTTAGTTAAAACTATTTTATGGAGAAATGTAGACCCAATGCACAAAAATATCACTTATATTGCACCTTACACTTTGGAATTTCATTAAATGCAGTATTTATATTCTTAAACCACCCATTGTTATTGTAATGTTATAAAGATTTATACATTTTTAACGCCTAAACATAATATTATTTCTTTCGTTGACTTTACTTTGACAGATACATAACCTGAAAAGTCTTAAATGCCAAATTTTCAAAAGACTGCGTTCCGTACGTGGTCACGTGGTGGGACTTTGAGGTGTGGAGCATAGTACCTACCTTTGTTGTTGGCCATGGCATAGAACAGAGAAAGAGCGAATAGAGCGACATAGTCGTTCTCCGCGCAATCTAGAGCGCCGTATACGGCATCTAGAAACGGATGTTCGCCGGTAGATGGCGTTTCGGTGGCCAACCGTTGTTTTTCTTCGTCTGTCACGTTGCTACGCAACTCCGATATGCTCTCAGTCGAACTTTTACTGTCGCTTTACAAAAAACAATTTATTTATTATTATTTATTACGCTAAAGAAGTATCGGGTTTTAGCAACGCGCGCGCCATTTTTAAATAAATAGGTAGTTTTTTTACAAAAGAGAGGAAGGCAGAAGTCTTACTCGACAAATTTTGTTCAATTGCACAGCTAAATAGCGCACGTTATTTGTGTTTTACGTTGCAAGGAAAAAACTAAAAAACTGGTTTAGTACTCAATTTCGATTGATTATTCTTTATATCATTGATTGAGAAACTCAACGCTTAAATGCCTATATAGTTACGTTAGTGTGTGCATTTTATCTAAGGGATTATGCTGAATTATGGTGTTTTTAATTGTAAATAAAATTCAAGAACTAAATCGTTGCATTTTCATGTTTTGCCGAAGGATCCAATTTGGTAAGTACATTTGTTGGTGCAGAATTAACTAATGATAACTTTACCTTATATAATTTATACTAAAGTTTGGACATTTTTAAGAAATTAGTAGAAAATAATTTTTGCACAAACATAACCTTAAAATCAACCATTTTTATGTTTGAGTTCTCTTAAAAACACCGACAACTGCATTTTAAACAACAAAATATACCTACAAATTCATGGCAACATAATGTTATATATAATGCATAATATAATGGTATTTTACTGTTGAGTGGAGACTTTCTTAATCAACGCTTTTAATAATGCTAAATGCTGTTTAAATTTAGACGACTTATTTGTTTGACGATTTTTACTGAATTGAAATGTTTAACTTTTCACGTTAATCACTACTAAAATGTGTATTTATTGTATTTTATAGGTACAATTTATATTTACAGAGACTGTATGAAATTTATTTCTTCATTCAGATTAACACTGTTTATTGGAAAACCGGTAAAAACTCAACCCAGGATTTCCTCTCGAAATACACCCAAAAACACAAAAAATCGAGCCACGTTTTTTTTTTCGATATTTTTTAACATTTTCCGGCTTTATTCCCACTCGTTTGTAACATAAGCGTTTGTTACTATGATAACAGCCGAGTGGTGGCGCTACTAGCGATACTTCTTTAGCGTAGGTATTTCTTTTTAATTACATGTCTGTGTTTGGTGTCGCGGAATCTTCGGTAGTGCTCGACTCCCTTCGTTTGACATCGTTCTCGTAATACTGCAACAATTTGTCGACGCCTTTTTCGAATATCGACCGGTCCGTTTTCAATACGATCCATGCCAACGTTTGCACCAAAGGCGAATGCGAAATGATGAGGAAAACCTTAAAAATTGCGCGAGATTAGGGTTGGGACAGTTGAAATTTTCAAATGAAAATTTCAACTTTGAAAGTTTCAAACTTGAAATATTTCATTTAGTTGGAAAACTGAAATTTTTAAAAATTTCAAATGAAATTTTCAATCCGAAAATTTCAACATTGCCTGTGAAATTTCATTGAAAGTTTCGCAATTTACTGAAAATTTCGCATAAATTTCACATGCGGCCTCCCCTGGGACCTTTAATAATAATTTACAACAGATTCCGATCGACCAATAAGAACGAGTTATCAAGCGTCTGGGCGTTTTTGTTTAGTTCGGCTTGGATTTGAATACACTATAAGTAATTATTGTTACTTATATGCATAAATTAATTTAAATAATTTAATTCAGTTACCAATTTAATTTGTAAATTAAATCAGACTTTAATTTTTTTTTAAAAGTGATGATTAATTTAAACTTTTACTTTTGCTATAATTTCATCGGAAAACGGATAAAAAATGCCTTTGGCTCATAAAATTTTGATGAAGTTTCTTCAATTTTCGTAAAATTTCAGTCAAATATTTAAAAATAATAATTATATATAAATATAAAACAATGAAAGTGGCACAATCTCATTAGCTTACCAAAAAGTGCTATATCTCTTTTAGTTTTAGTAATTTTTAAAATATTTTAGAAGGAAATCTCAAGAAATTTGTGGTAAACATAGGTATTTACTATTTATATTATTGGGGCAGGGGCCCACAGAGGGGTAGGAGGTAAAAGAGGCAATTTGCCATGGTCTCCGAGTGAAATTTATTGAAAGTTTCAATAAATTTCATAAATTTTATGAAATTTCAAAAATTTATGAAATTTTAATAAATTCCATAAATGTCATGAAAATTTAAAGTAAAATTTCAAGTACAAGCAAAAAGTGAAATTTTCCCAACCCTAGGCGAGATATGATTTTATTTTGCGTTTTCATCGCAAGACTCACTTGAGACAACAGAAACAGCGCCACCACGCAGGAGACCTTCCCGTTTCCGGTCTCCATCTTCGGACTTCCGTCCGGGGTCGCGGAGTGCTGCGCCAGCATCTTGGCGACGGCGTCGGTCGTTCTGCGCCGCGTGGTCTGCGCAGCGGAAGTAGAAGCGGCCAGCGAGCATATGTACAGAGGTATTAGCAGCTTGTGCAACAGGTGGTCAGTGAGCACGTGGTTCAGGTCGGTAATGTTCAAGCAAAGGATGTCGTTTAGGTAGTGCAAGTGGTCGAGATGCTCTGCCACCAAATCTGACAGTCTGTTATGGGATTGATGACTAAAAATACATTTACTTACATTTCAACAAACCATTATTTCGTGAATATAAAGAAAACGCGCCGAGTTAATGTATTTCTGTTTTAACATTCGAAAACTACAGTAAAAAATTAATAATTTTTGTTTTTATACCATCTTTTTATTTCGAAAAATAAAAAAGATATATCACATATAAATACTATAAAAACACTATAAAACAGAAACAAATTTTAAAGGCTCTGTAACTTTTTTGATATAAATCAAAAATAGATGGTATAAAAACAAAAAAAAATCGTTATTTAATCTAGTTATAGAATATTTAAACAAAAAAACAATCGAATTGCGCGTTCAAACGTTATAACCTAAAATGTAAAATGACGTCATTCCAACGAAACACTATTTCGCAAATATCTAGAAAACGCCATATTTTTTCGCCTTTATGTTAATAAATTCCAAAACAAGTCCAAAAAACTAATAATTTTTGTTCCCATACAATCTTTTTGTTTTGAAAAATAAAAAAGTTACATCAAAAAATCAAAACCTGTATAACAAAAACAAATTTTAAAAGCGTTGTAACTTTTTTGATATAAATCAAAAATAGATGGTATAAAAACAAAAAAATTCGTTATTTAATCTAGTTATAGATTATTTAAACAAAAAAATAATCAAATTGCGCGTTCAAACGTTATAACCTAAAATGTAAAATGACGTAATTCTAACGAAACACTATTTCGTGAATATCTATAAAACGCGATATTTTTTTGTTTTTGCGTTTAAAAATTCCAAAGGTACAACTGAAAAACAATAATTTTTGTTCTTATACCATCTTTTTATTTTTAAAAATAAAAAAGTTATATTACATAATAAAAACTCGATTTTTTCGATAACTTACTCAGCATCATTTCTTACGCATGCGTCCAGTTCCATGATGTGTTTCCCGATGAACCACACGATATTTGAAAAATACGGGGCCGCAGTTCTGTCCCTGATAAACGCCAACATACTGGCATCCTCAACTTTGTACACGTTTAGCGTTAAAGTCCTCACTGCTATCCTAACCATTGATTCTGGGTGGTTGAAGAATTTTATGGCTTCAGTGTACAAAGGAAAGTCGTTTGTGTGCTGAAATTGTTTTGTTAGATGTTCTGTCTACCCATTCTTTAGTCTATGGTTTTTCTTACCTCATTGTAGAAAAAATGTATCGTATGGGCATTGAGTTTTAGGCTTAACGTTTTTAAAAATGAAATGTAATAAGCCATCACTTCCTCGTCGGAAAAGTCGAATTTATGTACAATTATGGAATTGACATGGTTATTTGATAATAAATAATCTAAAAAATTAAAAATTAAACCACACCAATTTGTTTTTTGGGGTTCAACTCCTCACATAATGATGTTTCGTTTCTGATATTCTCAAATAAAATATTTAAAGTTTGTAATAGTTGAACACATACAAAACTGCTGCCCCCACTTCTTTGTCTCATGATCTTCAGGAAAAATGATAACATGTTCTTTTCCAGGAAAAAACTGAAAATGTTTTAGTTTTACCATAAAAAAGCTGCACCCTAACTTTAAAAATTAAGATGACAAAAAAATTAATTTGTTAAAAAAATTACCAGAAAAAATCTGATTTTACCAAAAATAGACAGCATTGACAAAATCAATGTCTAAAGCACAAGAAGAAAAAAAAAATATTAATAATAAGAATTCTTATATCCTTTGAAAAGCAAAAAATGATCAAAAAAGACAAAATCTGGGTAACATTTATATTTTTTAAACATTTAATTGGTCGTAAAATATGACGATATAATCTTAATATAGTCTAAACAATTACTTAAGTATTTTAATAAAAACTGTATCAATAAATTAATATTCATTATAACCTTTGACCTTCTCACATACTAAAAACTGTTTTTTAAACGCTGACACGTCAGAATAACTTTTATCAACTCACTCAAACACAGAAGAGTCGTTTTGATCGCCCCATATTAAAATCTCAGCAATGGATCGTAGAGTCTCCACGAGCAAGCCTCTGTTGTGCTCGGACACCGTCTGGTTCCTCGACAGCACGTTGTACAGATACTTGAGGTGCTCCAACGAATGGGGGTTCTTGGGGCGGCCCCAACCGCCCCCAAACCAACTTCTGCTCCTAAACATCGCTTTCGCTGAGTGTCGACATTTTGTTGGGTGATTTTCACGTTAACTTCAGCATTAGGTCGGGATTTGTACCAATTTTCACTTTATTGCGTTCGTCGTTTCCATTTATTGTTATTTGTCTAATTAAAAAATAAAAATCTGCACTGCATACTGCTGTCAAAACATCTGACAGCTGTCAGATTTGTTATGTTGTTGGCAGTACTGATAGCGATTCCGTGCGTTTTATAACAGATGGCGCTCAATAAAACTAAGTTAATACAGAATTTAAAAAAACATATATTAATATAAATACAAGAGAAAATACAATGCAATCCAATAGTTAAAACAAATTTGGTGGATTTTTCGGTTTGTAATCCATTTTAAATAACTCCAAGTCTTCGTGGTCTTTTAATTCAGTTCTAATGCAGTCTTCTTGCTCATTGGTGAGTTTTAGTAAATTTATAGCATCATATAAATTTTGATCCAGCTCATTTTTATAACTGTTTATTAATTGTTGTGTTTGTTCATACACAGGTTTAATGTGTTGATCAAATTCTTGCTTTCTTTGTTTGCACTTCAAAAGAAATAATTTTTCCTGAAAATACACATTAATATTATTATTTATCTACTAGTGCTTTAAATTACAAAAAGTGAGGTTAAAACCGTTTTACAGATGTTTTAAAGTTGAGTTAAAAATGTAAAATAAAAAATACCCTTAAATATTCTTTATCAAGTTCCTCGTTTTCCAGTTTTAACTTATGTACGTCTTCATCAGTGTATTCTTCTATGGTATCTTCTTCTTTACTTTCTATCGCCATAACAGTTCGCACTTCATTCTAAAACACGTATAAATAGATTTAAATTGAAAAAGTACATACAAATTACTTCAAATTTTTTTAAAGGTTCTTCAGCTTTTCTTAAAAACAGATCATGTATTTCTTGGATTTTGCTATCATCGAGTACCCTATCTTCATTCTTTAATTTTTCCTGCACACTTTTTAAAACAATTTGGTGGGAATCTGACATCAATAACCTCACTAAAACATAAACAAAACGATATTAAATGTTTACGTGGTCAGTTTGATGTTATACCGCTTTCCACCAACTCGGTCGTGCTAAAACCAAACACGAATGTCTGTTTTTCATCGTCCAAAAGCTTGTCTTCCATTTTAATAAATAATTCTACCATTTAAAAATATACCAAATAATACGTTGAGTTTTAAATCTGACAGCCAGTGTGGCCAACTTTTTGCATTTATATAGTGGCGACATCTGTATGTGAGCAGTTTAAGTACAACATTATGTGGGCAGTTATCTTTTACGTTTTGCATCGCCATCTCTGCTTGAGTAGCTGAGGTAGGACATTAAGGGATCTTCCAGAACCGTCGGAAAACGGCGACAGATGGCTAATAGAGAAGTTTATCGATTTAAGGCTGCTCTGTGCGCACCACTTTACTAAAGTCACTCTGTTGCTCCGTATCAACGTCGTAGGAGAGTACAGATAGAAAAAAAAACGTTATGTGAGGCTGTTACATCAAAAAAACTGTTCTACAGGATTAACACTATCTATTGGTGGACAGTCGATTGTTTAAACAATCGATTGTTATATAAATAAGCAAAATCGCAGAACCATTACACTTGCTCCATTATCCCCTACCTCTTTTCACAATGGCTCGCTATAGAATCGGTTTCCAAAGAGAGAATAAGCCATTGTGTAAAATGCAGCACAGTATTTGTACCGTTTCTAGACCTCTGCGGCGGACTCCCCTTTTCGACGAATGGACTCGGCCGTACTTCAATTAAAAACGGCCTACTACGCGTTCTAAAAAGGTTTCGTACGATGCAGAGGGCGGCGTTCACAGCACTCTAGAATCTAGATGGAGGTTTGGTTAAATGTCGGTTTTAAGGCGATTTAGGGCCCGAGAACACGAAAATACGATTCAAGTGTTACTGTTAAGGCTTGTTTATGTTTTTGTAGGGTTTTTTTAACTTTTCCTATATAGATTTACCTTTTCAAATTGGTTTTTAACCATGTCTACCTTTAGTGAAGAAAAAACTTAATGTAATGGTAACAATAGTTGACAACATTTGTTTATAAAATAATGTTAACAACTATTTTAACTTAAAATTGTCATGAATTGTTTTATAAATGTGTTTTTACAATAATAAATGGTTTTAATTGTATCCCAAGACAACAAAATTAGCATTTTTAACACGTTTAGCAAGATTTTGAAGCACCTACAAGCAAAAATGTGTTAAGGTGCTTGGAACGACTCTCGTACAAAAGCCAATGAGCTTATTTTAGAAACTTTGTCGTTTTTAGTTTGTTTTTAAAAGCTATTTTGATGCAGACCTATGCAACATTTCAAAAAATACCCCATGGGTAATCCTGCGATGAAAAAACACCTTTAAAATCAAACATTTCAATAGACGGTTATAAATTTGTAAGAAAAACTGTTTGGTAGCAATATTTTATGAAAATATCATGTACAATAAACGTCAAACACGCGTAAAAACGTCAAAAACGACAACAACTGCGATTTTAACTGCAAAATGTTTGGTAAACCTCGTAGTGGGCTGTTTTTTGACGTTTTACGCGAATTTGACGTTTGGTGCGATTGTTTGCGGGTAAAACTTTGGTAAACGCGTAAAACCGTCGAAAACAAACAAACGGAATGGCAAAATAGTGCGTAAAATGGCTTGGGGTCGTAGGTAGTCAGCACGGCTAGTACATCGCGGCGAGCGACCGAAAACTCGGAGCGAAACGAGACAAAATATAAAGGAAAGCGGTATAATTTTACACGAAACCGTCCGATCGGGCTGCAACGCGCCGCCGAGGTTTTCTCTTTCCGGCGCACGGGTTCGCAAACGATGTCGCGACGTAAGTCTGAGCTCGCTTCGCATAGGCGGAGCGACGATGTGCCGTAGTCCGAATTTCAGTACCAAGCGAGTCAGGCATGGAGTGAATTCGGGAAGAAATAGTGTTAAAAAGTGTGGAAATCTAAGTGAAACAAATAAATAAATCAAGTGCTGGGCTTTTGGTGAGTGTTACGGTATGTGAAGTGATCGAAATCGAGTGCGTTTCGCTATACCAGAGGGGCTTCGAAGAAAAAGCGTATTTAGTGCGTTGTGTGCAAAATGAGGCTAAGGCGGCTGTGTTTTTTTGTGAAATAGTGTTGTGTCGGCCAAAAGACAACATTTTCCTAATGTGGTGTTTAAGGCAAAATGGTGAGAGAGACTAGACATCTTTGGGTTGGAAATTTACCCGAAAATATAAGAGAAGATAGAATTCGTGAACAATTTAAAAGGTAATATATGTTTTCATTACAGGCATTTACCTGTACTGTAAACCCCCTCAATTTTCGTTAATTTCTCGTTCAATTGGACGTTCATTAAAATCACTATAACTCTTAATCAACTAAAATCGAAAAACCAGTTGAAAACTGGTTATTTCTTAAATCCAAATCTTTAAACCGAAACCTGAATTTATTATTCATACCAAAAATATTAAACAATTCATATCACAACAGTCCATGCACAAAATTTCATTTCTTTACAACCATCATATAAAAATAAATACCCTTATTTACCCAGCCTAGGTAGATTTAATTTCCATTTACCTAGTAGTTAGTTATCATTAAATTTGATGCAAATAGCCACGTAAATCTATAACGCGCTATTTTGGTTATTTAGTTGCGCAATAACAATGTTCAATGCAAACTCCAAAAATAATCTAAAATTCAACAGCAAAAAAATGCTAAATATTTATAATTACTGTAAAAACACACACTGGTAAACAATTGAAATAAAAAAGCGTTATTTTTCGTTGCGAGTCGACTTTTACTCGACGAGTAGTACAACGTTTTAAAATAGGGTAAACAACATGCTAAACTTGCCACCCCATCGGTTGTTTCGGGGCACCCAAAAGCATAATACAACCCTTATTATGTCATAAAAATGTTTTAGTAATGTACAGTACCTATATGTACTATTGCAGTAAAATAACAACATGGCTCGGAGCGAGTTGGCAACGTAGCGTTTCACAGCTTGCTTCGTCTGCTATTTTGTGATTTTTCGACGGAAGCTGTCAAAAAACACCACCCAGCACTTCCGGTTTTCGAAAGAAAAAACGACTTTTCGTTGTTCGCAAGGTTCGAAATAACAGGTGCTAAAAGCGGATACGGCAGTCAAGGAGACATTTTTTGCGAATTTGATATTTTATAATGTTGCGACACGGTTGTGGTCAGTAATGGCTGACGAGAAACGTAAGTCGATTTTTTAATATTTTTAGTCAAAACACGATCCAATTCTGTGTTTTTTTAATAAATTGTTGTTACATCTACAATAATTATTATTATAGAAATCGATGTGTAATTTATAAATACTCGCATTGAACTAAATATTTACGAAAATTGTCTGTTTTATCTCATCACCGAAATATATCAACGTCATTCCCATAAATTGTTAAGCCAAATGCAATTTTATTTATTTATATAGGTACAGATTTTTGTATTACCATGGAGGTATATAAATGTTTACTTTAATATAATTTGTTCAAAATCGCACTACCTATGAAAAATTAAAAACGTTAGTGTTGGTAGGTACCAACTTAAACATGATAAAAATACCCGTCTGGCTTATTATTAGACGTTTTAAAATACCTACCTTATTCTGTTTGAATTCGTAGAGAATGAATATTGTTCATAATGTTCTTGTTTACTTTGTGATAAAAACAAAATTACAATTTTGAACTAATTCTATTGTATCTCGTGTCTAGTTTTTAGATAATACCACCAAATAAGGTTTTTCATTTATTTTTCGAATAGGTACTTAAATGTTTTTTATTTTAAGCTGTTGCCAAAGAGTTTTTAGTGTATTTCTTCCACTAAACTTCTGAATATACAACTTGGCTTTTTATAGTTTAGGATTTAGTTTTTTATTTCTTTTAACCGGATAAAGGTTTTTTTTTAAACATGGTCACCACAACATAACTCACAAAAATGTATTTTTGAACTACTTGAACAATACGATTAAAATTTAAAAAAATAAGGTAAAAAGTTTATAAACTAATTTTTGCAATAAAACTTGTTGTGATAAATTAATATAAATTGTTATTTTGCAGAATGGTCGACATCTTTTTAGGTTTAATTTTGTTTATTTCTTTTAAACCGGTATTTACATTTTAAGGAATTTTTACCTACCAACTCGAATGACAAACGTATTTAATCGTTTCGCTGAAAAAAATAAGGTCAAGAAAACGGTACCAAAACCAGCTCTTAGCATCGTTCATCTTAATAACATTTTTACGAATAGCAACATTCGGTTAATAATTTTTCGTTTGAAACCCAAAAAATCCACATTTTCTCTTGAGGCAGCAAGGCCTGCTGGATCAACTCGAACGTTTTCTCTCTCTCGCAACACGACGGTGCAGAGCGAGACGGAACGTCGACGACAACGTGGCAACGCCGGATACGGCAACGTCGCCCCGTCGGTTTTGCTAGCCGGCCCCCGGTATTATATAAGCAGCTGTGCTGAGACCGCGTGACGTCACGAAACCGACGGAATACATAGAATTCCGTGTTTTTGACGTTTTAGAGTTTTTAGAGTACCTACAAATGTTTAAAGAACTTTGAAATAACATTTTTAAAAGCAATAACAAACAAAGCAAAATTTATTGTTTTAAGGCTGGGAGCAATTTACAAAATATTATTTGTTCACATTGGCATTATGTACGAAAAAATCACCATTGAATATGCAAATTAAAAATAAAACAAACAGGCGCCAAATAAGTGGCTAACGTTACGCGTTCCATAAAATAATATTATTTTAAAATAGAAATTTCTTGCAAAAGAATGCCGATGTCGTTGACCTTTTTCCATTAATGTTGTAAAAGTGCAGAAACATAGAAACCATGCGAGGTTTGTTCTGTTTTTTCGCTATTGTCTTTTGTTTGTGCAAGCAATTTGATACAGTATGTTCGTACCGTAAACAAAAAATAATAAAATTTTATTGTTAATTAATGCAGAAAGTATGTTAGCTCTGTAGTACCATTTTTTGAGAAAATTCAAGTTAAAAAATAATGGTATAAAATTTGTATACAAAAATATACAGGGTGTCCTAAAATCACGTTTCTAGTTAATAAACAGTAAATTTAGTAAATTTTAATGTTTACTTTGTAACATAAGCAGCTTATTTAATACTTATTTTTAAAATAAAACTTAACTACCTATATACAGGGTGAGTTAACTTGAAACTTTGAAATATCTCAGTAAGTAGGTATGCATTTTTCGAAAAAATGTTTAAAATAAAAATAGTTTCTTTATACCTCAATAATAATCATTATAACTAAATACCATTTTTTATACCTCAATTAGGATTAAATTAATTAATTGACAAAATAATGTTTTTTTAACCTGAGGTATTTTTATTAAAAATAGTACAATAATCCTTTAAATTAAAGGATTTAATGCTGGCATGTAAAAAGTGACCATGGTGCGCAATTGATAATTATCACCGAATGAAATAATGTATAAAACTTAAACCAAAGGAAACTTAAATATTAGTTAATATTACTTCAGATTTAATTTAATAGGATAATTATTAGACTGGGCCAAAAAAAATCGACTATTTTTTTTTGTAAAGTATATCGAAAATATTGTTTGGGGTGAAAAAAATGTGGTGAAAGTTTGAGTCCATAATATTAATATTAAGCGGCATATTATCGCAATTTTAGATTTTTTTTTGACTTAAGAATATTTTTTGAAGAAAATTGTTTGATTGAAATTTCCCGTCAGATGAACCGTTTTCTTACAATCATGCCTTAAAAATTGGTATAGTTTTACAATTTGATCTTTTAACTTTGGAATTTTGTAATTCATGTAAAAATCAGTACCTATCCCGAAAAAAAAAACGATAAATATTCTTATTTGAAGTCAAAAAGAAATGTTAACCTTAAATAACTTTTGATTGAGTGAATTTAGCCAAAAATGTTGTTGCTTTTTTTGTAAAGCATTTGATTTCACATAAGAATATTTATCGGTTTTTTATGGGTACTGATTTTTACATAAATTACAAAATTCCAATTTAAAAGATTAAAATGTCAAACTAGGTATAGGTACCAATTTTTAAGGCTTGATTTTAGGGAAACGGTTCATCTGACGAAAAATGTCACTTTAACCTTTTTTGTAGAGCATTTAATTAAAAAAAAAAATATTTTCGAGTCAATTTTGTTAAACTCAATGGTTTGGGAGTTCTGAGACAAAAACTTGCTGAGGAAAAAAAAATTAAAATTGCGATGATAGACCTCTTAATTATTAATATTATGGAACTTTCGCAATAATTTTTTTTGTCACCCCAAACCATATTTTCTATAGTTTTCAAAAAAAAAATAGTTGATTTTTTTGGCCCAGTCTAATAATTATTGCAGAATCGTATAAGAAGAAAAATCGAACAAAATTGATTTTTTTCATTACACTGCCATCTATTACAAATATGAAAAAATGTTTTAGACAAAATCTACCTATTTTTAGTCGAATGATCAGAATCTGCAATAAAAAATAGGGTGTTGCATTGGAAATTTTAAAGTTACCCCCTGTTCCCCCATAAGGAGGAGAGTATGAGGACCAATTTTAGTACTGATTGATTCCCCCCCTCGAATCATTTAATTTTTATTTTAAACATTTTTTCGTACAATGCATACTAACTGAGATATTTCAAAGTTTCAAGTTAGATGAGTCACCCTGTATATTATTAACTTGCTCGGCATCTATGGGTCACTTAGTTGACAGTGATTTTATAGCTTAACAAAAGACGAACAAATGGGCAACGTCCTTGCAAACAAAATTCTTTTAAACGTAAATTAACCATAAAAAAGTAACAAAGCACCGCTAATTTTTTTTTCAACAATGGCGCTTTGAATTGTTGCTATTTGCGTCACGAACATTTTTCTAAACCATAAATCGTCGATATAATTCATAAATAATTTTAATAATGCATGTTGGTCGGCGATTTTTTAATACCGTTTAATCAAGTTGCGTGTTATAAGCAAAATAGTTCGGTAAGCCTTGATACCAGTAAAATTAATAACAAAAAATAAAAATTATTTGCTGTTAGATTTGTGAAAAATCTAGTAGCTAATTTTCCTGTCTTTGAAAATAGCATACATTTGGTTTGAAAAAGATAAGCAATAATCACGAAACTTTTTCTTCTTAATAATAATAATAATTTATTTCGTGTTATTATACAATCAGTAAGTCAGGCAAATAAAAATATAAAAGTATACAACTAAATACATATAAGCAATAGAAAA